TTCATCTTGGGGATAAACCACAGCAATTTATGACTCACACCTGGGGTTTAGATTACACTACAGAAGTCAGTAGAGAGCTGATGAAATGGTAATGATATACTCTAAGGCAGTGTGCCTCTAGTTTTAATGTGCATACATATCATACCTGGCAATCTTGTTAAAGTACAGATTATGATTCAGTAGGTCTGAGTGGGGCCTGATTCCTGCATTCTTCACAAGCTCTCAGGTCATAATGATGCCACTGCCGTGGTCACGGATCCTTGTACTAGCAAGGATCAAAGGGATACCACTGGCATCCCCAGGTGAGCAGGGTCCTCACCAAATAGTCTCTCATTTAGGTACCAGGATCTGGCCCTTTACTCTGAAAGAGCAGACTTGTTTTGTTTTTTTTTAAATATATTTCTTTATTGATTTCAGAGAGGAAGGGAGAAGGAGAGAGGGATAGAAACATCAATGATAAGAGAGAATCATTGATTGGCTGCCTCCTGCACACCCCCTACTGGGGAACAAGCCCGCAACCCAGGCATGTGCCCTTGGCCAGAATCGAACCTGGGACCCTTCAGTCCGCAGGCCAACGCTCTATCCACTAAGCCAAGCCGGCTAGCTAGGGTGAGACTTGTTTTTGTTAATGCCCTGAGCGGCAATGACTCATACCAATTAAAAGGCACATGAAGGCCACCACATTCATTTTATAGAGTGAAATATAACTGTACACATACTAGAATATTGGTATTTCTCATTGTAGGCACCTCCAGTACCTCCAACAAATCCCCCTTTGATAATATACAAAGATGACGTTTCTAAACCTGCAAAACTGAGGATGAGGACCTGGATAGTGGCAATGTCATCAGTTGATGCCACTCTACCCTACCCGGTTTGGCTCAGTGCATAGAGTGTCCGCCAGTGGACTGAAGGGTCCCGGATTTGATTCTGGTCAAGGACATGTAGCCCTGGTCAGGGTGCCTGCGGGAGGCAACTAATCAATGTGTCACTCTCACATTGATGCTTCTCTCTCTCTGTCTCTCCCCTTCCCTTCCACTCTCTCTAAAAATCAATGGAAAAATGTCCTCGGGTAAAGATTAACAACAATGAAAAAAGATAGTGTCACTCTGTAAGGCAAATCTGACTGGCCAGCTAATATCACTACGTGACATCTTGATCAGCTATCTACTTACAACAAGCAGGAAAGCCAACTCTGCAGAAATAAACAAGTGGTGAAAATTACACTGGAAGTAAAAATCTAAAAATGAACACATAAGAATTTAGGTTCTTCTTATCTGTTTTGCTTTTAGAGGTAGTAGTGTAAAGACCAACCATCAAAGGAAAGAGTAAATCCATTAAGGCAGTGGTCTGTTTCCTCAGCCACAGCGTTTCTGGGACCTAGAAGAATCTCTGGCCTATAGTAGGCACCCAATAAATATTTATTGAGTGAGTGAACAAATGAGTATTTAAGGAGAGTGGGAGTTAATTTCTTTGGTATGTACATTTTAGTACCAAGGATTCCAGGGAGCTACAGAGAACTATTCTCAATAATTTCAACATCAGTAGGCCAGACTGGCTGTAAACATTATCTGATTTCCTGAAGACAACAAACATCACACTAGCCTTTAACTTATTCAGTTAAAAGTTACAGACTACCCTTGCATTCCTACACAGAACTTCCTTTTCTCTTAAGACAGAGGGTAGGGCATAAACTTAACCACAAGAAGAGAAACTGCTACAATGCTGGCAGTTATTTCTGACAAAATAACTTTAAAAGATTGGTACTTTTCCTTCTAGACTTTCATAGACATGATTTTTTAACCTGAAACAAATTTCACGGGAGTTTTAAAGGGTAAGAAACAAAAGCAAAGATAAAAAGTATGCCAAGAGGTCTTGAAAAAGTTAAACAAAGAGTCACCATGCTACCCGGCATTCCTAAGTATATACGTACTAAAAGAACTGAAAACATGTCCACATAAAAACCTGCACATGAATATTCTTAGCAACATTATTCATAATAGGCAAAAAGCGAAAATAATCCAACTGTCTATCAATTGGTAAATGGATAAATAAAATGTGGTTAGCCACACAATGAATATTATTCAGCCATAAAAAGGAACTGAAGTACTGATACATGCTACACAAAGGATGAATCTTGAAAACATTATGCTAAGTCAAAGAAGTCCGTCACAAGAGGCTAGTGTATGATTCCATTTATATGAAATGTCCAGAATAAGCAAATCCACGTAGAGACTGAAAGTAGTTTAGTGGTTGCCAGGGCCTGGAGGAGTGACAGCTAACGGGTATGGAATTTCTTTTTGGGGTGATAAAAATATCCCTAATTAGATAATGGTGATGTATGCACATCTTGTGAATATACTAAAAACTGCTAACTCATACATGTTCAGGCACAAATTTATGGTATGTGAATTATCTCACTTAAAAAAATCACTCCCCCCAAAAATAAAATCAGCAAGTAAAAAATATGCATAAAGGGGAGCATCCCTTCCTCTCTGCTCTTCCCTTTTTCCCCCATGCAAAATCTTTGACTAAAAAGCCATATATTTTATGTAGTTATTCTGAAAATGACTGGGACCTTAAAAATATCCTAACCACCAAACAAAAGCAGCTGCTTATTTTGATAACATTTTTGTAACACAGACCTTCCTTAAAATGCAAGTTGACAGAGGGCTTATTCTACAAACCCAAACATACAATCCACTAGAATTAGCTTTGAGGAGAAACGCCGTTGTAACTGGCAGTGGCACAAAACAGATTCCAGTTCACAAAAGAGAGCTACAGTCTAATCAGAAGGCAATGTCATCGGAAATCAAACAGTGATGGATGTTCTTAGTGTTTTCTGTCTCAGTCCCCAGAGAATGGGCCTTAGGACAAAACAAAACAAAAACCCATAGTAAACTACACTAAATTACTGGAAAGTATGTCCTGTATTTAAATTGTTGGATATAGCCGAAACCGGTTTGGCTCAGTGGATAGAGCGTCGGCCTGCGGACTGAAAGGTCCCGGGTTCGGTTCCGGTCGAGGGCGTGTGCCTGGGTTGCGGGCATATCCCCAGTGGGAGATGTGCAGGAGGCAGCTGATCGATGTTTCTCTCTCATCGATGTTTCTAACTCTCTATCTCTCTCCCTTCCTCTCTGTAAAAAATCAATAAAATATATTTAAAAAAATAAATAAATAAATAAATTGTTGGATATAAAGTTTAAAAGAAGAGAGGCTTGGAAAATGAATACTAAACCATTCAGGATGGGATCATACAGAAACAATTTTTAATCCATTCAGTATCTCACCAGAAATTAATAAATACTACTCCCAGATGCTAAGCTCACTCATTTAGTGTCAACTCTAGCTGCTTAATTGCTGGCACAGTTAAATAGTCCTGTTTATATATATCTTAACTGGCTGAAACATTAGTCATACAATAAGAGATACGTTCCTCTCTTTTTAAACAATGCCCTAGATTTAGAACCTCTACTTCAAAATAGCTGGAGGAATATTGCAGATGTTCTCAAATGGATATCAAGACAAATACACTGGGAGGCATTCACTAAATCAAGATAACCACATCCTAGGTTTTTTTTTAACATACATATTTTTATTGATTTCAAGAGGGAGAGAGAGAGAGATAGAAACATCAATGATGAATCACTGATTGGCTGCCTCCTGCACGCCCCCTACTGGGGATCGAGCCAGCAACCGGGGCATGTGTGCTGATCAGGAATCGAACCATGACCTCCTGGTTCATACGTCAAGGCTCAATCACTGAGCCAAATCAGCGGGGCTATATCCTAGGTTTTGCTCCTAAATTATGAATGGTGCCTAGCCTACACCAGCTCTACAAGGATTTTAAAATATATAAAACCTAAAGCATATTGAGTATCTTTAACGATGACTCCAACCAGAGGCACTCACAGCGCTATTCTGCCAATTTTCAGATTCGATGCAGCATGGGAGGTACTGGATGACAATTTAGATGAATATCAATGTGATGAAATCCCACTAATTCAAATTATTCCCGTCACTCAAAAAACACTTATTAAGCACCTCTGTTAACAGTAGTTTGAGAATTATCTGTCCTATCACACACTGGGGGTGGGTTACATCTTTTTCTGTATGAGCTCCAGGGTGTGGGGAAACCACGTGGCTTTCCTATATCTTTGATAGCCATGTCCACGGGGAACAGATAACTGCTGTCACTTGGAAATATATGTATTTGGCTTCGGTTCTCAGAACGCCTCTCTTTAAATCTGTTTTTCCATTTCCCTGCACCTTTGCATTCCATCCCTCAAGCATTTCATTTTCCTTCTCTGACGTTTCAAAACAGCTCCTTCACCTTAAATCCCAGCCCATCTACGATGGACGGTTTTCTAAAAACGCATTTTAAATAAATAAATAAATAAAAAATAAATAAATAAATAGGATGCATTCAAGATCACATGGGACGTTAAGCAGTATTCTCGGGCACCGGTCCCAGGTCCCATTCATTTTAGCGTTAACTCTCCTGCTTCCCCCTCTCTCCCCGCCTCTCTCTGATCCTCCCTCCCCAACATCCATCTTGCCCCCACCTTTAACTCTCCCCAAGTCAGCACCCACGTCCTCCTCAGGCTCCCGTCCCCACGCAGGCTTCCCCCGAGTCTCCACCGCCCCCAGCTCTCCTGAATCTTCACCACCCTGCGACGTCCCCGTGTTTTCTCGGGTCCCTCCTTCCCCACCACCGCGGACCCCACCCCTATCCCCGCCGCAGCCGCACGCAATTTAGGGAACGCCCCCTCACACTCTCCCCGGATTCCCCCCAACTTGTCTCTTCCCCTTAAGAGCCCCCCGGCACCCCCCGCACCCCTTCCCAGAGCCTGCTAGGTCTCCCTGCAGCCCCAGAGCCTCTTCCCTTCTCCCCGGAGAGTTCTGGGACGCGGCCACCCCGCGGAGCCCGCCCGGCCCTGCCCACCCCCGGGCACCGCGCGGGCTCCAGGGCCCCAGCCCCTCCGGCGCGGCCCTCCGACCTGCCTCCGCGCCGCCCGCAGCCCCTGCAGCCTCTGGCCCAGCTCCCGCCGGTAGCTCTGCGCCGCCTCCACGTTCTCGCGGGCCTCCTGCAGCAGCAGCTCGGGCTCCAGCTCCATCGCCTCCTCGTCCGGCCGCTCCGCCGGCGGCTCCGGGCGCGGTTCCCGACTGTCCCGAGCGCCGCCGAGCGGCCCGGCGTGGCCCGGCGCAGGCGGAAGCGCCGCCCCGCCCCGCCCCCCGCGGCCTTGACTGACAGGCGCGCGCGGGCGTCCGGATCCCGGCGCCTCCCGCCCCTGGGCCCGCGGTGCCCGCTCCCTGTGCCCGAGCCGCGTCCGGCCGCGGCGTCTCCTCCGGGCACGCGTGGAGGCGGGGAAAGGTTGACAGCACCTTCCCAGTGTTTCCCGCATCTTATTTCATCCCGGCCTCCTTGTAGCTGCTTCCCAGAGGAGGACACGGAGGGACAGGGAGGGCCACGGACGGTGTCGAGCGTGGGGATGTCAACCCACGCGGCTCCTGGATCGCCCTGGTCCTGCCTCCCTGCCCCGCGGGAATCCCAGCCGCGGGGGGATTTTCGGGGTTACTCTGAAGCAGGCCCCACGCCCAGAGGACCCCACCCCTGGCCTAGTGAGGGAGCCAAGACAGGCCGTCAGCGTCGGCCAGCGGCGGGGACAGCTGTCCGGGCACAAGTCCAAGACAGGTGTTTGCAAACTTTTCTCTCAAGGGGCAGCCGGGGCCATGAGGTCTCCGTTGCAGCATCGTAAATAAGTGGGCGTGGCCGTGTGCAAATATTAAGGACACACATTTGGATCTCACTTAATGTTCACTTGTTACAAAATATTCCTTGCAACTTTCGTCAGCTATTTGGAAAAAGTAAAAACTGTTCTTCGACTGGGGCCCTGTAGCGCGGTTGGTTGGAGCGTTGTTGCAATACCCTGAGGTTGTGGGTTTGATCCCTAGTCAGACTTTCTCTCTCTTTCAATCAATTTTTAAAAATCAAAAACACAACAACAAACAAACCAGTCCTCATTCAGCGGCCATACAAAACCAGGAGGTGTGTCAGATTTGGCTTTCGGCCACAGAGTGCCCACGTCTGGCCAAGGATGTTAGAGCTGAAAGTTGCCTCAGCCAGGGAACGCAGACAGGACATGATTTAATCAAGATGACACCTGGGCCGAAACCGGTTTGGCTCAGTGGATAGAGCGTCGGCCTGCGGACTGAGAGGTCCCAGGTTCGATTCCGGTCGGGGGCATGTACCTGGGTTGCGGGCATATCCCCAGTGGGAGATGTGCAGGAGGCAGCTGATCGATGTTTCTCTCTCATCGATGTTTCTAACTCTCTATCCCTCTCCCTTCCTCTCTGTAAAAAATCAATAAAATACATTAAAAAAAAAAAAAGATGACACCTGGAATGTGTACGAGAGGCTAAATCCCAGTTTTCCTGGGCCAATTAGAAAAGATCAGTAAAGAGAAGCCCTTCTGTAGAAAATGGGAAATTAGCTCTGTCTCGAAGATAAGGTAGCCAGGCACTTAGTTAATACTGGATTAGCCAATGAATCCCCTTTATTGTTTAAGGCAGCTTGAGGTGAGTTTTTGTGACTTGCAACTGAAGGAATTCTAAAGGATACAAGCTAAAGGAGGGCCCAGACAGGAAAAGTAGTGAGACACAGGGTGTAATTGAGCTAGGTGAAAGATGTAAATGTATACTAAAGATATTTAATAACATCCTGAATGGAAAGGCCATTGAAGTCGAATCAGGAGAGACGGCCACAAACAAAATATATGAACACCACTTACATATTCTCAGCCTTGGCCCTTATACTACTAATCCAGCAATGAAGGGGGATTTTGCCTTCACCTCCTCACCTGCAGGCTGTCTGCAACCTGGCTCCCAAGTTTCAGTGGGACACAACTGAGAGAAATGACTGAAGAGGCAGATGGGAAAGGGGAAGCTGGGTATCTGGAGGTATATATTGGGTGAGACATTGAGGGAGAAACCTTAGGGCACTAATGGGGGATAAGGAAAGGAGAGTGGAGAAGAGGATATTAAAGAGTTTCTGTGATTTATGAATTGGGGACTGTCAGGAGATATGACAATACAATGCCACATGTGATTGTAGACTGGATCCATTTGCCATAAAGGGACTCATTGAACAGTTGATTAAACTTGAATGGGTTCTGAGGATTTGACGCTAATAAAGTATCAATGTTAAATCCTATTTTTGATGATTACATTGTGGATTCATAGAATGTACTTGCAGAATGTTGGAATTTACTCTCAAATGACTTATTCAGGAAAAAATGTTGCACTGTATTTACAACTTGTCTGTAACTTTAAGATTTCTATAAATGTGAGTTTTCAAAACATAAAAACATATAGAATTAATAAAAATATTTTAAGAGACATATTAAGATTAGGATTGTCTCTTATTTTTTATTGTTGGACAGTATTTCTTTGTATGAATTGCTATTCAAAAACTAGGTCCTGCCCAGCCAGTGTGGCTCAGTGGTTGAGCGTCGACCTACGAACCAGGAGGTCACGGTTTGAGGTTCCATTCCTGGTCAGGGCACATGCCCAGGTTGCTGGGCTCAATCCCCACCCGGTGTGGGGCATGGGGCATTCAGGAGGCAGCCAATCAATGATTCTCTCTCATCATTGATGTTTCTATCTCTCTCTCCTACCTCCTTCCTCTCTGAAATCAATAAAAATATATTTTTTTAAAAAACCAACTAGGTCCTAAGACTTATTTAGTTGTAACCAGTTGATTCTCAAGAATATGGTAATAGCCCAGCCAGTATGGCTCAGTGGTTGAGCATCGACCCATGAACCAAGAGTTCACTGGTTCAATTCTGGGTCAAGGGACATGCCAAGGTTGCAGGCTTGATCCCCAGTAAAGGCTGTGCAGGAGGCAGCCAATCAATGATTCTCTCTCATCATTGATGTTTCTATCTCTCTCCCTCTCTGAAATCAAGTATATATATATAAAATATCTATGGAAGGACATTAGAAAAAAAGAATGTGGTAATAATATTAGCTGTGTAAACAGGGAAGTCAAAGAGTAAAAAGTCATCACTATATGTCCAATACAGTTAGGAGCTTTCTGAGAAGTTGGAGAGAGGAGAGAGAAAGCCTCAGCTGACCAGATAGCCAAAGTATCCTAGACTAAATCCATTGTTTACCAAATAACTCTCTGGTTACAACTTGATACTCCAGTTGCTGCAGTTTTCTCGCCAATTATATCTGATTCATAAATAAATAAATTAGCAACTTGCTTTGTTTATTTCTTGTCTTTTTAGCATGAAACGTCTGTGCCCCTGAATCTGCTCACTTCTGAGTACATGTAAAAAGTCAATTCCAGACCAATTTGATGCCACAACGATTAAAAAACAAAAGTAAAAATCCCAACTCTGTAGAACCCTGTCTGATGGCCTGCTGGTTTCTGTCATTTGCCACCTCCAGGTCAGTCTTCCTGTGTTCAATCTTCCTCTGTCTTATCAACCAGACTATTTACTCTTTAGGACCGTGTGCTCTAAAAAGCATGTTTCCAAAATTTCAAGCCTGGGAGAGTGATTTCACAAGATTTCCTTCAGTTTCCTTTGTATTTTTTCTTTTTTTCTATAGTGTCGATATATTAGATTCATATATATATATATTTTTTTGCCTCTCATTAGTTAGTAGATCGAGGAAATAAAGTTTAATGAGACTAAGATTAGTGTCTTGGCTTTATGGAAGTTTTTCTCTTAATTTTTTAAAAATTTGCATGTAGTAATAAAAAAAATAAAAGAAAAAAAATTTCATGTAATAAAGTCCTCCAGGGTAGAATCAATTCTATTCAATTAGCTTTAGAGAGCTCACATAACATTGCTATGTTCAAGAATATTTAATAAACCCTGTTTTTTACTGACTCAATCTGTGCCTTAACCCTTCTGTTCCCTTGAATTATTTTCCTATCTTCTCCCCCACTTCCAGTTTCAGACCTCTGTAAAGGCCAACATCCTAATTCAAGCCTCTCATATTACACCTGGACTAATGCCATATGATTTTTCCTTATATACCCACTTCAGCTATCCTATATATATTCATTTCCCTAAACAAATACTCGAGAGTGTACTGTAATGCCAACCCCTACTTTATCTTAAGACAGACCCCAAGACCCACCTCTCTATCATTTATCTTCCTAAAACATGTTTTGCAAATGTCACTGCACTTGCAAAAATCTTTGCTGTCTATTCATTAAAGCCAAAACTTTTAACCTGAACTCCATGGCCCTTACTTTTCTCTTAATTCATCTCCCTTCTTTTTATTTTTTTAATTCTTAAAAATAACTTAATTTTAAAAATATTTATTTTTCAGTTACAGTTGACATCCTATATAGTAAAAGCCTAATATGCAAATCGACCAAACAGCAGAACGACTGGTGGAATGACCGGTTGCTATGATGTGCACTGACCACTAGGGGGCAGAAGCTCAATGCTGGAGCTGCCCCCTGCCTGCAGGCTCCAGGCCAGCCAAGGTGGGTTCCAGCAGGGGCCCCTGTCGGTTGCCCCACAGATCAGCCCTGATCGCCGGCCAGGCCTAGGAACCCTACCTGTGCACGAATTTCATGCACTGGGCCTCTAGTACAATATATTAGTGTTTAAGTGTACAACATAGTAACTAGACATGTTTAAAACTCACCTGGATAAATCTAGTACTCAACTGACATACATAGTTATTACAATATTCTTGACTACATTCCCTATGCTTTATTTTACATCCCCATGCTCCTTTCTTTCGTAAACAGTCCATTTATATTCCTATCTCCAAGACCTTATACCCTTCCCCACTTAGTTTTGTCCTACCTGGGATGCCTTTCCTCACTGCTTTTGTTTAGTTAATAATACCTTAATTCATGTAACAGATATTCTTGAGTACAATAGTGTCTCCTTTTCCAAAGGGAGTCTATCCCAAGATTCCCAGTGGATGCCTGAAACCACAGGTAGTACTGCACCCTATTCAGGGTAAGGCAAAAGTCAGCTTACAGTTGTGGGTATGTGAAACAGTTTATTACTGTATTATTATTTATTAATTATGATATTATATTTCATATGAACAACTGCAAACCGACTTTTATCCCACCCTGTATATAGTATGGGTTTTTTTTCTATATGTATTCACCTTTTCACTTAAAGGAAGCACTTCTCTTTGGCATATCCAAATTGTCAGCATCACTACTCTTGGCACTTTGGGGCCATTATTAAGTAAAATAAGGATAACTTGAACACTGCAACAATCAATCTGATGACTGAGATGTCTAATGACTAATGGGTGGGTATCCTATACAGGGTGAATACACTGGACAAAGGGATGATTCACATCCCAGGCGAAAGACTTCTTCACATTGCTCAGAACTGCATGCATTTTAAAGTGCATGAATTATTTATTTCTGGAACTTTTCATGTAATATTTTTGGACTGAGGTTGGTCAGATGGATTAGGGGTGAAGTCGACCATTATTGTAAATTCTAAGAGGATAGGAATGTTTTGTTTATAGCTGCTTTGTTCATAGCTGACAAATATCAGGCACTCAATAGTATTGATGGATGGATGGATGGATGGATGGATGGATGGATGGATGGATGGATGGATGGCACAGCAGGTAACAGTGAGGTATGGGACTGAAAAAAGGGGACATCAGTTAAAATTAGAATTAGCTATTCCACATCCATTGCCTTATTCCATGTATTTAGGTGATCCCTCCCCATTGCTTCCACACAGCTGCATGAGATATAAACCCCCTGCCCCGAAGAGATTGGTGGAGAAACTGAATGGCCTCAGAGAAAAGACCTCCACCTATTAACATTGAGAAGCTCCGCCCAGACCAGTGTAGTGGTTAGAGCGTCAGCCAGAGCACTGAAGCACTGCGGTTCCCAGTCAAGGGCACTACCTGGGTTGCAGGTTACATCCCCCGCTTGGTGGAGGCGCCTGTGGCAGGCAACCAATTGTGTCTCGCTCACATCGATGTCTCTCTCTCTCTGTCGCTCTCTCCTTTCAACTCTCTCTCTCTCAAAAAAATAAAATAAAATAAAAACAAATTTAAAAAATCAATGGAAAAAAATCCTCCAGTGAGGATTTACTAATAAAATAAAATGCGTAGTGATTTAGCAGAATAAAAAACGCTATATCCTATTTAACCCAGCAATTCCACTTCTAAGTGTGTAACCTAGAGAAACATTACAAGGAGACATGGATAAGAAAGTTCATTGACTCATTAAGTAACAGAAAATTGGAGACATCCTAAATGTTCACCACGAAGGAAATGAATAAATAAAATGTTGTGCATAATTGGATGAAATGCTCAGAAATGAAAAAGAATGAATCAGATCTACACATATCATGGATAACTTGAAAAGAATGATGCGTGAAAAAAAGCAAATTGCTGAGAAACATTTACAGTGTTGCCTTTTATGTAAATAAAAGCAAACCAAAGTTTTTTATGCATACATATATATGTATGTAAACATATAAAAAGGGCTGCAACACTATCTACCAAATGGGTCATATTGGTTACCACTGGGACGAAGAGGAAAAGACTATTTGGGGGCGAATGTCAAGGAGACTCCTTTTTCTCTGTAATTTTTTTCATTTTTTTCTCCTCCTTACACCCGGTCCCTCCTCCCCCTAACCCTATCTGCTCCTCCTCCTCTTCCTCATCCTCCTTCTTGGGCAGTGTTCTTATACTACATAAGGTGTTTGTTTTTTAAAAAAATTAAATTCTGTATTCTTTAAAGTATTACATAAGTCTCTTTTTTCCCCCCCATTGACCTCTCCCGGGCCACCCTCACCCCCAGCTACATAAGGTTTTGTTTGTTTATTTTTAAAGCAAATCAGCAGTCTCCCTTCTTGAAAAACCTTACCCACGGCTAATAATTTTCAAAGAAAAAGCAGTTACCACTAATTTCATCGGATAAATTTGTACCCTTTAAGTTGTCAAGACAATAGCAAATACTATCAAAATGAACACAATTACGTCAATAGTTAATATGAATTTGCATAACCCGACCTAACGAGGTGGCTTCTTATTATTTGAGAAGTCCTTTTCTCTGTCTTATTTTTAGCTCTTACAAACTGTGCAGTTAAAACTATGCACTCAGACAGAATAAACATATTCTTTATGTAACCGCAATTTAATGTAAAAAAAGTTAAAAAAAAATAAATCCAGGAAGACAATGCAAATGAAGTATGAGGTTAGCATCACTACAAACCAGTAAACTGCTAGTTCCTTGCGATGACAGGAAAACGCAAGAACAGCCGAGTCGATGACCCTGGACTCCTAGCTGCTCGAGAGGACGAAATCCACAGCAAGAAATACCTAAAGGTAAAAAAAAACAAAAGAAAAAAGAAAAAAAAAGTCCAATGTGGGACCCCGAATGGGCGTATCGCGAGGTAGGACGATTGCCAAAATAACATTTTATTCCGCGGGAGAGAAATTGTAATCAATTGTTACTTCGTTTTCTGTATTTTTGCAAAATTCCACATTTAAATAGGGGACAACGTGGGTCCTCAAAAGTGTAGGGCTTTAATTCTGTCACTGACGGACGTTAGTGAAATCAGGTCCGCATCAGCGAAACCGGGCGTGAGGAGTTCGAATCTTCAAAATCCCCGCTGATTTTACGATAGGAAAGTCCCGCCTCCTGCGCGTTCGCCAAACACGTATTTTGGCCCTCGCGTCTCACCGTCCGCGCAGCCTCCAGAAACAATCCTAGGCTCCGCCCTCTGCGCCCCGGAGGGCGCGAAAACCCAATTGACAAGAAGTCCGTCCGGAGCCCGCGGGTCTCCTCTGTGTTCGGCTTGCTTTCCCCGCCGGGGTCCCAGTCCCGAGCACCCAGCCTCCAGTGCCCGAATCGGGGGCGCCCCGCGTTCACCCGCCGCGACCTAGGATCCTGGTTGCCCGCGCTTTTTCACCGTCTCTTCCCGCGTTCGACTCGGCTGAGCTGGGCCCAGCCCCCGCGACCGATCCGGGCGGGTGGGCGCCGGGGAGTCCGAGACGGACCCCGCGGCCCAGCGCCTCGTTCTTGCGGGAGCCGGCCGCCCCCATGGCCTCCAGGCATGCCAGGCCGGGCCGTACCAGGTCCTAGGAGCCGGAATTCCGGGAAGCGGGGAGCATGGTGGGGGTCCTGGCCATGGCGGCGGCGGCAGCTGCTCCCCCTCCGGTGAAGGACTACGAGATAGAGGTGAACTTGAGTCTCTCCCTCCGTCTGTGTGGGGCGGGTGAGAGGTGGTCACGACTTTGGATCCTGGGGGGGACCGAGGGGCCTGGGAGGCCCCGCGGTTGTGACATTGTGTGGGACAGTGGCCGGGGTGTGTCGTTTCTCCGAGTCGCGATCGGTCCTGGTAGGTAAGTGAGGGTTTAGGGTGACCCGACCAGTTCCCAGATCCTGAAATGTGGGTGGAACTTGAGGCTTTGGATTGTGAAATGTCACGCAGTATCCTTAAGTCTCGGTTGGTGATGGCGATGATGGAACTTTAGCGTTGAAAGGGATCTTGAAGTCCACCGGGGCCATCCATCCGCCTGTTCTAGGAATGCCCTTAGAATGCCACTACCAGAATCAGACAAGGGGCTTTAAACAATCGTGGGTTTGTGTGTGTGTGTGTTTTTCTTTCGCGGCTCCAGAGCTTAATATACTGCAGTTAGGAGCCACAGCACGGCACACTGCTCTTCTTTTGTGTGTCAGTGCAATGCGCAGCTTCTCGGTGAAACTTACAGGTGAAACACACCAGCTGTCGCGAGGAAGAGAGGCGGGTGCCTGGCAGCAGGGGAGTAGCCCCTTAGAGGAGACTGTTTTTCTGTGTTTACGCCTTTCCACCTCAAGCCAGCATAGTTCTAACTGACGTATGCATACCGGTGTCCTTGAAGTGAGCCAAGATGTATGCTCACTTATTTAACGGGGGCTCTTATTTTTTTTAATTTAGATTTAATTTTTGCTGATTTTAGAGAGAGTGCAAGAGAGAGACAGCATTGGTTCGTTCCACTCACTTATGCATTCATTGGTTGATTCTTTTTTAAAAAATATTTTTTCCACTGCCCTGGCCGGCTTGGCTCAGTGGATAAAGCATCGGCCTGCGGACTGGGGGGTCTCGGGTTCGATTCAGGCCAAGGGCACATGCCTGGGTTGCGGGCTCGATCCCCAGTTGGGGGTGTTCGGGAGGCAGCCGATCAATGATTCTCTCTCATCATTGATGTTTCTATCTCTCTCTCCTTCTCCCTTTCTCTCTGAAATCAATAAAGAAATATATTTAAAAAAAAATAAAATAAAATATTTTTTCCACTATATGTTTACTTACTGATATTTTATCTTTTTTAAAATTTATTTTATTGATTTTTTACAGAGAGGAAGGGAGAGGGATAGAGAGTTAGAAACATTGACCAGCTGCCTCCTGCACACCCCCCAATGGGGATGGGCCTGCAACCAAGGTACATGCCCCTGACTGGAATCGAACATGGGACCCTTCAGTCCGCAGGCCCTCGATCTACCCACTGAGCCAAACCGGTTAGGGCCATTGGTTGATTCTTACATGTGCCTTGATGGGGGGGTGGGATCAGGCAACCTTGGTGTTTCTGAATGAACTCTAATCAACTGAGCTACCCCACAGGGCCTTAAATTTTATTTTTTAATTACAGTTTACATTCAATATTATTTCATATTGGCTTCAGGCATAGTGATTAGACAACCAGCCTCCCCCCTCCCATAGTTTAAGTACCCACCTGGCACCATACATAGTTATTACACTATTATTGACTATATTTCCTATGCTGTACTCTTTCTTAATTTTTAGAATCAAGTAACTTTGTCCAGTTACTAATCATTGTTATGCTCATAATTGTTTGTTAAATCTAGGTAATTGCTCAGCTTGTCTCAGGTGTGAAGAAGGACTTGGTACTTGAATTACATAGTTTTTTATTTTTGTGTGGTCAGTTTTATCCATCTTTTTGTTACAGTTTCTGCTTTTCGCACCCTGCTTAGAGAGCCTATTTCATAACAGTGATACTTACTGTTTAGTATTTTAAGGGTAAGGGCCTTATACACATTATTTTACTTAATATCAGCCTTGTGATGAGGTACTGTTATCTGTATTCTACAGAAGGGAGGTTACAAATTACCTTAAAGTAATTTGCTTAAGGTCCCTCACTAGTAGATGTCAGGGTGAGCACTTAAACTTATATCTGCCAGACTCGAGAGGCTATGGTATTGTGCCACTGATACCATCTCAGGGTAATAATAAGAATACAATTAATTAGCATTTTCTTCAAATACACTTACCATTTACATTTTTTAAAATATATATTTTATTGACTTCAGAGAGGAAGGAAGAGGGAGAGAAAGCTAGAAACATCAATGATGAGAGAGAATCATTGATCAGCTGCCTCCTGCACACCCCACACTGGGGACTGAGCCTGCGATCCGGGCATGTGCCCACTGGCAATGGAATGGTGACCTCCTGGTTCATAGTCGACCCCCAACCATTGAGTCATGCAGGCCAGGCAAATTTTAACATAAAATTTTAAGCCTATAATTTATTTTGCCTCATGCTTATCCAATAGTGAGAGATTTGTCCCAATACCATTTAACTGCTTCATTGCCCACTAACTTAAATGCTACTGTTATCACATACCAAGTTCTTAAATATACATGTCTTTTTCTGGTTGTCTTTTCTTTTCCTTTCTTTTCTTTCTTTTTTTTTTTTTTTGTAAGAAAACATTTATGCCCTAACCGGTTTGGCTCAGTGGATAGAGCGTCGACCTGCAGACTGAAGGGTCCCAGGTTTGATTCCGGTCAAGGGCATGTACCTGGGTTGCAGGCACATCCCCAGTAGGGAGTGTGCAGGAGGCAGCTGATCGATGTTTCTAACTCATCCATGTTTCTCTCTATTCCTCTCACTTCCTCTCTGTAAAAAATCAATAAAAAATATATATTTTTTTAAAAAAGAAAACATTTATTGGGTAAATTACAAAGTTAGAAAAAGTAGTTTCTGGAAGAAATGGGCTTAGGAAACAAGTTATAGAGGTAAGAAGGGCCCTTGATCTTGGGAGTAAGTAAGCTAATGGTAACATGCCTGGGAGGTGGGAGGGAAACGGAAAGGAGGGAGAGCCTTTTTCTGGTTTTCTAACCAATTTCATTAAGTTGCTTGCCTTTGTTCATAGGTACGAAGCTTTTAATCATGATAGCTTTATAATGTGTTTTACTTTTATAGAAGTATAATGCGCCCATTCATTATTTTAAAATTTTTCTTGTTATTCTGGCAAAGTTATTCTAACAAATGAACTGAGGGAAGTTAAAATCAAAGAAGAGACTGATGGAGCTTTGTAAATTGCTAATTTATGACCAACAAAAATATAACTTTTTAGCATTATAGTCATCTTGATATTATGAGGGTAATAAGTAATGGAAGATGCAGGCAGTACTGTTTTAATAGCAAATTAAAATACTGGAAAGTTTTATTTGTGGAAAGTGTCCTTCACCATAATTTTTACTTGATTAGTAAATTTTGGGTTCCTAGGGTTGTTCATTATGTACCCGCTTCTTAGAAGTAGAAATATTTTGCCCAGCTGGTGTGGTACAGTGGTTGAGCGTTGACCTAAGAACCAGGAAGTTCATAGTTCGATTCCTGATGAGGACATGTGCCCCAGCTGTGGGCTGGATCCCCTGCCAATCAATGATTCTCTCTCATCATTGATGTTTCTTTCTATCTCTCCCTCTCCCCTCCTCTCTGAAATTTAAAAAAAAAAAAGAAGTAGAAATTTTGTTTATTTTTAACTTAAAAAGTGAAAACGGAACAGAATTAATATTTGTAGAGTTCCTACCATGCATCAGACCACATATTTTTATGTAGCATGTTCATTACTTATCTTGTGAGGTGGGTGGTACTATTCAAAAGTTATAGAATAAAAAGAGGCCAATAGAAATGAACACATTTGTACCTAAATATGGTGGCCTTGAAACTTTTTATTGAAGGATAATATGTCTATAGTAAAGGTATAAGTTGATGTCATGTTGAGATTTGAATTAGGTTTAACTTTAAAGCTCCTTTTACATCTAATTACTGAAAATATTAGATCATGTTTACAACATATGTTTTGTATTATTTTGTTGAAATAAACCTTTTATCTTTTTTTAAATTGATAGGTATGCAAAAAGCGAAGGAGAGATGATGACAGATCTTCCAGTGAAACAATTACGAAATATTTATCACCAGTAGAGAAGACTGGAGACAGGGTTTTTTCTCCACCAAAATCCAGTAATATTCTGGATTATTTTAGAAAAACTTCACCCACAAATGAGAAGACTCAGTTAGCAGGAGAGTGCAAGATAAAATCATCTGCAGCATCACCTGCTGACATTGGCAAACACTGTAAAATACCTTTGGAAATGTTCTCAAATATAGAGTTTAAGAAGAGAAGAAAGACAGTTAATTTATCTCATCAACTAAGTAATATTAAACCTGAAAATGAATCTCCAATTGAAATTAATAGTGATGATAGCAAAGAAGACTCTAGTTTAAATAATGATGTTGTGGAGAGTAGTACTTCTGTTTCACTCAAGCAACATGTAGAAATACTTGCAGAAAGTATTCAAGATATCAAAAACCAGTCAAACATTGTGGCCTCCAAGAAAAGTTCTAAGAAAGTAAAACCTAAACTAGGGACCACAGAAAATGATTGTAAAAATTTGAGAAAAAGGAAGCGCCAAGAGATAATAGATCTATCTGAAAGTTTACCCTTGGCAGAGGAGCTAAATCTCCTTAAAAAAGATGGTAAAGATAGTAAACAGATAATTCCTTCCCTAGCTAATGAAATGGAGAGTACTACAAATAATGTAACTAAACCAGCCCAGTTAAATGATGGTACAATAACTGTCTCGTATGAAGAATTTTTAAAAAGTCACAAGGAAAATAAACTGGAACAGATCCCAGACTCTACAATGTCAATTTGTGTTCCTTCTAAAACTGTTGAAGGTAGAGTCACAAGTGGTTGCATAAGTGATACAGAAACCTGTGAAATTTCCCAGCAAGTACCCTTTAAGACAGTTACTGTTCTTGCACAAGTTCACCCTATCCCCCCAAAAAAGACAGGGAAAATACCCTCAATTTTCTTGAAACAAAAGCAGTTGGAAATGGAAAATAGTCTGTCTGATCCCGAGAATGAACAGACAATTCAGAAAAGAAAATCTAACGTTGTCATACAGGAGGAAGAACTAGAATTGGCAGTATTGGAAGCTGCAAGTTCTGAAGCTGTGAAACCAAAATGCACTCTAGAAGAAAGACAGCAATTTATGAAAGCATTTAGGCAGCCAGCATCAGATGCACTTAAAAATGGAGTCAAAAAGTCTTCTGATAAACAGAAAGAGCCTGATGAAAAATCTTTAAATGAGGAAGAAAGAGACAGTAATTCTAAAAAAATCATGGAAAATCCTAATATCCAAATGGTTTCAGATAATGGCAATTCACAGTCACACACTAATAAAGGAAGTTTTCCTAAGGGGAAATGTAAAAAGCTAAAGAAAAAGGATAAGAAAATGTTAGATATTGGTGCTACTTCAGGTGAAAATAGAGAGGGAAATCCTCAAATGAAGGAAATAACTTTTTCCTTTAAAGGTAAACAAAGTAAAAATAGGCTAAGAATGAGTTTAAGACAAAAGAAAACAGGAGTTTTCAAAGACAGCCCGTTATTTAGCAGTGCAAGTTTTATTTGTGAAGATGGAGCAAATGATGACCCTCTAAAGATTTTTTCTCAGTATAAGAAGTCTTCAAGAAAAACTAGCACACCAGTTAAGGATAAGGTAATATATTCTAAAGCTGAAACTGAAGACAGCTTGGTAAATGTTTTTACACCCAAATCAACGAGGAGATCTGTAAGAGGTAGCAGGACACCTTCTGCAACAATCATTGGAGGTACGGATTCTAGAGATGCACAAGATATATGTCCTGTGAATGCTTCCACTCCAAGAGCATCCAACTTATCAGAAAAGCACACCTTATATACAGCGGAATTAATGACAGTATCCTCTGAGTCAGAGAGTCCTATTAGGTAAGGCAAAGTTTTGTTTTTGTTCTAAAGTTTTAAGTATTTTGCATATACTGTTAGCTGGGAAGGAAAATAAGCATTAGAGAGTAGTATTTTTTCATAGAATACAGCTGATTTATAAGGAAAATAAAAGAGGGTGTCAAAAATGCTACTTTTCCACATTTAATAAAGTCAGGCATGATTTTAGAAGAATTCTAGATATATTTTAGATGAGCTCTACACTCTTATAACAGTTGCTGAATGAAATAGTCTTCAAATATGAATTTGGTGCATTTAACGAACGAGACTAAAAATAAATCATAGAACTTTATTTCTTGGGTAAACAGCGCCATGCACTATGAGGTCTGTACTTGCATACTGGTTTTGGCTAAGGTAAGAGTGATCTTAGGGGTTAACTTTCTGTAAAACTCATGACTTCTCAAATAAACAACTTATATTGCGAGTTTAACCTTGAGTTTGGCTTACTTTTGAATTAGTAATTTGAAACTAATGGAGTGTTTTTGTGTTTTTCTGTTTAGAACTGTCCAGAAATTGGAGCCCTAGTTGGTTCTTTTCTGTATTGAAATTCTTACACATTATAATCATGAAAATGTTTCTGAATTTTTTCCCCCAGAATGAAATTCACCAGAATTAGTATTCCCAAAAAATCTAAGAAGAAATCTAAGAAAAGTTCCAAGAAATCTGAAGCAACTGGTGGAGATTTTACCTATCAAACTAGAAAGGTAATTGAAATATTAGGGATTCCTGTAAGTGATATTCTATTTTCTCATAAGCAAAAATAACAACTACTACTATTAGAAGTAATACACTCTAAGAAGATTCACACATTTCTTGGATTGATTATGTTAACTACAACCCTATGTTATTTTCCACTATTTTTTTATTCCTCTAGTTCAGTGGTTCTCAACCTTCCTAATGCTGCGACGCTTTAATACAGTTCCTCATGTTGCGGTGACCCCCAATTTCATTGTTACAAATTGAACATAATTAAAGCATAGTGATTAATCACAAAAACAATATGTAATTATATATGTGTTTTCCGATGGTCTTAGGCGACCCCTGTGAAAGGGTTGTTCGACCCCCAAAGGGGTCGCGACCCACAGGTTGAGAACTGCTGCTGTAGTTAGTTATTAAGATATCAAGATCGTTAATTGTGAGATGAAAGCAATTGTGAAGGGCAGTCTAATTTACTTTTTCTAGGTTTTGAGAGTTACATTCCAATTTTTCTCTAAGGTTACTTTTAGGTCATGATCAAATGTTTGGTTTACTAGTATTTCTGTAGATTAGAAATAAAGAGTACCATTTCTGGTACTATGGACATTTTGGGCTGGATAATTCTTTGGTGTGGGGGATTCTCCTGTGCATTATAGGATGTTTAGCAATAACCCAATTAACTGTAGGTTTATTCAACTTTTATTTTAGAAAGACCATGCCTTGTTTGTGTACTGCTTAGAATTATGATTCAGTAATAAAGTTTCCAACAAGAGAAATCTCAAAATTTAGTATATCCAAATTGGGGCCCTTATCTGAATTTACTTAGATCAGTTATTTTATCTCATACTATTAATGTGTCAGTGATCCTCTTACCATACCGCCTTGCTTTTTGAAGCCTTAGCCAGGCTTGTTTACTAGCAATAGGCGAAAATCTTAGTCATTTTCTGGAAGAAATTTTTCATTTATGAGAATAAGAATAGACTGATTTTCCTAAGAGCTCCATATTCATAACAGCTCTTCCAACAGATATTTACAAAATGGCTTTCAGAATGGTTCTGGCTTCATTTTTTTCATGCAATAAATATTTATTTAATGCAATGCTATATGCTAGGCATTGGGAGGACAGCTCCATAGAAGATGCACATGGACTAGACTTTCATGGAGCTTAAGGTCTTACGGCGAATTCAGGCACATAAACATGCAATTGAATACATGTGATAAGATTTATAATAAAGTAAGTACTGAAAGCACATAAATGGGATGCCTACCTTCCAGGAACAATAAACAGGGACCCTAAATAATAAAAATTGTCCTTTAAACATAGGGAATGGTGTGTGCAAAGGCCCTGGAGACAAGAGAGAACATTTATATTTTAGGGAGTAAGAAGTAGTGTCTGGACTATTCAGGAATTGGAACTTTATTCTGAGAGGAGTAGGGAGCCATTTTAAGTAAGGGGACTAACATGATCAGCAGTTTTAGAAAAATTACTCTGTAGTATGGAGAATAATTAAAGTGGGACGGTTTGAGGCTGGGAGACCATTTAAGAGGCCTTGGAGTAATCCACAGGAGCTATATTGTGTTTTGAATGACAGTAGTGAAAAGTGGACAGCGGTTATTCAGAAGACTTGATGGGCTGAATGTGAAAGAAAGGGAGACGTGAAGCACGATAGTCAGGCTTCTGGCTTGGACTTTTGAGCAGTTGCTGTTGCATTCCACTGAGATAGGAAGAAAGCTTAGTGTGGGAGAAAGATGAGGAATTTGGTTTTGGAAGAAATGGATTCTAGGTAACTGTGGGATGTCCACGTGGAACCATTTTTAATTACCAGTTGGATCCATGGTCCTAAATCTTTGCAGAGATTTGAACCATAGGGAAAGCTAAAGGAGTCATTAGCATATTGATGGTAAATGAAACTCTGAAAATGGATGAGATGAAACAGCAAACACTTATTTAAAAAACAAGCTGCAGAAGTATATAAAATGTACAAGATCTCTTAGCACATCAATGACAGAACCAGGTCTGAAGACCAGAATTATTATCTAGTGCTCTTTTCCACACCTATTACCTTTTCAATCTCTCGCCAAAGGATTCAGCCTAAAGGTATCTAAAATCAAAGAATAAACAGCAGTGTGGTGATTGCCAGAGGGAAGGGAGTAAGTGGAGAAGGGGTCCTAATATATGGTGACAGGAGAAGATTTGACTTTGGGTGGTAGGCACACTGTCCAATATACAGATCTTATGACGTAGAAACTCACACATGAAACCTGTATGTTCATGTTGACCAATGTCACCCCAATAAATAAAGTAAATAAAAAAATTAAAGGAATGTATAAATACTGAAGTATCAGACTTCCTGATTAGATGGTTCTGTCGTAAATAAAAATGAAGTTCAAATAAATGGATAAAATCAAAGAATAGATGGCATGAAGATGGTGGAGAAATAACCAACAATTCTAATCTATACTGCTAACATCTTTCTGGATGTTTTTCAAAAATGTAACTATTTATCTGGATAAATTTCAAGTAAGAAATCATGGCAAACCAAGTATAACTAGACATTTTAATTTAATCGCCTTGGCAACATTTGAATAACCATTTCTTTGTCTCTAATGTAATTTATGATTGTATTTTTTCTATTATATATATTTTTAAATAGACATTTTCCTCTTAAGAGCAGTTATAGGTTTACAGCAAAATTGAGCTAAAGGTACAGAGATTTCTCATATATCTCCTGCACCCACACATGCACAACCTCCCCCATTGTCATTACCAGAGTAGTACATTTGTGGTATTTTGTTGTTTTATTTTTATTTTCAGTATTAAGTCAGGGGATAATGAAATGAGGAAGGGCTTAGGATACCAGAAGCAACAGGAGAGAGCCTAGGCGGGGCTGCTTTGGCTCTCTAGAAAGTCACAGAAAAGAGGACCTTGGGGGGTTGGTCTGGGATGAGCTGCCACTGCCCACTGTTCCCTGGTTGCAAGTCCCCTGGAAACCCTTAGAGTTTAGGAGATGTACTCCCGTGGGGGCAGAAGAGGGCGAAAGGGCCAAGTAGTACATTTTGTTCAGATTGAAGACTATGTTGGCATATTATTACCTAGAGTCCATAGTATGCATTAGGATTCATAGCCCTTAGGCAGCGGTTCTCAACCTGTGGGTCGTGACCCCTTTGGCGGTCAAACGACCCTTTCACAGGGGTCGCCTAAGACCATCCTGCATATCAGATATTTACATTATGATTCATAACAGTAGCAACATTACAGTTATGAAGTAGCAACGAAAATAATTTTATGGTTCAGTCACAACATGAGGAACTGTATTTAAAGGGCCAGAAGGTTGAGAACCACTGCCTTAGTGTGTTCTGGTATATTCTGTGGGCTTGGACAAATATATAACGACATGTATCCACCATTATAGTATTATATAGACTAGCTCCACTGCCTTAAAACTCTTCTATGCCTTGCCTATTCATCCCTTCCTGCTGCCCGCCCCCAACCCCTGGCAACCACTGATCTTTTTGCTGTCTCCATGGTTTTGCCTTTTCTATTTTTCTATTATTAAGTATAATATGTTTGCCAGAATCTAAATCAATGTTTCATATTTTTGTTTAGGCAAGCAATACTTCAAAAAATGTGTCAAAAGCAAAACAATTGATTGAAAAAGCAAAAGCTTTACACATTAGTAGGTCAAAAGCTGCTGAAGAAATAGTGACACCCTTAAGGCGTTCATCTAGACGTCAGATTCTTCCTGAAGGGAAGAAAATGTCAGACACAGAAGTAAGTATTACAAATATTTATTGGTATAAATTATGTCCTAACCCTGACCAGAGTGGCTCAGTTGGTTGGAATGTCATCCCAGATACTGAAAGTTCACAGGTTCGATCCCCCATCAGGGTGCATACGGGAGGCAACCTATCCATATTTCTCTCTTACTGATGTTTCTCTCCCTTCCCTCCCCCCTTTCTCTCTCTCTAAAAAAAATTTTGTCCTATTTTGTTGTTTGGAGTGGGAGAAGGAAATCATTATGAAGTTAAAAGGTAAAATTATAAGGTAGCCTTGAGGTGGTAGAAAGAATGTAATTTTTATTTCTGCTTTAAAAGTCTTTTGCTCTCTGCCCTAGCCAGTTTGGCTCGGTGGATAGAGCGTCAGCCTGTGGACTGAAGGGTCCCAGGTTCGATTCCGGTCAAGGGCATGTACCTTGGTTGTGGGCACATCCCCAGTAGGGGGTGTGCAGGAGGCAGCTGATCGACGTTTCTCTCTCATCGATGTTTCTAACTCTCTATCTCTCTCCCTTCCTCTCTGTAAAAAATCAATAAAATATATTTAAAAAAAATAAAAGTCTTTGGCTCTCTTTTGCCTACAGAATGTTTGAATCCTTATTGAGTCATTCAAGATTCTTCGTAGACTGCAGTAGGGCTTCCCTTTCTTCAAAACACCAACCTTCCTCTATACAATAAATTATTAATTTCTCCCCAAATGGTGCAGTTTTTGAATTTTTTTCAGTTTGTAGTCTAATGATGGGGAAATGTATGGAGTTGCTAATGTAATTACCTTGTCTATGGCTTCTAGCACTGTAATCCTTTTGAAATTTTAATGACATTTTATTTTAAAAATCTTTATTGTTGAGAGTATTACAGATGTCCCAGTTTTTTACCCCATTGCTCCCCTTCACCCGATTCTCACCCCACCCTAGGCCTTTACCACCCTATTGTCTATGTCCATAGATATGTGTTTATGCATATAAGTTCTTTGATTAATTTCTTCCTGCCCTGCCCCCCCTTCCTCTGAGATTCACCAGTCTGTTCCATGTGTCTTTTCTATGTCTCTGATTCTATTTTTATTGTTCGTATTTTTTATCTTTTCTTCTCCTCCTCCTCCTCTTCCTCCTCTTCCTCTTTTTAAAGAATACCCTTCAACATTTCATGTAATACTGGTGGTTTGGTGGTAATGAACTCTACTTTAGCTTTTTCTTGTGTATGATATATTTTAAAGAGTTTTTTCTTATCCTGTCTTAGGACTCTGTAATAATAATAAATTATTTTTTCTTATTTTGTCTTAGGACTCTGTAATAATAATAAATTCAAGTCCTACTTCTTTAAAGCCTCCTGAGACAAATCAGAAGAAACTTCAGTGTCTAAATGATGTGCTAGGAAAAAAACCTACCAAGACTTCTAAAAATGAACCTGGTAATCAGATTTGATAACATTTATGATGAACATTAGAAGTTTTGGGGGGGGGGGTTATATTGTTCTGAATGCTCCCATTTTAATTTAATCTCTTGTTTTATAAATGGTAAACTTTAATTGGATTAAATATTATTTCTGTTTTTATAAGTAAAGTTATAATGTAGTGAGGAGTTTTGCAAAGAGTAACTGACCATATCTTAAGTTATCACATTTCTGTGTATTTATTTATCCTTAGTTAAGTTAGTGGTACCCAAACCTGACTATTTGTCAAAATAATCTGGGTAAATTTTTAAAAAAATTACATCTTTATTTCCTTTTCTAGACATATTAACTAAGAATTTCCAGAGCTGGGTTATAGGAATCTATAGTTTAAAAAAATTTTGTTCTCCAAGAGATTCTGATAATGATATTGCCCAGTTGAGGAACTAGATCCTTACATGGAATTTTTCTTAATTGGAAGAAACTTTTAAGGAATTCATTTTTTAAACGTTTAAAAAGATAGAGATACAATTTGGAAAGTAGTTGGAAGGAAGTGGAGATGATGAACATTAATACTAACCTAAGTATTTATTTTTCTCAGGAAAAATGAAAATCGCTCCTTTATTTCTTACCAGAAAGGTTCATAAAACAGCTGATCCTATCCTTGGTTTTGATGAAAGCAGGTCAGTCCAGGATAAATTTTTAAATGCCAAAATGTTTTATGGAATGTGTTTTGTTTTCACTTACTTTGATGAGAAAGCATGAAAGTTATCATTTGAAGCTTTAATAAATACATTTTAAAAGATGAACTTAAAATATGACAGTGCTACAAGTGAATTTGAAGATCTTGTTTTTTTGCAAACATTTTGGGGCCATCTCTAGACAAAATAGTGAAAAATGAATAGGCAAACCAAAAAACCAAAAAGCTGATTATGAACTTATTCAATAAACCAGGCACTGTTTTTTGGTACGAGAAATATTATGGGAAACAAAACGAGACATTCCCTGTCCTTATGAGGCTTATATTCTAGAAGAAAGACAAGCTATAATTGAACATTAATTGGGCCAACATTTGTACTAAGAAGGAGAGATACAAAGTTCTGTTAAGTTTATATTAAGTAAATTTGGTCTTGTTAAGAAAGGCTTTACTGAGGAAATGACGCCTGAACGGAAGGATAAGCAGGAGGTCATCAGGGGAAGGAACAGCGTTCTAGCCAGAGGGAGCAGTCCCTGTACCTGGATGGAGCGTGGTCAGTACAGGAGATGGGAAGACGCCAGTGCGACTTGCGCATAGAGAGCGGGGGAGAGAGGAATGTGAGATTAAGCTGGAGAAGTGGGTGCCAGTCCCACCAAAGGATTTTAAACATGAGCATGGACATTTGGATTTTGAAAGTTTTATCTGACTGCTGGATTAATTCTGCTGTTGTATAAAGAGTGGAACAGAGGAGAGCTTATAGTGGATGCAGGAGGCCAGGTGTGAAATGATGGAAGTGTGGACTCAGGTGTTGGAAAAGATTTAGGAGATAAATTAAAAACCCTTAGTGATTAATGAGAGTTGGGGTGGGGAGAAGAAGGTGTAAGGATAACACTTAAGTTCTGGTCTATGTAAGTGGATGGCACAATGGAAGAAGACCAAATTTAGGGACATCATGTATTCAGGTTATTTGTTTTTCCTATTTCAGTTTTATTGATTTACAAATTATATATTGTTAAATGCATAAATCTAAAGCATACAACTTTGATAAGTACATTATATTGGGATATAACATTTTTATTTTACTCCAGAAAAGTTACTTACTTTTCCTGTTATCCCCACCACTGCTACAACAAAAACGTTACCACTATTATGATTTCTGTTACCATAGATTAGTATTGTGTTTTAAAATTTTACATAAACTTTAATTATATATATTCAATTATGTACATTCTTTTGTGTGTAGTTGCTTTTGCTCAGTATATACACACACATGCACATATTATTATTTAAAAAATTTTTAAATAATGTTTTTATTGATTTTTAGAGAGAGAAGAAGGGAGAAGGATAGAGAGATAGAAACATCAATGAAAAACATCATTGATTGGCTGTCTCCTGCCATGCCCCCTACTGGGGATTGAGCCTGAAACCCAGGCATGTGCCCTGACTGGGAATCGAGCCGGTGATCTCTTAGTTCTTGGGTTGATGCTGAGCCACATCAGCCAGGCTTATTTTTTTTTTTAATCCTCAACCAAGGAGTGAGAATATTTTTTCCATTGTTTTTCACAGAGAGTGGAAGTGTAGTGGGGAGAGGGAGAGAGAGGAGAGAGAAAGAGAGAAAGGCACATTGATTGGTTGCCTCCCATATACGCCCTGACTGGGGATCAAACCTGCAACGTAGGCAAGTGCCCCCCTGACTGGGCATTGAACCTGTAACCTTTTGGTGTACAGGATGATGCTCCAACTGAGCCCCCAGCTAGGGCCAAGAGTTTAGTACTAGAAGGCCCCTCTCCAGTAACCGCTGAGAGAGAATATGGGAGGACAAAGATATAAAGAAATTTTCCTTCTAAGAATGCGAGAGGCATCCCTGGATGGACTCTAACCAACTTTTTGGTTAACAGGTGAATGCACTAACCGGTTATGCTAGAGACTTGCTGTTTTCTGATTATTATATGTATAAATGCATTTTTTAAAAAGGAAAACAGAAAACAATGGGTGGAAAACTTACCACCCCTAAATAGTCCCTGTTAACATTTTAATGGGTGTCCTTCATATTTTTTCTTTCTTTTTTTTTTTAAATGCATTTAAAAAAAATATGTTTTATTAAGTTTTCACAGAGAGGAAGGGATAGGAATAGAGAGTTAGAAAAATCGATGAGAGAGAAATATCGACCAGCTGCCTTCTGCACAACCCCCACTGGGGATGTGCCCGCAACCAAGATACATGCCCTTGACTGGAATTGAACCCAGGACCCTTGAGTCCACAGGCCGATGTTCTATCCACTGAGCCAAACCAGTCAGGGCCATATTTTTTTCTATATATATATACTTATTTAACTTCTTAACACTGATAGACTTTTGTTTTTATGATAAGCAAAAAAGAATTTGACCAGCTAACATCTTAGCTGACTAAATCTTTTCAAATTAAATTAAAGGTATTTATTTTAAAGACTAGAGGCCTGATGCACAAAATTTGTCCAAGAGTAGGCCTTCGCAGCCCTGGCTGCCTCGGCCCTCGTAGCCCCGCCCCCCGCCCACTGGTCATTCTGGAAGGTTGCTCCAGAAGGTCGTTCTGCCTTCTAGTCTAATTAGCATATTAGCTCTTTATTATATAGGACAGTTTATATGTTTAAAGTTTTTATAACCTTAGCTTTCCTTTTTACATCATTTTCTTAAAAGTCAAGATACCTCCGAAAGATCTCAGGATTGTGACGTGCGACTTAAAGCAAAGCGTGACTTTTTAATGAGTGGTCTGCCAGATTTGTTGAAACGACAAATTGCAAAGAAATCTGCTGCATTAGATGTGTACAATGCAGTGAGTACCAGTTTCCAGAGAGTAGTTCATGTACAACAAAAAGATGATGGTGAGCTTGTTTATTATTATGGGATATTTACTTTGAAACTGTTAGAAGTAATATGAAACTATGTAAGGTGGTTTAAGATGAGGCAAAGGTTTAAGTGTAATTCTTAAAATGATTTTAGTGGGAATTTAAAGTCTCTTCCTGAGCCTTAGACTCACTTTACCAAGGATGACCAGGGGCAAGAAAGCCAAAGTCATCCTCAGCCTTTACCCCTCATGCCAGGGGACAGCAGGCAATGTGTGTGGGACCTTAAGTGCATATTGTTCTCCAGAGAGGCACTGTGTTCTAAAAGGAAGGCCATTCCCTTCTGAAATGATAGCCTGTGTGTGAACAGGTCATCTTTAAGAATTTCTCACAGGAGTCCAAGCTAATGTTCAGGGAAATTTGTTTGCCTCCTTTCCAGAGCAGCTTCTGCTGTTTAGTACCTACCTATTTTGGGGAATATTTTCTGGAATAGGTAACAAGTAGCAGTGCTTCATTGCCCTAGTTCACCCTATTCTCACATGCACTGTGCACAAGAATGAACTGTTTGCACAAGCCTCTTTCTTATAAGGTGGTTTTAGTATGACCATAACCTAATTCTATTTGGATTCGAATGCTGTAACAATTACAGTCTTACTTTACGTATATATATTTTTAATTGCTGGTAATGTACAAAACCTTATATCTTTATGTTGTTATTGTTTCTACCTAGAGTTATTTTTGTCAGCACAAAACCAGTTATATTCCCTCAGCTGGCTTTGTGGTTTGGGTTAGTGCACTCCTTCTGTCATGAAGTGTACACTGTGTTCTGTTTTCTTTCTTTTCCTTTTATGCTTTTGACCTTGGTATTTTGTTGTTGTTGTTAATCCTCTTCCAAGGACACTTTCTTTCCATTGATTTCTAGAGAAAATGGAATGGAGGGAGGGAGAAAAAGAGAGAGAGATAGAGGAAACAACGATGAGAGTGATACATCAATTGGCTGACAGGGGTGGTGATTGAACCCCCATATGTGCCCTTGACTGGAATCGAACCTGTGACCCTTTGGCCTGAGGGTCAATGCTCTAATCACTGGGCAACACCCGTCAGGGCCTGACCTAGATACTTTTTGAGTTTCATTTGGCTTCTCATTTGTATGGAGAACTTCCCAGCCTGTCTTTGTAATAATATTCTACTTTTCCTTTTTTCCAGCTGCCACTGGTCATTCAGTTGATGAAGCCTTTTCTGTTATTTTTTACTAGTTCAATTTTATATAGTTTTTTTTAATTTAAATATTTATTGATTGATTTTTAGAGAGAGGAGAGGAAGGGAGAACATCGATTTGTTGTTCCACTTATTTATGTATTCCTTAGTTAATTCTTGTATGTGCCCCGACCAGGGATTTAACCTGCAATCTTGGCATATTAGGATGACGCTCTAACATACTGAACTACCTGGCCAGGGTTTGCATAGTATTTTCTGAAAGTATATTCAACTATAGAAATTAGTTATGCTCCTCCCCCCCGCCCCCCCGATTTTGACAAACCCATTCTCCTAGAAGCATGCTACTATAAAACATTGGAGATGAGCAGATAAGGCAAACACAGAGAGCACTTCTCTCCCTAGAACCACAAGAGTTAGCAAACACTTAACTGTTGCTTGGCATTTTGCCAAACACTTCATATGAATATCTGGTTTAATTCCCATAACAACTTTAGAAGGTTAAGTATTATAATTGTTGCCCCCACTTTACACATGAAGAAGCTAAGGTTTAGGATCTTGCCCACAGTCACCTAGCTAGTAAGAGGCAGAGTCTGGATTTGAATCTAGGTCTGACTTTAGAGTTTAAACTTTAAACCAGAATGTTAACTGACACTGACATTTTTATTGTGAGTAGCAAGGTTGATTTAAAAATAGAAGAAAATTTGCAGATATTTGCTTATTTTTAACAATTGGAACGGAAGACTAGGTAATTCTTATTAATTGTATTTGTTGGAGGTGAAGATTTTGTTCCCTTTTGTACTCATCTTAGTTTTGATACTTTTGTGTTAACTATGTAGTTAAGTCTTTTTATGTTTATATACTTGGCATTTGATAAATGGATAATATATGAGTGAAGGTAATTAAAACAATTTTTCTGTTTTTCTTTAGGGTGCTCTTTGTGGCATTTGAAACCACCCACTTGTTCTCGCTTAATTAAACTTAAACAATGGAATACTAAAGTAAATCTTTCTAAATGTGTTATTGCTCTTGGTGAATTTTCAACATTGAATTCAAATTTGAAAAGTAATAATTCTACTGTTGTGGTAAGTATTAGAAAGCTCATTCATTGTAGAGTGTTTCCTTCACATCTTTTAGAGAAAAAAAAATTTGGATACCTACTATTGTAGCCTAAAAAATAAATCTCAGCTAAAGTAATATCTCTTTTAAATACTAGAGCTATAAAAACATTTTAAGAATTAATGCTAGCCAATTTCAAAATATTACCCCTTGGGAGATAACCACCTGCTGGCTTAGGCCCGCTCCCCTGGTGGCAGATGGCACACCCAATTATATAGTACATTTAGATACTTTATAAGTCAGCATTTTAATCTAGTAAATATGTGAAGTACAATTACTAGTTGAAACAGAACAATTGTTTTAAGTCCTTAAAAAACTAAGCAAATGCAGCTTTTTGCCATCAAGATTGTTTTTAATAACATTTCCATCAAGCTTACATTTAGTGATGAAAGCTAATTTTGACTTACTAGAAGTCCGGTGCATGAAATTCATGCCTGGGGGTGGTGAGGAGGGGTTCCTCAGCCTGGCCTGCACCCTCTCCCAGTCTGGGAGCCCTCGGCAGCTGTCTGAATGGCAGCTTAGTGCTGCTGTCACTGCACTTGCCAGCCATAAGCCTGGCTTCTGGCTGGAGGAGCACACTGACCACCAGGGGGCAGCTCCTGCGTTGAGTGTATTCCCCCTGGTGGTCAGTGCACATCATAGTGACTGGTAGTTCCACCATTTCATCAATTTGCATATTAGCCTTTCATTATATAGGACTAGAAGTCCCGTGCACAAAAATTTGTGCACTGGCCGGGGGAGGGGGGGTCCCCTCAGCCCAACCTGTCCCTCTCACAGTCTGGGACCCCTTGGGAGATAACCACCTGCTGGCTTAGGCCCGCTCCCCTGGTGGCAGATGACATGCCCAATCCCGCGGTGTCTGCCCCGTCTCCCCTGGTCGCAGATGGCAGGCCTGGATCCCGCGCTGGGTCGGGTGGCTGCTCAGATCGTGCTGCCGCCCGCCCCACCCACCCCGCCCAGCACATGGCAGGCCTGGATCCCTCGCTGGGGCAGGCGGCGGCTCGGGATTGCGCTGAGGTCCCTGTGGATGTTCAGGCTCCAAAAGCATAGTTTTTCTTTCTTGGTTTTGTTTTTACTTCTTGAAATTGAAATGTGTTAAAATATTTTTTTAAAAGAATAGCTCAAGCACCCAGTGAGGCCTTAAAGCCTAGGGTGCTTGCTTGTGTTGTCCGAGTCTAAGCTCGCGGCGCTGGAGCGCCCCCAGGAGACGGGAACCTGGCGTGGCTCTGTCTCCTTCCCTAAACTGCACACACAGCTGCTGCCAGGTGTCCCGCTGTCCTCCTTCACTTTTCGTGCCGAACTTGCCGGTCACTCCTGGTCTCCGTCCGATGTTGAGGGGGGGCGTGTTTCTTCCTGAGGAGCTGTCCTGGTCCTGGCCCTGGGCCTCCACTTCCTCAGACCCACCCCCCTCCCCTGCGCCGGGCCCGCCTTACAGCAGAGTCTCCCGCCCTCCCCTGTGCTCTCCGCTTTCCTGATGCTCCTTTTCGCTTCCAGAGCCGCCCGTCTTGCTGTGTCCCGCGCCCTTTCGCTCTTCCGTGGAGATGCCCAGACCTTTCTTTTCTTTGGGTACTTCCAGGGCTTTCTTCAGTTTTCCTTTCTGAGCTGTTTTTCTGATTTTGGACCTGGGAGCCAGGCCTCCTGCACCCGCAAGCTGCTGCACTTCCTCTAAAATCATTTCTCCCTTAGGCCCCAGTCCCTCAAACCCCCCTGGAAAGCACTGGTTGCTTCCTGTGCCCGTGCGCTTCCTGCTCCGGCATTTCAGGTAAATGGAGTCAGACAGCTGGGGCCTTTGCTCTGGCTGCTTCCCTCAGCTCCGTGTTTGTCCTTGCTGCCCGCAGCGTGTCAGCCTGTGCTCCTCTTCGCTGTCACCCACTCCCTGTGCGGACATAGTTCTGGGGTCGACACCTATTTTCTTCTTTGTTGTTTGTTTTAAAATAACTTCTCTAATGTATTGGTGCCTAGTTCCAATAAGCATAAGCCTGATGCTCGAGTAGGCAGATTCAGGTCTCTGGCTGTACACCTGGGGCTCGCAGCTCTGGTGTCAGTTCTGAGGAGCTGCTTGTGCCTGGGGCTCCTACCCCCATGGGGGGGTGGTGTGCTGCCAGCCTCTCCCTGTCGTGGGGCGGGTGGTGGCTCAGGATCACACTGCCGCCTGCCCCGCCCCACACAGGCCTGGATCCCGCGCTGGGGCGGGTGGCGGCTTAGGATCATGCTGCCGCCCGCCCTGCCTGCTCTGCCCCGCACATGGCAGGCCAGGATCTCACACTGGGGTGGCCAGCAGCTGGGGATTGCGCTGCTACCAGCCCCTGGTGGGGCGGAGCAGTGGGATCTGCCTGCAGTATGCAAATTAGCCACCATCTTTGTTGGCGGTTAATTTGCATATCATGCTGATTAGCCAATGGCAAGTGTAGTGAAGGTACGGTCAATTACCATGTTTGTCTATTATTAGATTGGATTATTGACAAAGTAATTGGTAGTATTGTGCTTAATGTTAATAGACAATGTGGGTCAGTTATTGAGTATTTTATTCTCTATTTCAGTTAATGGGGAGAAGAAAAGATTTTACTGAAGAAGTAAGAAATCTTTTGCTGGAGGAAATTACATGGTTAAACCCTGAGTTTTCTTTGAGGAAATATTTTCCATTGCTTCTAAAAAAAAAAGCTGAGTACCAAGTACTCTCTGAATGTCATTGTAAACAAGGTTAGTGATAATTATTATCATTTATGTTAATATTTCACTTTTGAAAGCACTAAGAGGTTATGGCCGGTGTGGTTCAGTTGGTTGAGCATTGTCCCATGCACCTAGAGGTCATAGGTTCAATTCCTGGTCAGGGTCACATGCCCATGTAGCAGGTTTGATCCCAGTGGGGGGCATGCAGGAGATAGCTAATAGATGTTCCTCTCTCATCATCGATGTTTCTGTCTCTCCCTCTCTCTCTAGTATCATTGAAAACATTTTTTAAGAAAAAGAAAAAAAGCACTAAGAGTTAGCCATTGACCCTTGGAAGTGGTCATCATGAAGAGAACATTGCTTATGATTGGCAGGGAGAATTTATTCAACTGAGATAAAGCATCTTATGCAATGCAGTGTTAGCCCCTGCCAGCTTCCAGAGATGCCAGCCCAAGACACCTATTAATAATTCACTTAAGGAAAGCCTTAAATGAGATAATTTGAACTTATTTGCTTGTACATAGGCAGTCTAAATAAGATATTCAGCTTGCTTTCAGCATGCCATATTTGATTCTTACCTTTAGTTTTGTAGTAAGTCAATTGGATATTTTGAAGTAATACTAAGATTATTGGGTATTAAAATTTTTTTGATTAGTAAGCATATGCATTTCTATTATTCCCCAAATAGAAAATCCACAACTAGAGCCTGATGTCAGCCTAAAGGAAACCAAAAGGAAACGAGTGGAAACCAAAAATCATAAATCAAAAAGAAGGAAACCAAATGAGTATTCAGAAAATCCAGAAAATATAAATGGAAAACCAAAAGAACTGGAAAAAACACACAACTACACTGGGATAAAGCTAGATTCTTCCAAAAGTCTGTATTCTAAAACATGCAGGAAGACACAAACTGCTGTGAGTACAACATGTGAAGTGGAAAGTGAAGCAGTAGAAGATTCTGATGTTCTGATAATAGATGATGACAAAGCATCTACATCAGAAATATCTTCTGTTCTTGGTAAATTAGTTCTTATCTTTTTTTTAAACCTGTCACTTCCCCTCTCTCAATATGTGCTCATTGCAAATTCAAACAATATATATGTATAAATAAGAAGTGGAAGCCTCACTGACGAGAATCTTACAGATAATCTTAACATTGCTTTTTGATCTTTGATTTTTTTTCGCTTCTGTAAATATATATGCTTTTATAAAAAATAGGGATCAGCCCTAGCCGGTTTGGCTCAGTGGATAGAGCATAAGCCTGCAGACTGAAGGGTCCCCAGTTTCGATTCCCTATCAAGGGCACATGCCTGGGTTGCGGGCTCGATCCCCAGTGGGGGCATGCAGGAGGCAGCTGATCAATGATTTTCTCTCGTCATTGATGTTTCTATCTTTCCCTCTCCCTTTCTCTCTGAAATCAGTAAAAATATATTTTAAAAAAATAGGGACCATATTATACATATTATTTTACATGTATTTCTCATATTTCTTACATGTTCCCATTCAGGGTATCTAACTTTTCCCAAGTATCCTATTAAATTAATTCATCTATTTATGTTGCTTTAGAGCAGGGGTGGGGAATGTCCAGCCCTTGGGCTGTATAAAGCCCATGAGATCATTTGGTCTGGCCCTGCAAAGGCATTAGGGGTGAGTTAATAAAATGTTTGACCAAATAGAGCAGGCTAATTTTTAAATTGATAATTTTGTATGGCCCGCAAATGATATTATAAATATCCAAATGACCCTTGGCAGAAAAAAGGTTCCTCATCCCTGCTTTAGAGTATGTTTTGATATTTGTATAGCAAGTCTATAATTTTTAAAAGCAATTTTCATACATCTCTACTATGAACTATAGTTTCCCTTACTCTCATAAATCCCATTGAGGTTTGATTTTGCATTAGTTTATAGATTAGTTTGGAGTGAATTGACATCTTTACAACATTCAGTTTTCTCAACAGGGAGTGTAACATATCTTTCCATTTAAACTGGATGATTTAGTTGGGCATTTTAATGTTTCTTTTCATTGTTCAAAAAAGACTCCACTAAAATTATGCTGTCTTTGTTCTTTAGATATTTTTTTTTCTTTTTTAAAAATTTTCTTTAGATATTTTTTATGGTAAAAATTATTTTTTATGTTTCCAGCATTATTAAAAGTTTGAATGTATACTTTTAAACTTTACTGTCATGAGACTTTATGGTGGTTTTAAAGGGGGAATTTGATGTGAAGAATTTTAAATGTAATATTAAGTTTTGAAATTGCCTTGTTGGCATTTTGTAAATATAAATATTTATACAAATAGTAGTTATTGTTACATAAACTAATATAAATGTCTAAGAATATATGTTTATGTCAAGGAACAATACTTTAATGTATATTTTTGGCTTTAGATTCTGGAACTGAAGACATGCTTTGGACAGAAAAGTATCAACCTCAGAACTCCAGTGAACTCATAGGCAATGAACTTGCTATAAAAAAGTTACATAGGTTGGTAAAATGGAGATACAGTTAATGAATATAGTTTTTAAATTTTTATTTATTCTAAAATCTATAATTGTAAATTATTATAATTATAAAGAACAAACAAACAAAAGAATATTAAGTAAATATCCCTTTATTGTCCCTAGTGGTAAATCACTTAAAAGTTTCTTGTAAAACCTTCCAGAAAAAATTTTATGCATGTTAGTTCCTTCTTTCATATTACATTAATTCATGCCCATTATCTTTTGTCTACAATTCTAACATTCAAAATGTTCTGAAGACTGAAAGTATATTAACTTTATTACATAAAGTTTATTGTAGTCTTTATTGATCTCACTTGTAGGAGTTTATACATTTTTAAAATGAAAATACTAAGTGATTATGGGTGTACTGTCACATACCTCTTTAGAGGTATTATGTAATACTAGGGGCCCAGTGCATGAATTTGTGCACCTTGAAAGGAACTGTGGGCTGTGAGGCTGTGGTGGGCCCAGGGGTGGGTCTCAGCCCATCCTCTGGGCCCCCACAGGGTCCTCCCGCCATGGCCCCCAGTCCCCTCTCTGCCAGCAGCCCTGCTCCTGCTGCTTCCACATGCTGATGGTGCCGGCCCCACTTGCACCCGCTGACAGCACAGAGCGATTGGGGCCAGCACCAGCAGCAGGTGCGAGAGGCAGCTGCCAGCCCCTATCGCCCGCCCCTCAGGAGCAGGGGGAGGTGGAGAAGCCCTGAGGGGCGATCAGGGCCAGCAGCCACTGCTTGCACTCGCTGATGGCGCCGAGTGATCAGGGCCGGCGCCGAGCGGGTGCAAGTGGGGCAGGCACCAGCAGCAGGTGTGAACACTGGGCAGAACCGCGGCACTGTGGAGCAAAGAATTTTCAGTAATTACCAGAGGCTCGCCCCAATGACAGTGAGTGGCACTCCATCTTGGTCTGGCGCCCCCACTCACATGCTCCACCATCCCGCTGCGGCCGATGCCTACCACGTTCCATGCTCTGCCGCCTGCTGCCGATGCCTGCCATGTTCTCCGTACGCCCCCTGGTTGTTCAGTTGTTCCCCCATTTGGTCTATTTGCATATTAGTGTTTTATATATAGGTGTGGTATATACCACATTACCTTTCTAATATCTGAAAAACTCTGAATTCTAAAACCCACTCGGTCCAGAGGATTTCATATAAGGAATTGTAGCCCATAATAAGGGTGAACACCTTGAACTTGGTGGTGTTCTAAGTACTTGCATTGTTCTTAGCTCATTTAATCCTTAGAAAAATAGTCTGAGGGTATAAATTATAGTTGTCCTTATGTCATAGATGAGGAATGAGGCCTAGAGAGGTTGAGTATTTATCTAAGTTCACACAGTTAGAAAGTGATAGAGCTAGAATTTAAGCTCAGGTAGTCTAGCTCTAGACCAGTGGTTCTCAACCTTCCTAATGCCGCGACCCTTTAATACAGTTCCTCATGTTGTGGTGACCCCCAATTTCATTGTTACAAATTGAACATAATTAAAGCATAGTGATTAATCACAAAACAATATGTAATTATATATGTGTTTTCTGATGGTCTTAGGCGACCCTTGTGAAAGGGTCATTCGACCCCCAAAGGGGTCGCGACCCACAGGTTGAGAACCGCTGCTCTAGACTAAAACTTAATCTTTATACTTAGCATTATATATTAGACATCTTTCTTGTTATCACACAATCTACCTAAATTCTATTTAGTTGCTGTGTATTGTTTCTTGTATGGGTGCAAAAGTATATCTTTTCCCCTACTGATACACTTTCAGGTTTTTCCTTTTAGGAGCTAATATAAACAATGTTGCAATGAATGTCCTTTCATATATAGTCTACCTATATTCTGTGAATTATTTTTATTAACATACATTTTATTATGGTAGTTGGTTGAAAGACTGGAAAAGAAGAGCTGAATTAGAAGAAAGACAGAATTTGAAGGGAAAAAGAGATGAGAAACAAGAAGGTATTTTGAGTCATTTTTTCCCCATTTCACTGAAAATTTTTAGTATTAGATTTATCTAAAAAATTTTATAAAATTTCTTACTCATATTCTATATTTGGTGTTCTAGTTTTTGCACATTAAATTTCCAGCATTTACTGGCAGGAAGTTTGTGGGATTTTTTAAAATTTAATTTAATTTAATTTTATTTTTGTTTAAGTTTGTGGGATTTGATCATTGGGTTTGGTGAGGTTTAATTGCCGCCTAAGCAATTATCATTTTATATGCATTTGAATCATTTTTCAGATCTGTCGGATAGCATTGACTTTAAAGGCAGTTCAGATGAAGAAGAGAATCGTCTTTGCAATACTGTTCTCATAACAGGGCCAACAGGAGTGGGGAAAACTGCTGCAGTATATGCTTGTGCTCAGGAGCTTGGATTTAAGGTCAGTCACAGCTGCAGTAGAACAATGTTAATGAATTAAAAGAAAACATAAACCATTCTGCCTTTTTTCATGTATTCTTCCTGTAGATATTTGAAGTGAATGCCTCATCTCAGCGCAGTGGTAGACAAATTCTGTCTCAACTGAAGGAAGCTACTCAGTCCCATCAAGTAGACAAGCAAGGTGTAAATGCACAAAAACCTTGTTTTTTCAATAGCTACAACATAGGCAAATCACCAAGTAAGTAAATTATTATTTTTTTGTCATAACCTTTTTTTTGTTGTTGTTAATCCTCACCCGAAGATATTTTTCCATTGATTTTTAGAGAGAGTGAAAGGGAGGGGAGAGACGGAGGGAAACATAAATTGGTTACCTCCCTGCAAGCATCCCAACCAGGACTGGGCATCGAGCCTTCAATGAAATCAAACCTGGGATCCTTCAGTCCAGGGGCCGACATTCTATTCACTGAGTCAAACTGGCCAGGGCTATTTGGATACTTTGAAATACAGTTTGTATAGGAAAGGTATAAGAAACGCTTCATTCTGCCCTGGCTGGTTGTTACTTCTCTTATTTCATTTCAGATTTTATTTATTTGGGTTCTTTTTTTTTTCCTATGAGTCTGGTTAAAGATTTGTTAAATTTGTTTATATTTTCAAAGAACCAGCTCTTGGTTTCATTGATCTTTTGTATTGGTTTTTAGACTCTATTTTATTTATTTCTGCTCTCATCTTTATTTTTTCCTTTCTTCTAATTGGGCTTTGTTAGTTGTTCTTTTTCAAGTTCTTTTAAATGTAAAGTTAGATTGTTAATTTGAGATTTTTCTTGTTTTTCAAGATAGGCCTATAGTGCTATGAATTTACCTCTTAGGACTGCTTTTGCTGTGTTGCATAGATTTTAGTTGTGTTCTCATTTTCATTTATTTTAAGGTATCCTTTTATTTCTTCCTTGATTTCATTGTTTAGTAGCATGTTATTTAGAATCCATGTCTTTGTGTGTTTTTCAGTTTTTTTCTTGTGATTGTTTCTAGTTTCATACCATTATGGTAAGAGAAGATGCTTGATATGATTTCATTCTTATTCAATTTGTTGAGACTTGTGTACTAACATGTGGTCTATCCTTGAAAACATTCCATGTACACTTGAAACAATGTATTTTCTGCTGCTTTGGGGCAAAGTGCTCTGAATATAACATTAAATCCATCTGAACTGATGTGTCTTGTAAAGCCACTGTTTCCTTGTTGATTTGCTATATGGAAGATCCATCCATTGATGTCAGTGGGGAGTTAAAATACCCTAGTGTTACTGCATTACTGTCAATTTCTCCCTTTTTGTCCATCAAGATTTGCTTTATATATTTAAGTGCACTTATTCTGGGTGCATACATGTTTACAAGGTTTATATCCTCTTTTTGGATTGCTCCCTTTATCATTGTATATTGTCCTTTTTCTCTTAATATAGCCTTTGCTTGAAAGTCTATTTTGTCAAATGTAAGTATTGCTACCTTAGCTTTTTTTTCCATTTTAATTTTCATGAAATATCTTTTTCCAGCCCTTTTTGTCTCTGTGTATCTTTCTTTTTGAGATGGGTCTCTTATAAACAGCATATATATGGGTCTTGTTTTCTTATCCATTCAGCTACCCTATGTCTTTTAATTGGAGCATTTAAGCCATTTACATTTAATCCAAAGTCTTGAAAAGTGTATCATATATTATGTTGAGTTTTTGTTCTTATTTCAGATGTGTGGGTAAGTTAAGTCTGTTTCTTGGCTAGAAGCAGAACCCTATCTATTTTTCTTTTTGTGCTCATATTGTCTCATCTTTGAGTAGGAGGAAACATTTTTAATTAGCTTGTGTCCTTTTGACATAGCCCCAGTAATGTTAGATATTTTCTTTGCTCTCTGGCTTGTTAAGATGTCCCAGACCTAAAATGAGCTATTTCTCCAAAGAACCGATTCTTTTGGTGGAAATTCCTTTATAAAGAATATATTGATCCCTAGCCGGTTTGGCTCAGTGGATAGAGTGTCGGCCTGCAGACTGAAGGGTCCCGGGTTCGATTCTGGTCAAGGGCACACCGGTTGCAGGTTTGATCTCCAGTGTGGGGTGTACAGGAGGCAGCCAATCAATGATTCTCATCGTTGATGTTTCTATCTCTCTCCCTTTCCCTTCCTCTCTGAAATTAAAAAAAAAAAAAAAAAAAAAAAGAATGTATTGATAGCCCTGGCTGGTATGCTTAGTTGGTTGGAGCATTGTCCCATACACTGAAAGGTCATGGATTTGATTCCTGGTCTAGGCACATACCCAAGTTGAGGGTTCGGTCCCAGGTTGGGGTGTGTATGGGATACAACTGCTCAATGTTTCTCTCTCACATTGATGTTTCTTCTTTTCTTCTCTCCCTTCCTCTCTTTCTAAAATCAATTATAAAAAGCCCTGGCCGGTGTGTTCAGTGGTTGAAGCATCCACTTGTGTACCAAAGGGTTTTAGGTTCGATTCCCAGTCAAGGGCATGTACCTGAGCTGCAGGTTTGATCTTCGGTCCCAGTTGGGGTGTGTGTCGGGGTCAACCAATCGATTTGTCTCTCTCACATCAGTGTTTCTCTGTTTTCTCTTTCTCTCCCGTTCTCTCTCCCTCTCTTCCATTCTCTCTTAAAAATCAAAGGAAAAAATATCCTTGGGTGAGGATTAATAAAAAAATAAAACCAATTATTTTTTAAAAAAATAAAGAGAATATATTGATAACATTTAACCAAGTATTTCTGAGTACCTTAAAATAAAAATTGGGCCCTCGCCATTTTGGCTCAGTGGTTGGAGTGTCGGCCTGCAGACTGAAGGGTCATGTATTCAATTCCCAGTCAAGAGCGCGTACCTCATACCTTGGTTGCAGGCTTGATCCCCAGCCCTGGTTGGGGCACATGCAAGAGGCAACCAATTGATGTGTCTCTCTCACATCGATGTTTCTCTCTCTCTGTCTCTTCCCCTCCCTTCCACTCTCTCTAAAAATCAAGGGGAGGGGGAGAATATCCTTAGATAAGGCTTAAAAATAATAATAAATAAAATAAATAAAAATCAGCATGTATTTTCTAAAACCAATCTGTGTACCGATGCCAGTCCATGATCAAGCAATCCTTGGTCTATGATAAAAGTAGAAAAATAAAGATAAACTAATGAGGTTTTTAAAAAATAAATAGAAAAGTATTCAATATAAAGAACTATTTTTTATTATAAGATTATGCATTTCCTTTTTGTGGTGTTAAAGTGCCCTAATTTTATTAAATGATAGTGATGGCTATAATTTTTCAAACTCAAAATTTTCTGTAAGTTTTTTGAACACCTGTAAAATGCAAGATAGATGATAAGCTCTGTGGAGATAGGGAGTTCAAAAAAAGAGTAGGATACAGTCATGGAATTGTGCCCATATGATGGTGCGTGAAGAATATTCTGCACCAAGGCCATAGGATAATAATTTGGACATGTAGGGACTGAATCAGGGTATTTAGAGGGAAGAGAAGGACATGTCCTGGAATAAAGGCCGAGCCATCGGCTTCTAGTGGAGGAGGGATTAACCATTTATTTTTTTTTTTAACTTGAATCCAATCTCTAAAAAAACGTATTCTGTTTTTGAAGTACCAATTTACTGTTAGGTTAAGCTGAAGTTGGACAACAAAGTTCTGTAATGTGCTCAGCATGTACTGTTACCACTTTTCTTGCAGCCTTTTCTGAACGCAAATAGGTGTAGAGAAAGTGAACGGAGGGATTATGAACATTATTTGCTTCAAGAATATATATTTCTTTGGAAAAGAGTGTCTTTTCCAAATGACCTGCTTTACCTTCTCTTCTGATAGAATAAGTAATAATATAGAAATATTTGACTACTGAGTATTGGAATGTAAGAATGAAAGAAAATTTCTGTATCTTTGTAACTGGTAAGAGTAGAAATATAGACTGTGGATAATTCAATTTTGCTGTTTAATTTTTAGAATATTTATCTTTAAGTGTAATTTGGTTTTGGCAGAAAAATTAAGTTCTCCTAAGAAAGTTGTTACATCACCAAGGAGACTGCCTCCATCATCACCACAAAGTAGTGGACCAAAGCGAGCACTTCCACCTAAAACACTGGCAAATTATTTTAAAGTGTCTTCCAAGCCAAAAAATAATGAAGAAATAGGAGAACTTCCAGAAAATAATAAAGGTATGTAATTAAATAGACATTATTTTAATCCTAATGACCCTGGTACATAAAGATATGATCAGCCCTGGCTGGGTAGTTCAGTTGGTTAGACTGTCGTCCCAATAAGCCAAGGTTGTGAGTTTGATACTTGGTCAGGGCACATATAAGAATCATCCAATGAATACATACATAAGTGGAACAACAAATTGATGGCTCTCTCTCTCTCTTTTAAAATCTATAATAATAAAAGTGTAATATGCTAATTAGACCAGACGTCCTTCCGGACAACCTCTGGACAAACCGGGGCTGTGAGGGAAGCCTGAGTCCCGGGTGCCAGAAGGAAGCTGGTGCTGGCAGCCGGGGGAAGGGAGGCCTACTTTTGCACAAATTTTGTGCATCGGGCCTCTAGTAAATAAATAAATAATGATCATATTTCATGAGTTCCTATTGCTATCTATTAAACTTCAGCTATGCTGAAAGTCCTTCAGATAGGAGTTTTGATATTTTATTTCAGTTTTAATAGGTGATTTCAGTTTGAACTTATTCTATAGAAATATCCAGTGTTCTTTAAAAGTTGATTTTATATTTTATTTATGCAGGAATCAAAAATTTTTTTGAACAGAAACAAACTATTCATACCAAATCTACAAATACAACGAATTCAAATGCCAAAGACTATGGAGCCGAGGAACCCAACAGGAAAAACGCAACATCTCTCATTCTCTTTGAGGAGGTAAGGCTGAAGAGACACACATTGGTGATCTCGCATGGTAAAACCTACTCTAAGGATTACTTACTGTGCTATTGTAAATTATTGTAAAATAGCCAAGAAAGCTCAGAATACTTACTTGAATCTATTTGAAATTAAAGCTAGTGGAATTGTCAACTATAGAAGAATTTTTCATGAAGATAATTAATGCAATCCACAGTTATTAATTTTTTTCAATGAATTTAGAAATTATTCTGAGTTATACTTAACCAGTTACAGGTGACTGCATTTCTTTGGTTTTAATGTTTGATAATATTCTTACTCTTTTAATGTAAGTTTTTAGGATGGGCTGAATGCACACTGTTCATAAATTCATAAATTTTGTTCCTAACAGACATATATCTACTATGTATACATAACAGCTATTCAGTACATTAATATTAATAAATGATTCTTAGGTTGATGTCATTTTTGAAGAAGATGCTGGGTTTTTGAATGCAATCAAAACATTCATGGCAACAACTAAAAGACCTGTAATCCTTACTACAAGTGGTAGGTAACAGTGATTTTACAGTTAATTACTTCTGGTTAAAATATTTTACACAAGCTTCTAATTTTAATTTGAAAAGTTCCTTTTAAAGTCTACGAGTAAATTAACTCCTTTTTTCTAAAATGAGGAGGCTACTAGATAATTTTTTAAATGAAGAATTATTCAAATTAGCAGTTGATTGGCAGCCTTGGGCAGTTATAAAATTAATTTACTACCTTGCAAAAAGCAACGACTTTAAAAATAGAAACTACTTTGAATCACTTTGTTGGGTGTTAGATATTTAGGAATTTGGCAATAGCCTGGAATACTGATAGAAAGATTTATGGACTAGCCAGTGAAGAGGTTTTGGTAGGGGAAATAACAGATTCTTCTCTTTGCCTCTTCCTTACACATGTGATTAGATCACCATTCCTCATTTGTTGGTCAAAATATTTTATGGGACCCGACCTTTTGCAGTTCCTTAATATTTAGCCATTCTTTAACCCCTGATAACACTTCCATATGGATGGATTATTGCATAGTTTAGCTAAAGTAAACTATCGTCAGCTTAACAGAATTGCTATACCTTCCTAATAATTAGCATTCAAGGTTTATTTTTAAAACCTACATCATTTCTTTTTTTATTATAAATATTATAATATTGTTCTCTAATATTTTTCATTGCAGATATTCAATATAATATCTCTGCTATGGATTTCTATAGGAAAATGTGTTTATGTTAGACTCCACTTACAAATTAATGGCCCATTTGACAGTTAGTGATTGTAATCTAAAAATATAAGTAAAAATCATAGTAATCACAAGTCAAATGGTAGTTTAATTAAAAATCATAGCTACTTTAGGCCAAGGTAGAAATTCAATTTTTATCATATAGTTTACATGATATTTGATTTCTATTACTGATTAAACACAGAATATTTACATAGAAAAAGTATAACTGGAAAAAGTAATTAATTGGTCTCCATGTTTAAAAAAATTTTTTTTTACTATAGATCCTTCATTTAGTTTAATGTTTGATGGCTGTTTTGAAGAAATTAATTTCAATATGCCTTCGTTGGTAAGTTTTTAATTTTGATGATCACATATCATAATTATATAAAAGGTGATTTATTATGATAGTTATAATTTTAAAATGTAATTACTAAGGATATGTTAAAATTTTTTAGTGTTTTTTTAAAAAAATATATATTTTATTGATTTTTTACAGAGAAGAAGAGAGAGGGATAGAGAGCCAGAAACATCGATGAGAGAGAAACATCAATTCTGCTGCCTCCTGCACACTCCCTACTGGGGATGTGCCCGCAACCAAGGCACATGCCCCTGACCGGAATTGAACCTGGGACCCTTGAGTCCACAGGCTGATGCTCTATCCATTGAGCCAAACCGGTTAGAGCTGGTTTTTTTTCATTTTATTGATTTCAGAGAGAGGAAAGGAAAGGGAGAGATATAAACATCAATGATGAGAGAATCATTGGTTACCTGCTTCCTGCACACCCCCTACTGGGGATGGAGCCCACAACCTGGGCATGTGTCCTGACCAGGAATCAAACTGTGACCTCCTGGTTCATAGGTTGTTGCTCAACCACTGAGCCATGCTGGCTGGGCCAAATATTCAAATTTTTACTAGATTCCAGTGTTCATTAAGTTTTTTTTTTTTTTATAGTAACAGTGCTTTATTGAGGTTAAATTAACATGCAGTTAAATGCCCTTAAGTGTATAATTTGATAAATATTAACATATGTAATAAACCTTCATGTGACCATTGCCCATATAAAAATATAGACATTTCCATTCCATCCATAAAGTTCCCATAAGCCCTTTTTTAAAAAGTCAGCACCCCTCTCCTCACCAAAAGTAGACACAATATTCTAATATGTTTAACTTTTTAATATTAGTGTTTTTTATTCTGAAATTTCAAATAATATTAAACATTATGCGTCCTTTTATAACTTTTTTTTTTAATATTTTATCAGAAAGTTCCCTTGCGCCCCATTGTGTTTTTCTGTCACTATAATTTTGCTTGTAGAATTTTATATAAATAGAATCTTATAATATGTATTTTTTATTTAGTTTCTTTTACACAACATAATGCTTTTTCAGATTCATATTACCTGTGGCAGTAGTTCTTTCCTTTTTGTGAATGAGCAGTATCCCATTTTATAGATATACTTCTCATATATGAATGTGTTATCATATTCACCTATTGATAGACATTTGGGTTGTTTACAGCTAAACTATTATAAATAAAGCTGCTATGAATAATTACATTATTCTGGACATATATTTCCTTTTTTATTTTTTACTTAAGTACTTAAAGGTGGAATCATTGGTCGAATTAACATTATAAGAGCCTGATAAATTGTTTTCTGAAGTTTTCCAATGATTTTCATTCCCACCAGCAATGTATTTTGCATAATCACCAGAATTACCCAATTATTTTATTTTATCCATAGTAATAATTATATATTGGTATCTCATGGTTTTATTTATTTTTAAAATTTTATTTATTTATTTGTTAATCCTCACCCAAGGATATTTTTTCCATTGCTTTTCAGAGACAGAGTGGAAGGAATGGAGGGAGGAGAGAGAGAGAGAAAGATTGATGTGAGAGAGACACATCGATTGGTTGCTTCCCACATTGAGCCTGCAACTGAGGTACATGCCCTTGACTGGGATCGAACTCAGGACCCTTCAGTTTGCAGGCTGACACTCTATCCACCCAGCCAAACCAGCTAGGGCAGAGACACACTATTTTTGATTGGTTGCCTCCCGCACATGCCCCAACTGGGGTGGGGGGCAAACCCGTAACCCAGGTACATGCCCTTGACTGGGAATCTAACTGAACCTTGAGTCCAGTTCATTTTATTCTCAATAAATGCTTAATATGTGAATTTCAGCAAAATTTGTCTTACTTTTTAAAAGACATGTATTCATGTATTTCTATTAACTCTGCAATTGACCATATTTATTTCCTTTTTCTCTCAGCTAAATGTTGCCAGCTACCTACAGACAATCTGCTTAACTGAGAATTTTAGAACTGATGTAAAAGACTTTGTAACATTGTTAACTGCAAATACTTGTGATATTAGGAAAAGTATCCTTTACTTACAATTTTGGATTAGAAGTGGAGGTGGATTTTTAGAAGAAAGGCCATTATCTCTTTGTCGTAAGTTGATCTGTTATAAAAAGAAAATTCTGAAATGGGACCCTATGTTAAAATATATTCTATACCAAAATATTTGAAAGATTATAAAAATTTAGAGCATCCAGGTATCACATTAATCTTAAAAATACATACATATGTCAACTTTGTTGATGAAAAGTTTTATGAACATTAAATGTGGGTAAATAAAATTAAACTAACCTAGAAGAGATTGTTACTTCTACCTTTATAAACGTTTTTTAATAAACAAATAGAATTATATTATTGAACAATTTATTTTTATTACTTTTTAAAAAATATTGGTGATTTTTTCCACATATATAAATTATTTTTATGTGGCCATGTTGTAAGGTCCCTTTTAGCTTCTCGCTAGTCTGTAATTCTATCTTGCCTAAGAACTTTATCATTTCAGAAATGCTTTATTTTATTATTGATCTTTAGTCATCATTACCTAATTCAAGTTACAGATACATGTTCTCCATGCTAGATCCTGTGTTTCCATGAATAAGACATGTTCCTTTCCTGAAGAAGTTCATAGTTCGTGGTTTCCATGCTCCATAGTCACAGTTATGTAGTTACAGATTCTGCTCAGGAAAATACACAAATATTTAAATGAAATCAGGGTGACGTTCTGAAATATTAATCCCGTGTCAATATTTTTTCTTTGATTTGTTCAAAATTTTAATATATATATATGTATATATATATATATATATATGTATATATATATATTTTTAAAGTAGACAAACATTTAATTCAACATAATTTACTTGTAAGTAAATATGAAAAATAAGACGTGGTAAATAACCTGTTATTAAAAAAATTAGTTAACTGCCAGCATACTACTGGATATAAAATGTTATACCAAGACTTTAGAAGACATGAATTAAGTATGGCATTTTTTCTTTTCTGGAAGATCTTATATGTATTTAATTTCTATAAAAATACACACTCATTGGAAATTCAAACTTTTATGTAAAATAAAAAATAAAAGAACTTCTTAAAGGTAGCCACTGTTAGACCTTTATGCACAAATATTGCTACCTACTTATTTAGCAAAATTAACCAATACTATATATATTGTTAAACAGTTTGCTTTTCACTCAGCAATTTGTCAGTACAGTTCTACCCCATTTTTCACAGCTGCATGCTATTCCATAATTGTTTGGATATAACATAATTTAATTAACCATTACCTATTTAGAGACATTTAAGTTATCTTCAGTGTGTTGTTAAAGTATGCAGTGGATATCTTTATACACATATCCTTGAGTATGTCTGTGAGTACTTCTGTTGGAGAGAATTCTAGAAGTGTGGTTTCTGGGCCAAAGGCTATACATTTTACATTTATATATGAGTTTACGTTCCACAATGAATATATGATGGCTCTTTTATGTGTACCTTTAACTGAACTAGGTTATCAGTCATTTTATTTATTTATTTTTAATTTATTTTTTAGCATAGTTTTATTGATTTCAGAGAGGAAGGAAAGGAAAGAGAGAGAGACAGAAACATCAGTGATGAGAGAGAATCATTGATTAGCTGCCTCCTGCACTCCCCACACTGGGGAACGAGCCCACAACCTGAGTATGTGCCCTGAACAGGAATCAAACCGTGACCTCCTGGTTCATAGGTTGACACTCAACCACTAAGCCACACTGGCTGGGCAGTTATCAGTCATTTTAATTTGCCAATTTAAAGGTGAAAAAATGAACATCTTAATTTGCACTTCCATAGTCACTTAGGGCAGTTGCACATGGTTTTATGAGTTTATTAGATATTTGTATTCTTCTGTGACTTGTCTGTTACTAGTCTTTGCACTTTTTCCCTGTAGGATTGTTTTGTAAGCCCATCGCCACCATCTCACTTAACCTATGTATGATAAAAATAATGTTTGTATTGTACTTTTTAAAAAATATATTTTTTAATTGATTTCAGAGAGGAAAGGAGAGGGAGAGAGAGATAGAAACATCAATGATGAGAGAGAATTATCGATCTGCTGCCTCCTGAATGCCCACACAGGGGATCGAGCCTGCAACCCGGGCATGTGCCCTGACTGGGAATCAAACCATGTCCTCCTGGTTCATAGGTTGATGCTCAACCACTGAGGCACGCCAGCTGGGCTGCATTGCACTCTTTGTGAATTAAATAAATGTGTGGAGAAGAACAAAATGGCGTGTATAGGATCAAGAGCTGCCAAAGGATCTTAGATTTTAAATAATTGTTTGATATAATTTGTTTATAATGTGGATAGGTAAGACTTTCTTTTATTCACTTTGAAGGAGGAAACGGCAGAAATGTACAACTTATTCGCTCTGAAGATCGTCGTAATTCCAAAAATAACCCTAAAAATGCTAAAAGGAGTCCTACAGACCTTCCCAAATGTGACACTGGCTGTGTTGAGACCTTGTTTGGCCTTAAGAACATTTTATCCCCTTCTGAAGATTTATTTTCATTTTTAAAGGTATTTTCAATGTCTAGTTTGGAATATTAAATTTGAATGTTAAATTTATGTTTCTTTCATCTTTTCAACACTCCTATCTTTTGAATCTAGAGATTAACTTAAATTTGCTCATACTTTTTTTTTTTTTTTAAATATATTTTATTGATTTTTCACAGAGAGGAAGGGAGAGAGACAGAGAGCTAGAAACATCAATGAGAGAGAAACATCGATCAGCTGCCTCCTGCACATCCCCCACTGGGGATGTGCCTGCAACCCAGGTACATGCCCTTGACCGGAATCGAACCCGGGACCCCCCAGTCCGCAAGCCGATGCTCCATCCACTGAGCCAAACCGGTTTTGGCTGCTCATACTTTTTATAGGCTTCAGATTTTAACACATTCGAACTCTGACAAATGATGCATTTGCATTGCTCTAAATGCTTATTATAGTATTGAGAAGAGAACTTACAGATAGTTCAGATTAAAAATTTTAGAGAATTTTTTTTAAAGATTTTTATTGATTTTAGAGAGGAAGGGAAAGGGAGCGAGAGAGAGAAACAACAATGATGAGAGACAATCATTGATTGGCTGCCTCCTGCAACCTGGGGATGTGCCTTGACTGGGAATCGAATCGTGACCTCTTGGTTCATAGGTCGACGCTCAACCACTGAGCCACACCAGTTGGGCTAGAGAAGTATTTTTTAAACAAATGAGCTAATTATTGAATTGGGGTATATACTGAATATTAAAGAATTTAATTCTTCAAATTAATAGTCTAAGTTTTTAGATTCGTAATACTATTTTGATGAATTAAGGGACTGTGTAGGTTAATAAATTATGAGGGGTAATGACTTCTTTGAAGATAGAAGACAGATGACATATTCATATGGGTAGAAAAATGTTTAAATGTGTATTGTTATAACATTTCTTTACTCAAAATTGTTTCTCAGCACAAAATCAGAACAAAAGAAGAATGGCATAAGCTCATCCAGATTCTTACAGAATTCCAAATGCGGAATGTAGATTTCTTATATAGCAATCTTGAGTTCATCCTACCATTACCGATTGATATAATTCCAGAAACAGAAAAGCTTTGTGGTTCATCAGTAAGTATGGACACCAGTGCAGCAACAAAAAATATGAAATGTCTTGCCAGGAAACATTCTGGAGAGAAGCCATTGAAAAAGTCGCAAAAAAAGAAACATAAGAAAAAAATGGTAATTCTAGATGATAGTGACTTATTTGACACGAACTTGGACTTCTCTGATGAATTTCTTTGCCTTCACCCTGAATCTTCTTCCTCAAGTTCAGAAGAAAGCAAAGCCAAAGAAAGCAATTCAGAGACAAAGAAACTAAACAAATGTTTAGCTTCTAACCTTGAATCTAATCCTCATCTTCCTAAAACACCAGCAGAAAAAAAATGTTCTGCCCTCGTTTCTCACTGTTTAAATTCTCTCGCTGAGTTCATGGATAACATGTCCTTCTTAGATGCCCTTTTAACTGATGTAAGGGAACAAAAGGAACTTGGTAAACATGACTTCAGTTGGACAAATGGAAAGGTTAAAAGTGGACTTTGTGATGAGTTTAGTCTTGAAAACAGTGATGGATGGACTTCTCAAAGCTCTGGAGAATTAAAGGCAGCAGTAGAAGCTCTCAGTTTTACTAAGTGTTCTTCTACTATTTCAAAAGCATTGGAAACTTTGAATTCTTGCAAGAAATTAGGCAGAGATCCAATGAAAGACCTTACTTTATCTGTTTCACAAAAGCGCACCAATGTGTACTTTAGTCAGTCCTCGGCTAATTTAGAGTAAGTCTTTAATTTTTTTTACATTTCAGTAGAAAAAGGGTAAAGGGGAAATTGTTAGGTTCTTACCAATTTTGAAATGCTGGGCTTTATTGATCATAATAAGCCCTTGATATTAATGATATAACTTCTAATGAGAGTGAAGGAGATCAGTCTGAATACTGGGAAGAAAAATGAGAGATTAGAGTGGGCTAGATTGAGGAGATTCTTTGAGTGATAGAGAAAGGGTTTTTGATTTGCTGTGGCAGGAAACAGGTAGCCATCACAGATGGTTCAGTATGGGAGTGGTTGATGGGTTGAAAATGATACAGAAAATTAATCTGGAATCCAGTTAATCCAGTCTAGATCAGAAACAGGGACAAGCAGACCAAAAGCTGATTGTGTTTGGGATTGTTGCATTTTTGGGGGCATTAAACATAAAAAGTAATGGGTTACTTTTAACTTACAGCTGTGCTTGGAAGAGGATAGCAGTCATTAAAAGTGTATTTTCTAGCCGATCTCTTCTCAACCTGGGTAATAGACAAGCTAGTATAATTGAATACTTGCCAACTCTTCGAAACATTTGTAGGACTGAGAAGCTAAAAGAACAAGGAAAAAGTAAAAGAAGGTAAAGGATCTATAGAAATAACATTTTATATAGCTATTTCAAGATTCATATTCTCACCTGATGGAAATATTAATATTAAATTATTTTTCTGTGTAATTTTGACAGGTTCCTCCACTATCTTGAAGGAATTCACCTTAACATTGCAAAAGAGACTGTGAACACTTTGGCAGCTGACTTCCCTTAATATTCCACATTAACAGTGCCTTGTACAGATTATTGTGTGGTCCTTAAGATACATTTTTATATTGATTTTTGTGGAAGTTTACATCTCTTAATGTACATTTAAAACAGAATATTTGTATATTTTTATTAGTGCGCAAATATTTAAAATGAAAAAATTTGAGTTGCATTTTGTATTTATGATGTGGTATTTTAAAAAATTTTTGTATTATCTGATTTAGCTTTGTTGGAGTATTTATGTATGTAACTGAGCTGTTTCTAGGAGCTAGAGTTCACTAAGATATTTCTAAAGAGGGTTCAATGCTACACTACTCCATAACTTTTCCCTTTCCTGGTACCTTTAATTCAGCTCTCTCCAACCAAGTGTGAGTACTCTGTCAAGTTGTAAATATGAATCTCTTAAATAAATTTATGCAATCTAGAATACAATATTACATATACGTATGATGCATAAGAAAACTTCCTAAGAAGGAAATTGTTTCATTTTTCAAAAAGTAAAATCTCCCCCCCCACAAAAATAAAATAAAAATAAAATAAAAGATCTTCCTGCTCAGGGTCAGCCTGCATACCAAAGGGCCATGGCTTCGATTCCCCATCAAATGCACTTACCTGGGTTGTAGGTTCAATCCCCGACCCCAGTTGGTGCGCATGTGGTAGGCAACCAATCGGTGTGTCTCTCTCACCAATGTTTCTCTCTCTGTGTGTCTGTCTCCCTCTCCTCCCATTCTTTCTAAAAATCAATGGGAAAAAATATCCTGGGTGAGGATTAACAACAAAAAGTAAGAGCTTCCTGACTTTATTTTTGGTGTACTCCAGCATATTTCACCATTGAATACTGAATGTTGACAAAGCGGAATCAAGATTATGAATTCAAGTTTTCATTAATGTTTTTTAGCAACCGTACATGTGATATTTTGTATATTTTGCCAAGTCAAATCAATTACCTTGTATATTTTTTTGTATTTTTGTATAGTTTGTGTTTTATTTCATAGATATTAATGATGTTAATATATCTACTTCATTCAAGACTTAATGCTATTTAACAGCCCTGGCCAGTATGGCCTAGTTGGTTGGAGCTTCAGTCCCACACACCAAAAGATCATGGATTCTATCCTCAGCCTGGGCACATGTGGAGGCAAACGATCAGTGTTTCACTCTCATACCAATGTTTTTCTATCTCCCTGTCCCTTCCTCTCTGAAAATCAATAAAAATATACTTTAAAAAAAAAACACCCCAGTAAAATCAATAAAACCACACCCTTGGGTAAGAATTAAAAAACAAAACAAAACAAAAAAACCAAAGGATTCTACTATAGGATTTCTATATAATAACCATTTCCACTGAAGGTTATGTTTTTGGAGGAAATATGTATTTTTAATTACAAGATTTAAAAATTCCACAGTTCACTTTAAATAATTTTTGCAATTATATAACCAGGTATACCTGAAAATAATTTCCTATTTCAATTGTTTGTATTAATTAGCTTAATATTCAGTTACATTATCTGGTGAATTACATTTTCTCCTCAAAAGATAAGGATCCTAATTTTGCACAGTTGAAAATATCTTATGTATACCTGCTTTAAATGTGTATTAAAGCGTTTTTATTTAACCTACTTTTTCTTGTATTGATAACATTGATTTAAAGGCTAAAGCTAAAAGGCTTTATCCAGTATTTACATAGGAGTTCCAGATATAATCACCTGAGTAAATATTAGATACTGTATAGGTTTGGCTGTAGGCTATAACTTACACAGGTTCAGTCCTGTATAAGAGACTAAGATCTGCCTGAGGCATTTTTTAAAAAGTATATGGATTTTTTTCTACTGAATACAAGAGTTCACTACCTATAGAGCTCTTACTTACCTGTTAATTTTTGGTGTTTTATTATTAGAAAATTCTGATAATTATAATTGAGGAACCAAAGTAAAATAAATCCATAGAATTTTTAAAATGTTTTTTTTTAATTGGTTTTTAGAAAGAGGGAGAGGAATAGAGATAGAAGCACCGATGAGAGAAATCGCATCAATGGGCTGCCTCCTGCACACCCCCTGCTGGGGATTGAGCTGGCAACCTGGGCATGTGCCCTGACAGCAATTAAACTTGTGACCTCTTGGTTGATGGGTCGATATCCAATCACGGAGTCACACTGGCCTGGCTAGAATTTTTAATATCTTTTTTCTTTTTACACTTGATCTTAGCCAAAAGGCCGAGAAGCGATCTCTTTTTTCTTTTTAGGTTTAACATGATTTGGGGAAATATTTTTCAATTCTTAAAGGTGATAAATTCCTGTTAGATTTAAACTCATTTTTGTGATAAAAATAAGCAAATTTTGAGTACTTTTCAATACTTCATATCCTAGTTTATAAATGTCTAAAACAGTCACATTTTCACTTACAGCTATTTCTAGAAATATGTGGGAAGTAGAATACCACATGTCTGGCATAAACAACTGAATGGACGGTGAGGCCATTTAGCAAAGTATAAAACGGTAGCAAAGGAGATGATCTGGAGGAAAGAGAATAGTTTCAGACATGAATAGTTTGAGATATCAATAATATTTCCCAAGATGGATATGTTTATGTATACAACCATATACTATGTGTAGAGGTTTACACAGGCATAGCAACAAATCTAGAGTGTATACCAAACTCCTAAGGAGTTATGAGGTGCTGAGAGGACTTCCATTTATTTTACACTAGAGGCCCGGTGCACAAGTTCATTCATTGGTGGGGTCCGTTGGCCTGGCCTGCACCAATGCACAAATCCATGCACCAGGCCCCTAGTATGTATATAAAATCTTTGGTTAATCTCTTCCCGCCCTCCCCGCTTCCCTCTGAGATTCATCTGTCTGTTCCATGTTTCCATATCTGTGCATTGAGCGTCTGCCCCCTGGTGGTCAATGTGCATCATAGCTACCAGTTGAACAGTTGCTTAGGCTTTTATATATATATATACACACTAGAGGCCCGGTGCACAAAAATTTGTGCACTCGGGGGGGAGGAGGGGTCCCCTCAGCCCGGCCTGTGTCCTTGCGCAGTCTGGAACCCCTCAGGAGATAATGACCTGCTGGCTTAGGCCCGCTCCCGGGTGGCAGAGGGCAGGCCCAATCCCTAAGTACAGCCCCTGGTCGGGCTCAGAGCAGGGCTGATTGGGGAGTTGGGGCGCCGCCCCATCATGCACAGAGGAAGGCGGATCAGGAGGTTGCAATGCCACCCTCAGTCACGCTCAGGGTAGGGCCGATCAGGGGGTTGGGGCACCGCAGCCTCTCACACACAGAACCACAGGGCGATCAGGGGGTTGGGGAGCTCCCCCCTATCAGGCACAGAGCAGGGCTGATCAGGGGGTTGGGCGCCTTCCCCTGTCAGGAACAGAGCAGGGCGGATAGGGAGGTTGTGGCCCCGCCCCCTGTCACACACAGAGCTGCAGGGCGATCAGGGGGTTTGGGCGCTGCCCCCTGTCACGCTGATCCTGGTGCTGGGAGGCCTCGCGGCTCCGCTGATCCCGGTGCTGGGAGGCATATTACCCTTTTACTATATAGGATAGAGGCCTGGTGCACGGGTGGGGGCCAGCTGGTTTGCCCTGAAGGGTGTCCTGGATCAGGGTGGGGGTCCCCACTGGGGTGCCTGGCCAGCCTGGATGAGGGGATGATGGCTGTTTGTAGCTGGTCACACCCCCTTCAGGGTGGGGGTCCCCACTTGGGTGCCTGGCCAGTCTGGGTGAGGGGCTGAGGGCTGTTTTCAGGCTGGCGGCTGAGTGAAGCTCCCAACCGCTCCATTTTTTCTTTTTCTTTTTTTATTCAGGGCCAGCTTTAGCTTTGAGGCTTGGCTCCAGCTCTTAGGCCTCTGCTGCTGAAAGTAGGTATCTGGTTTGTTTGGGTTCTATAATTGAAACACTGTTTCAACTCCAGCTCTGAGATCCCAGCTGGCTGAAAGCAGGTTTCTGGGGTTTTGTTTAGCTTCTGTATTTGTAACAATGTTTCAAACTGCAAGCTCAGAGGCCAGCAAGGCAGGTGGGGAATGTTGGAGTCTTCCGTCACTGAAGCAAGCAAGCTTCATGTTCACTTCAAGCTACCTGGCTGCTGGCCGCCATCTTGGCTGGCAGTTAATTTGCATATCACCCTGATTAGCCAATGGGAAGAGTAGCGGAGGTATGGCTAATTACCATGTTTCTCTTTTATTAGATAGGATATTTATGATTATTTGAATTTTCCCCAAAAAGTATATTTCACTTTTAGATTAAAGGAACGCTGAATGCTTTGACATCAGAGAGTTGGGTTCAGTACAAGTGAGATATAATGACGGTCTGAACTAAGGCAGATAAAATGGAAAATGGAGAGATGTGGAAAAAGTGCTACTTTTAAGAAAAGATGGTCCGTTAACTAAAAGATTTCAAAGTAAGATAGTGAGCCTATTAGACAAAGCTTGTTTATTCTGGGCTTGAGAGATTGAGCTGATGAAAATCACCTTTTGGAGGTTGTGCATCAAACCACGTTCTATTTACAGAATAAGAAGAGGATTCCACAAGTTGTGTTATCAATTATATTTAGCTTTATTCCCACGATGAGCACCACCCGGAAAAATTCATTCCCTTTTTCAGAAAATTCTTTAATAGATGATATTTGCTTTTAAAGGAAGATAACTTTGTTTCTTATTTAGACTGCTTAGGAAATATCTTACTGTTTAACACTTAAACCTAAAAGGTAGAAAATCTCACAAAGATATTTATGGACTTGGCCTTGGCTTATTGTATAAACCATCCAATAGCCAAAAATCTGACTTTAAACATTAAATACACTCAAACCATGTTTTCTTTTCCATTAACATGGATGTCAAAACTTTTGTGTGTTTTTTTACAACTTTAAAGCTAATAAATATAACAGAGCAGATCATATGTTAGTGATCAGAATTTTAAGGTTCAGTGTCAAACACTGCCAATTCATAGAAGGCAACAGCTTGTAATAATGAATCATATAACTCTTCTATTCTGTATTGGTCAGTAGCTGAAAACATGTGCCTGTAGTGGACTATCTTATCTGACGGGAAGAATACCCGCGGCTCCTCCTTCAACACAGCGTCTAAGAGGAACTGCTTCACTAGTTCTTTTCCACTAGTGCGGCTGTCACCCAGCATCAGCTGAAAGTGCTTCCCCACTGCATTTCGATTCATGCTCAGCACCTGATGCTGGCCACACTGGGCAAAAGTTGTGTTTAATAAGGCATACAGCATGGCTTCCATGATATGCAAGTGTAGCAGTATAGGAAACAGAGTTGAGTTCTGAAGGGAAAGTCCTGTTTTTTCCAGAACATAGAAGTCAGCTTTGGGCATCTTTGAAATGACCGGAGAAATCTTTAAAGAACAAAATAAAATAAGTGAGTAGAAGTAAATCAGTACATTTTATTGTCTGGGTCCCCTCTGTCCCACTTCTATTTTAAAAATAAAATTACATAACTTACATTATTTTGCTACTGACAATTTTGAAGTAATTGAAAAAGCATTTTATGGGAGAATCAGAACAGCAAAATTCTGGTAATGGTTCTATCGGGCACCAGATAAGCTAAGACAAACCATTTAGTCCTAAGTACTACTTTCCTCTTCTGTAAAATGGGCTTGTAATTTCTAAAATCTATATTGACTTTAAGATTAGACAAGTTAAAACTGTTTTATTAACCTTGTAACAAGTTCTACAGTAAAGCATAGGGTTAGAAATTAGCCTAAAATCAATCCCCTTACAACTGACTGACTGCATCAGGTGTTTGATCGAAACAGTTTTCAATGGTGTATTACAGTTTTCAATTAGGATGATAATTACTGCCCATCTCACAAACTTTCAAAGACTCAAATGAGACAAAGTTAGTATTTAAAAATAAGCTTTCCGAATATAGTGATGAAATTCTATAACATTTAGAATCAACTTTAGCATTGTTTTTTTTTTCAGTATCTGCCTTTGATACATAGACATTTCTTGCAATAAATGAAGAAATTAAATTTTAAAAAAATATTAAATTAAAAAAAAAAATCGATGACGGAAAACATAATTGGAATGGGTGAGTAACAAGTACCAAAAGAAAATCTCTCCTTACTATTTTATTAGATTCTTTTCAGGACCAGTAGATTAAACTATTCAAGGATCTTTAGCAGGTAGGAATTTGGAGGTGTTACTGTCTTACCTCTTCTAAATAGACAGATGATGTGTATGTTCCTTTCACCAACTGGCAACATTCTTTATGCTGCCAGTCCAGCACTGCCAATTTGCGATCAAGGTGAGCCCAGGCAATTCTCCGAGTACCAAAAACAATGGATACGATACTGTTAACTGCCTAAAACAAAAAGGCTGGTTTCATTGCAAGTGTAAACATTTTAACAGATACAAAATTTAAGTGACAGACTCAGAAAGCCAAATTAGTTAATGTAATAGAAATACATTTATGGTTTATAAACTGAGAATTGTGAAAGACATGCAGGAGTAATTAAAAGGTAACTAGTAGCAGTCAGTTCTCAGGACATAGCTCAAAGTAGGCATTCAAATGTTGCTGGGGACTGCTAGAGGCTGGGGAACCAGGAACACAGCCGTACATGGTAAGAAATGCCATAACAATATTTACACTGTAGAGAAAAGAAATGGTCAGGAAAGACTTACTGGAGGACTAGGAGAACGAGTAAAATGGTAAGCAGGAAGTTATCTCACCCAGATGTCCACTTAAAAAGTTTGACACCTCAGGCTCAGCAAGTGGATTAAAGAGTACAAGTGGGAAAAGGGCAGAGGGGAACACAGATTTCTGCAAAAAGTAACTTGCGCCGTAGCCGGTTTGGCTCAGTGGATAGAGCGTCAGCCTGCGGACTGAAGGGTCCCAGGTTCGATTCCGGTCAAGGGCATGTACCTTGGTTGTGGGCACATCCCCAGCAGGGAGTGTGCAGGAGGCAGCTGATCGATGTGTCTCTCTCATCGATGTTTCTAACTCTCTATCTCTCTCCCTTTCTCTCTGTAAAAATCAATAAAATATTTAAAAAAAAAAAAAAAAAGGAACTTGCTTTATTCTGAGAGCCACAGAGAACCAGCAAAGCATATACCATTCAGGAGTAACAGATTTACATTTCAGAAGGATCAGGGACAGCTGTGTGGAAGATGGACCAGAAGAGATAGACTAGAGGTAGGGATTTGTGTTAGGTACCTGTTATATGACAAAGTATTAAGAACCTAAGACAGTGACAATGAGGACAAGAAAGAGATCAGAGATAACGGGAGTAAAATCGTTATGTGGGATGATCAAGGGGCCTAGGATAACTGCAACTGTATTGCAGTAACTATCTGGCATCATTAATCAAGATGATCTTAGGAGGTGGGTCAACTTGGGAAGGTTGGGGGAGATGAGCTTTTTAATGTATTGAGTTCAGGTTGCCTTCGAAGAGGGCATGTGTAACAGATAACCGGATGTATGGATTTAGCTCTGTGCCAAGTCTGGGCTTCACCTCACTCCCACATGGCTCCTTTAGTTATACAGACAATATACATTAACATGATCTACAGATACAGAGATAAGCAGGAACATTTTGTAATTCTATAGTCATCTCCCTTTTACTGCTAAAGAATGGGTAAATAAGCATGAAAGGCAAAATAATTTGGTGAGGATTACAAAATAAATAAAGGCAAAATATGTTGGAAGCCCAAAAAGCTACAAAATACAGGCCTTCTGTCTGGCTGGTGTGGCTCAGTTGGTTGAGCATTGTCCCATACACCAAAAGGTCGCTGGTTCGATTCCGGTCAGGGCACATGCCTGGGTTGTGGGCTGATCCCCAGTAGGGGGCGTGCATGAGGAAGCCAAGTGATGTTTCTCTCTCTCTCTCTCACTCTCTAAAATCAACAAAAAACATTTTTATTTTTATTTCTTTTAAAGGGGGAAGAAAATAACTTTAAATGCTGCTGGAAAGACGTTCGAGAGTCACTCTTTGGCATAGCTCATCTTTGCATCCTAATTTCTGATTACTCCCAACATAACTGTCAGATACAGCCAGATATCTCAACATCCCTTTTAAATAAACTTTGCACAGACCTACTTCTACATCGCTGTTTTGCCCTCCTCTTCCCACTAGCCTAATTCTCTCCCTCAAAGATACAAGTTGAGTTCTCCCAGTAAACTTTCCCCAACAGTTACAGCCCACAGTTCTCTCCTCTGAAGGAATGGCTCACGTACTATTTGTATATCTCATTCTTTGGTATCGATCACATACTATTTTGTATAGTGGGTTATCTATTAATATATGTATCCCTGAACCCAACTGAATTATAAGCTGCCTGAGAGCCCTTAGTGCCCAGAATAGTTCTTTGCACAGTAGGTTCTCAAATATTTAGACAGTATAATCGACATGAATAAAAAAGGGTATGTATACCTTAAGTCTCTCTCTTTCTATTTCTGGTTTGAGGAGCTTTTTTAAGAGCCGGTTTTCCTGTGACTTTTTCTTTTTCACTTCAGTCTCTGGACAAAGAATGGAGTTACAAATCTGTACGGTAGTTTTATACTGGAACAAGGGCACATTCATTACACTCTCCAAATTCTGGAATGGCCCAAACTTTTTTCTGTGCTCTACAAGATTGAGGGACTTTCTTCCACGAAGTAATTTGAAAGCTTCGAGTTCATTATTAGATGCTGTATTCAACACATGCAATATGGAAGCCTGTTGTTCCGAAGAGAAGAGCTTGTCAAGTGCCTTCCCAGACTCCTTTGTCGTTTTGTCACAAAAAGCAACGTCGGGAATACTTTTCTTGGATGCGGTGGATTTTTTCCGACAGCAGGAATTATGCAGGGCTTGGAACGAGGACCATCCTAATGGTACTGGAAAAAATCTCCACCTCCCTACAAGGAAAATTTAGCAAAATGTGAGTTGGGATGTTCTAGACCTAGACTTTCCCATAATTTAAGAACCAGTGGACCATCTTAAGTTCTCCTGGAGAATCATTATTAAAATAAGTTGTTTAAAAACCGTATCTACATATAACTAAGCAACAGGGCTTTTTGTTGTTTTTACTCACGAGATAGCTTCTGATTTTTATGGCTATGTCCTAAGCTTTACAACCTAGAAATCTTATTTTATGCCCATCAAGAAGCATGGGTTTAAAACAATAATTTCGACTGCTTCACATTTTTGACATTTGTAACTTTAGAGGAATCTCTTTGTAATTAACCTCTCTTGTTATGGACATTTATTTTCCCTCCATTTTGTAAAATTAAAATGTTTTAGCGGAGTGGTAGATAGAAGAGCGGTTTTTATTTTCTTCTGCACACTTCCCAAGATTCCTACCATGCTTACGGGTCTGCAGGCGGAGGGAAACCCGCGTAAGGAAGACGTCTGTAAACCAATGGGAAGCCACTGACACCGCAGCCACAGGAGAGCCATGCAGCCAGGGGCGAGCAAGCGGCTGAGACTCCGCCCCCCGCCCGCCACCCAGTCGGGGAAGGAGCCGCTCGTGGACCCGTAACCCAGAGGAGCTCGATCGCGCCGTCGGCTCAGCGGGGCTTCCAAGAGGAGACCTGGGTCTGGGACTCGGGGCGGACGGGAAGCGAACCCAGTGCTGCAGGGACCCTACCTCCCGCCATGAGGACACTAGGGACGTTCATTTTCCGAGTCAAACGAGTACGTCCCCACCGTTCAGTCCTCCTCCACTGACTTCCGGTTCCTGTGTGCATCCCCCAAAAGAGCCCGGCCTTTCCGCAGAACGATTCTGGCCGCAGCGGCGTTCCGGGCCCGCCCAGGTGTGGAGCCCGGAGCGGTGGGGGGGCCGCGGCTGGGCTGCGCCGCGAGGTGAGTGCCCGGAGGAGCTCCGCGCCGCGATCCCGAGCCCTGGGTGGTCCGCAGACTTACTCCACTGCCTCCGGGAACGTGGAGGGGAGGAAGGAAGCGGGTGAGGCGCCGAATGTGCTTGAGTGGGGGGGGGGGGGGGGGGGGGGGGGGCGCCACCAGGTACCCGGAGCCGCCGAGGTGTTCGTGCCGTCGGACTGGAGGTGTCTGTCGATGGCGAACCTTTTGAGCTCGGCGTGTCAGCGTTTTGAAAAACCCTAACTTAACTCTGGTGCCGTGTCACATATAGACATTTTTTGATATTTGCAACCATAGTAAAACAAAGACTTATATTTTTGATATTTATTTTATATATTTAAATGCCATTTAACAGAAAAATCAACCAAAAAAATGAGTTTGCGTGTCACCTCTGACACGCGTGTCGTAGGTTCGCCATCACTGGAACAGCTCTAGACTCTAGAGAACCGGCCGTAGGTGGACGGTGAGGCTGGATGAGGTGAGGGGGCCGGAGCAGGGGAGGAGCTGGGGAGCCAGTGTGTCTTCCTTCCCCAGGGACTGGCAACCCTAGGAACTGAACTTGGGAGATAGAAGGAGAATGGCAAGGATTCTTTCTAGGAAATGGGGAGACTACAGTGGTTCTCAACCTTCCTACTGCCGCGACCCTTGAATACAGTTCCTCATGTTGTGGTGACCCCCAATTTCACTGTTACAAATTGAACATAATTAAAGCATAGTGATTAGTCACAAAAACAATATGTAATTATATATGTGTTTTCCGATGGTCTTAGGTGACCCACAGGTTGAGAAACGCTAGTTTAGCTAGTTTTGTGAAAAACAGGGACGTCAGGAGGAAGGTGGCTTTTGGAGGCAAAGCTGGTGCACTTGTGTTTTTACCAGACGGCAGTGCGGGGTGGATAGTGTCCAGGGGGCCGTGGGGATGGGAGGGATTGTAAGTGTTCGTAAGGAGTACCCATGGGAATTCTACAAAGCCAGCCGGTTTCTGGGGAACTTAGGACTCTAACAAGAAATAAAGTAAACTTTTTGTGCTAAAGCCTCCAAATCAATAGGAAATAGTTTTCTTTTAACTCCAGGGCTTATACTGCGGAATGAGGTATTAGGCGTTGAATTGTATCCCTCAAAAAAGAGATGAGGAAGTCTGACTCCTCAGAATATGACCTCATTTCCAAATAGGGTCATTGCAGATGTAATTAGTTAAACTTAAAAAAGAGGTCACACTGGGGTGTGGGTGGGGGCTGGCTAATTCAATATGACTGCTGTCCTTATAAGAAGATCAGCCCTAACCCGTTGGGCTCAGTGGATATACTGTTGACCTGTGGACCGAAGGGTCCCGGGTTCGAATTCGGTCAAGGGTACGGCCACGTATCTGGGTTGCAGGCTCCTCCTGGGCCCAGGCCCTGGTCTGGGCTGGTGCAGGAGGCAACCCATCGGTGCGTTTCTCTCACATCGATATTTCTCTCTGTCTTTCCCTCTCTCTTCCCCTCTCTCTAAAAATCAATGGAAAAATATCCTCGGGTGAGAATTAAAAAAAGAAAAAAAAAGAAGAAGATGAGTGCCATGTGAAGATGGAGCCAAAAATTGAAGTGATGCACATACAAACCACGGAAGGCCAAGGATAGCCAGCACAAGCTGGGAGAGAGGCGTGGAACGGATTCACTCTCAGAAGGAACCGACCCTGCCAACACCTGTACTTCAGACTTCCAGCCTCCAGAGCTGTGAGAGAATAAATTTCTGTTGTTTTAAGCCACCAGGTTTGTGGTAATTTGTTACAGCAGCCACGGGAGACAAATGCCTGAGGCCAGAAGGAGCCTGGTGATGGATGCTTTCAGAGGCGATGTGGTCCGCTCTCAGGGTGCAACAAGTCACTTGCTACCTGCACAACCTGAGATTCTCATCCTCTCCGAGCCTCAGCTTCCTCATTTGTGAAATGGACGTAGTGGTATCTGCCTCTCATTTCTACTAAGAGGATGTCTAGTTAGAAACTGGATGTAGAGAACATGACTTATAATAAGGGTTCAATAAATGTTAGTTCCTCATTAAAGCATTATCTCTTCTGGGGAGCCAATTATTATTTTTAAATATATATTTTTATTGATTTCAGAGAGGAAGGGGAAGGGAGAGAGATAGAAACATCAAAGATGAGAGAAGCATTGATCAGCGGCCTCCTGCACGCCCCCGGCTGGGGTTTAAGCCTGCAACCCGAGCATGTGCCCTTGACCGGAATTGAACCCAGAGGAGCCCAGTGATTTGCTTCAGCCTGTAGGCTAGCGCTCTGTCCACTGAGCTAAACCAGCTAGGGCTGGGGAGCCAATTATTAATGAGCTTGCGGGGAAACCCTCGCTCCCTGGAGCATTCATTCAGAATTACTTTGACCAGAGGCTGGAAGTGGTAGGGAAAGAGGCAACCACTGTGCCTGACTTACTGTAAACCAGAATCTGTGTTCAAAATGAAAGTCGTCATCTTCCCCAGAAACCAGCTCCTTCTCACTTCCCTGGTTTTGTTGCTCACATGCATACGCCCCTGCTCCTCCCACTCCTTTTGTCATTATGTCTAGCTTGTCATCTACTTACTGTGTTTTTTAAAGGTTTTTGACCATAGTGTACATGGGAAACAACTGCTTTATTAAACTTGGGTTTACACATATGATGCACTTTGATATTTTCTATTTCGTGATTTTTTTTTTTAAAAAACTACACATCCATTTTTGCAAGACATCAGGTGGGAGATGTCTAGTAGATAGAGGTGTAAGTCTGAAACTAAAGGAGAAGACAGTGCTGGGTATAGATTTGGAGTTCATCAGCACATAGAGATGGCACTTCATTCCATAAAAATGTGCGCCCGACCCGTGTGGCTCAGATGGTTGAGCGTCCACTTATGAACCAGGAGGTCATGGTTTGATTCTCGGTCAGGACTCATGCCCAGGTTGCAGTCTCGATCCCCGGTAGGGGCCGCATAAGAGGCTGCCGATCGATGATTCTCATCATTGATGTTTCTATCTCTCCCTCTCCCTTTGTCTCTAAAATCAATGAAAATGTATTTGAAAGAGAAATGTGTGGGATGAGCCAGGGAGAGGGGTAGTGTGGGAAAAGCACAGTGCGTGAGGGAGAGAACTCAGAGCAGCAGTATTGGGGGTGAGTGGAGGATTCGAATTCCACACCATCTCACCTCTGTCACTTGGCACCTGCTGGTCCTTTACCCTGAAATGCTCTCTCCTCAAAATGGTCTGAATTCTGCTCACGTTTTAAGTGCTAACAAGGGTACCTCCTGCCCGGAGAAGCCTCCCCGTCTTCAAAGCCAGAAGCATCCTTTCCCCTCATTATATTCCTCATAATACGTATTGTCTTGAACTGTAGGGCTTTTTGTCTTGTTTTGCTTTTGACTACATGTCTTTGTCCCTGTGTTTAACTATACATTTCCCCCAAAGTGATTTGGAAGCTACCAACTAGAATATATTTTATTTTATTTATTTATTTATTTTATTTTATTTTATTTTTTTTTTTAATATATTTTATTGATTTTTTACAGAGAGGAAGGGAGAGATATAGAGAGTTAGAAACATCGATGAGAGAGAAACATCGATCTGCTGCCTCCTGCACATCCCCCACTGGGGATATGCCCGCAACCCAGGTACATGCCCTTGACCGGAATCGAACCCGGGACCCCTCAGTCCGCAGGCCGATGCTCTATCCACTGAGCCAAACCGGTTTCGGCATTTATTTATTTTTTAAATATATTTTATTGATTTTTCACAGAGAGGAAGGGAGAGAGATAGAAAGTTAGAAACATCGATGAGAGAGAAACATCGATCAGCCGCCTCCTGCACATCTCCCACTGGGGATGTGCCCGCAACCCAGGTACATGCCCCTGACCGGAATCGAACCCGGGACCCTTCAGTCCGCAGGCCGACGCTCTATCCACTGAGCCAAACCGGCTTCGGCAGAATATATTTTTAAAAAAATCCATTCCTGGTGTCTCAACATCCCCGCTGGAGACAGAGAAGCCCAGTGGTTTGGGTTGCTCTGTGTTCTAAGCCTGTGTTCCAGCTTCGGAGTGCTAACGGTGTGAACTGGGGCAAGGGATGTCACCTCTCCGAGCCTCTCCAGACCCCTCAGAGTGCACAGTGCATGAGGGAGACAGGGCGAATTATATCCCCTACAACACCCAGCACGTTGGGAGGTTCACTAAGTGTTTGTTGGAAAAAATAAATTAATGATTACATATATTACATCCGAAAGGTTAATTTTTGTTTGGGATAAACATTGAAAACTCGTGCTCCACAACTTCATGACCTTGACCTAGTCAAACATTTCTAAAACTTGACATAAAAGCATTAACTATAGCCTGGCTGTTTGCTCAGTGGTTAGAGCGTCGGCTGGGACTGAAGGGTTGTGGGTTCCATTCCAGTCAAGGGCATGTGCCTTGAGTTTGGGAAGCAACCAGTCAATGTGTCTATCTCACACTGATGCTTCTCTCTCTCTCTCTCTCTCTCTCCCCCCTCCTCCTCTCTTCTCCCTGAAAATCAATGGAAAAAAATATCCTCAGGTGAGGATTAAAAAATACAAAAAACTCTAGTTCAATAGGGTAGCACCCTAATGTTCAAATCAAACTTCCAACAGATGTCACCCTAATCCCTTCCGTTGTGGTTGTGACTAAACCTCTGTGACTGACGTTACTGAGTGCTTCACCTAATGATATAAAATGTAAATACTTCGTCATCTTGTGTTTCTATCCAAGACATTTCACAACTGGACTTTTCAACTATGTAGATCTCTGTTGGGTTGTGTTTTATTCAGAACGCAAGCTCCCATACGTTGGGCTGCCTGTGTAATGAGGCTCTCAAATCCTCATTTCAACCAAAATTGTTTTGTATTTTTAAATATATTTTATTGATTTTTTACAGAGAGGAAGGGAGAGAGATAGAGAGTTAGAAACATCGACAAGAGAGAAACATCGATCAGCTGCCTCCTGCACACCTCCTACTGGGGATGTGCCCGCAACCCAGGTACATGCCCTTGACCGGAATCGAACCTGGGACCTTTCAGTCCACAGACCGACGCTCTATCCACTGAGCCAAACCGGTTTCGGCCCAAAATTGTTTTTAATGTGGCAAAACTCACATAACAGAATACACCATGTTAGCCCTTTTAAAGTATATTCATTCGTTGGCATTTAGTACATTCACAGTGTTGTGCAGCGATCAGCACTATCTTGTTTTGAGAAAATTTCAACACCCTAAAAGGAAACCTGTACCATTTAGCAGTCACTCTCCAGGCTCCCTCCCCCAGCCCTGGGCAACCACTAATCTGCTGCCTGTCTCTATGGATTTGCCTGTCCTGGGCATGGCACATACATGGGATACGCGACATTTTTCAGGCCCATTCCTTGCACCAACAGTACAAAGATGAATGTGACAATCTGCTCTTAACGAGATCACTGCCAACTGGAATGAAACAGATTAAAAAGATTTTTTTTTTTTATTGATTTCAGAGAGGAAGGGAGAGGGGGAGAGAGAAAGAAACATCAATAATGAGAGAGAATCATTGATTGGCTCCTGCACGCCCCACACTAGTGATCAAGCCCGTAACCTGGGCATGTGCCCTGACTGGAAATTGAACCGTGACCTCCTGGTTCATAGGTTGATGCCCAACCATTGAGCCACACCAGCCAGGCCAAAACAGATTTAAAAAAATCATATTACAATGTGATGATTATCATAATAGAAATATGAACATTGTGAGAACATAGGTGAGGGGCAATAAGGACAAGCTGTAAGAAATAACATTTGAATCTGGGCATGCAGGCGGGAGTTTGACAGACCCATGGGGGCTGGGCAGAAGGGTGGTGCAGAGGAGGAGGGAGCTGAAGTAGGAGAGCAAGGTACAACGATAAGGAGTTGGACAGCTCTGTGCTCAAAGGAGGGGGACAAAGCATACCCAAAGCATGTTACCACCCCAGGGCCTTTGCACTTGCAGTTCCCTTTTCTTGGGACACTTTTCTTTCAGATTGGTGCCTGTTTGGCTGGAACTCTTCCTTCAAATCTTTGCTTCAGTGGGTGGGGGAGGGGAAATTTTCTCTTTTCCTCTTCCTTGGTCTTCTGGCTGGTCAAATAATTAAAACAACATAAAGCAGATTAATGGAAGAAAATCACCAAATTTAATTACATATGAACGTGCAGGGGTTCCATAAAACCGTGGGGTCCAGGGACAAAGTGGGCAGTTAAGGTTTCTATGCCATCTTGAGCTAAGGAGAAAAGGGGGGTTGTGGTATGAGATTTCAAAGGGGAGGAAGGCAATTCACATGAAGATGGAAAGCAAATGCTTGGTAAGCAAATGTCTTTCATTTAAACTGCAGGACACAGAGAGGACTTTGATCTAATGGGACTTGCCAGGTCAGGCCTAGTTCTCCTTAAACCAGAGTTCTCCGTGCTGGGGGCTCCCTTCCTGGGCAGGCCCTCTCAATTCCTTTAGGCAGTGGAGTCTTCTGTGCCTTAAAAATAACTTAATTTTTACATTAAGATAATGATTAACATTACCTTAACATAATATCCCAAAGAGGCATATTTTGGGGTGGCAAACTCCACTCCCCTTCAGGTGCAGAGAGGGCTTCTTTGACCTCCCTATTAAAATAGCACCTTCCATCCCTCTCTATCCCCTTATTCCATTTTCCTCTGTAGCATTTACGACTCTAATACCATGTGTATGGAGGCATATTTGTTTCTCTGTTCGTTTTCTGTCTCCTCCACCTGAGGGTGAGCTGCACCAGGGCTGTCATGGGACGCAAATGTGACCAAATGGTCCAACAAGGAAAAGTACATTCTCATGCAATGTTACATAGCCATTCAAATTGTCATGAAGCATCTGCTAGTATAATAATATAATTGAGACAACATAAAACAGATTGATATGTAAAGAAAGTAAAAAAAACAACAAGATATAAAATTATATGAAAAATATGGTCCCAATCAGATAAAAAGATGTATAAAAGACCAGAAGGGCCCTGGCCGGTGTGGCTCTCTGCTGGTTGAGCCTTGTCCCATGCACCGAGAGGTCACCTGTTAGATTCCCAGTCAGGGCTCATGCCCGGGTTTTGGACTCAATCCCCAGTAGGGAGCGTGCAGGAGGCAGCGGGTAAATGTTTCTCTTCCACCGATATTTCTCTCTCTCTCTCTCAAAAAAAAACAAAAACAAAAACCTCCATATATATATATATATATATATATATATATATATATATATATACACTAATATATACTAATATATAAGTAAATTTAAAAAAAAGACCAGAAGGAAGTTCATGAGAATGTTCGTGAAAATTGATGGTGAGATTATTAAAAGCATAATAGTAGGTTGAACTGCATGTCGTTGCCATTACTGTTTTTGTAAGCCAACTTCAGACTGTTCAACCGTATACACTGATGAAAAGAGCCCAAGGCAAATGTGGATTTGCATCCCCGCTGGAACATCATCTCAGTTGGGTAACCTTGGACAAATTTACTAAAATTCTCTCTCAGGGTCTCAGTTGCCTCATCTGTAAAATGGGCATAAAATAGTCTGTACTTCAGGGTTGTATTTAAGATTAAATGGAATAATGTATGTAAGGGGCCTGACATACAGCAATCCCTGAATAAAGGTGGCCATCACTGTGGGCAGTGTTTAATTATGTGTGTTTATTTTAAAATTCGGAAACTATTAGACAAAATTATTTAAATTTTCAAAGGGGTTGTGGTCTAGTCCCTGGGGATCTTGGGCTCGGTCCAGGGCTGGGAATGTGACTGAAGGCTTTCCTCCAGCCCTGCCTCAGCTGGGCTCCTTGCACAGACAGACGGCGATCCCGAGAGCAGGGCTGGATGTTTGTCCTCTGAGGGATCCTGGGAACTTCACTGAGAGAGGACACTCTGTCCCAGGGCCCACTGCCCCCTCACCCCAGCAGCTGCCGAATGCACTGAGCCCAGGAGCGAGGCTGCCTCTGTCCACCTCTCCCCTCAAGCCCTGGCCCCCGTCCCAGTCACAACAGCCTTTGGCCCCGTGCTCAGCGCTCCTCCCTCAGCAGCAGCTTCTGGTTCCGGAACACAGGGCTGAGCTCAGCTTTTTTTTTAATTGATTGATTTTTAGAGAGAGAGCAACATCAGCTTGTTGCTCCACTAATTGATACAGTGAAGGTTGTTTCTTGTATGTGCCCTGACTGGGGATTTAACCCACAACCTTGGCATGTTGGGATGATGCTCTATCCCACGGAGCTACCCGGCAAGTGGGTTACAGAGTTTCTCTTTGTGGTGATAAAAAAAAGTTTCGGGCCTGGCTGGCGTGGCTCAGTGGTTGAGCGTTGACCCATGAACTAGGAGGTCACAGTTTGATTGCCGGTCAGGGTACATGCCCGGGTTGTGGGCTCGATACTCAGTGTAGGGCATGCAGGAGGCTGCCAATCAATGATTCTCTCTCATCATTGATGTTTCTCTCTCCCTCTCCCTTCCTCTCTGAAATCAATTATATATATATATATATATATTAATGTTTGGAAATAGTGGTGATGGTTGCACAAAATTGTGAATGTAATTAATGCCACTGGATTGTACACTTAAAAGTGGCCAATTTTATGTTATAGAAATTTTACCAAAATACTTTTTAAAATGAAAAAAAAAAAAAAGAAAAGAAAAAAAGCCGGTTCTGGCTGGGTGCCTGATATACCAAGGTTGGAGGTTCGATACCCGGTCAGAGCATATACAAGAGGCAGCCAATGAATGCATAAATAAGTGGAACAACAAATTGATGTTTCTCTTTCTCTCTCTCTCCCTCAAAATCAATTTAAAAAATAAAAGAAATAATACCAAAAAACAATCCAGGAATGGGAGGACTGAAGGGAGAGCAGGCTTGTCCTGTGGGGTTGGGGACATAACCTGGGGCCGACGGAGGCCACATTAGGAGTTCGGGATGTAGGTCCCTGGTCCAGCCCTTATTTGCTTTCTGATGCCGGTAATTTAACTCCTCTGAGGACACCATGCTGTTCTCACACAGCTGGCTCTCCTGGAACTTGTTATTAAATGGTGAAACTCTGCCCTGGCTGGTTTGGCTCAGTGGATAGAGCATCAGCCGGTGGCCTGAAGGGTCCCAGGTTCAAAATTTGGTCAAGGGCACGTGCCTGGGTTGCAGGCTTGATCCCCAGTGGTGGGGGCCGTGCAGGAGGCAGCTGACCAATGATTCCCTCTCATCATTGATGTTTCTATCTCTCTCTCCCTCTCCATTCCTCTCTGAAATCAATAAAAATGTAAAAAAATAAAAATAAATGGTGTGAAACTCTGTAAAACACAGAGTAAGAAAGAAGGAAAGAAAGAAACCGAACAGTAGTACCTTTTCCTGCTTTACGCTGAGGATGCCTGAAACTCCACCGTAAGGCTTGGAATTAAGGACTGGAGAAGGGGAAACGAAAGGCGCCTCTCCGTCTCTGGCTCCTTGGCATGAGGGAGATGCTCCATTTTCCCGGGGGTTGACATCCGGGGAGGGGGCTGTGAGACTCAGGGTCCAAGAAGAGAGCAGCAGCTCAGTGGGACACAGTGCATGGACCCTGGCGGGCTGGGGTGTCCAGGAACCCCCACCAGCCTCAGTTTGCCCCGGTGTTTAGCAGCTGAGAAGTGGTGTCCTCGGCCTGTCCCCTCATTGCCCCCTACGTCCCTCCTCCCCCACCCTTCATACCTTAGAATGCCTTTCCCATCTTTCTCCTGGGAGATTTATTTCTGTCCCCTTTTTCATCTGAGCAGCGGAAATGAATCATCCTTCGGCCTGTTTGGTAAACAGTCCCGTGCCCTCTGACCCGCGGGGCTCTCACTGCTTCCTCTGGAGCTGCTCCTGGGCTAGACACCCACCCCCAGACCCCCTGTCAAGACTCCCCTTTCCCAGGGCCTGGAGCTTGACTTCCCCCACCCTCTGGAAGATGAGAAATGACACAGAGCATTCCAGATGCCGATCCACGAGCGGACCAGAGGGGCAGGGCAGCAGGGAGCCACCATGTTCTGAGGGCTTTGTGTGCCCTGTCCTGGCACATCTGGATGACCCTGTGAAGCAGATCTTGCAATCCTCACTTGACAGGTTTGGAGTCGGAGGCTCAGAAAAGTGAAGGCACTTGCCCAGGGCCATACAGTGAGTGATGGAGCCAAGACTCAAAAGCCTGGATTCCTCCCATTGCACCGACTGGCATGTGCACGCAGGTGTGTCAGCTACCACATCAGTTGCTAAGCCACATGTGGACGGCAGGTGGGTGTCCACCTACAGGGGAGATGGCAAGGGTGTGCAGTGTGTGTCTTTCCAGACAGAAGCCCGTGGGTCCCTGAGGATGATGTCAAAGAGTGACAGGATGTGGGAGGGGACCAGGGATTAATAAAAAGCCCACATTCAAGGCCACCTAGGCCCTGCCCACACTTCACAAATACAGCTGTTCAGGGGGCCCTGGCCGAGTAGCTCAGTTAGTTGGAGCCTCGTCCAGATGCGCCAGGGTGGTGGGTTTGATCCTGAGTCAGGGTATGTGTGGGAGACAACCCATCGGTGTTCCTCTTCTCTCTCTCCCTCTCCTTCTCCCTCTCCCTCTCCTCTCTCCCCTCTCCTTATCTCTCTCTCAATCATTAAAAACACACACCATACTTCTGAAACCACACTTCCTGGTGATCATGCAACTATTTATTGGACTTCTAAAAATAGTATGTAGGTACTATTTCCAGGAGCTGTGTGAGATGCAGAAATAAAACTACTGACAGCAGACTATCAGGCGTGAGTGGTTGTCAGAGGGAGGAGGGTTTACATAAATATACGAGTCACTGATGCAAGGCAGACAGAAGGTGCTCGGGCCCAAAGGGATGGAAAAGCTCTAGAACGGTGTTTGTGTTCTAGGAGGCCTCCTTCGGAGGGATTCCTCGAGGCCAGGAATCAGGGAGGGCTTCCTTGAGGAGGTGGCCTTTGCAGGCCTCTAAAGCTCTAAGTCAGTGGTTCTCAACCTTCCTAATGCTGCGACCCTTTAATACAGTTCCTCATGTTGTGGTGACCCCCAATTTCATTGTTACAAATTGAACATAATTAAAGCATAGTGATTAATCACAAAAACAATATGTAATTATATATGTGTTTTCCGATGGTCTTAGGCGACCCCTGTGAAAGGGTCGTTGACCCCCAACGGGGTCGCGACCCACAGGTTGAGAACACCTGCAAGTAGATGTACAGTCCGCATCTGCAGACGCTTTAACGGAAGTTAGATCCTGTTTGACTTTCCAAGGAGCCCCCAGACGGCTCATGCCTTTATTTCCCGTCTCCGGAGGTGGGCACGGAGGCGCAGAGGAGTGGACTAGGTGGGCCTAGCTAGCAGGTGGCGGCCAGGATTTGATCTGGAGCCAGTGGGACTCCAAGCCCCGCGCGGGGCTCCCTCCTCGCCTGGTCCCGCGGCGGCGGCAGCGGAGCCCGCGGAGCCCGGAGACACCGCGCCGAGGGAGGAGCGGGACGTCGGGGCGGGACGGGGCGGGGCTGGCGGCGGCGCGCGGAGCTGGAGGCGCGGGGGCCGCGTCCCTCTCCACCTGCCGGCGAGCGCACGGGCCATGGGTGGCCGCGGGTCCGGGGGCCGCCCGGCCGAGCCCCGCTGAGCCCGCCCGCCCGCCGGGCCCGCCATGGGCGACCGCGAGCGCAACAAGAAGCGGCTGCTGGAGCTGCTGCGGGCGGCGGGCACCGGCAACGCGCACTGCGCCGACTGCGGGGCCGCGGGTAAGGGCGCGGCGGGCAGGACCGGACGGGACCCCAGCCGTCAGACCCCCGCCCCTCATGGGTCGGGTCCGCGGGCCCCGCTGGACCCCATGTCACCCTCGGAGCCAGGCTCCCGCAGACGCCGAGCGCGATTCTCCCAAGCGGACCCTGCGCCCTCTTCTCACCCGCCCCGTCCGGACCCCAACCCCCGGTCCCGGACCCGGGGGCCCTGACACGCCTTCCCGGCCAGACCCCCACCTCTCCGGACCTCGGCCTCTGACGCCACCTTCCACGCACTGGTCCGTGACATCCACACCCCGAGGGGTCCCTGCCCGCGCCCCCTGACCCTGCAGGGCCCGCTCCCCGAGGCGCCCCGGGTCTCCCCACCTTCCTGCCCCGCAGCCTGTGAAACTGCGGAGGTGGACCCGGTGGGAAGTGTCGGGTTCCCGCAGGAGTGTCCTGACTCAGCCCGGGAGCCAGGCTTCCCCCTGCAGCTCCCCTGCCGGGCGGGGCCGGCCCCTCGGACCGCGCTCCCCTCTCGGTTCCGGCCGTCCCTCGCCGCAGCCTCCTGCCCAATTCCCAGAACTCCTTCCAGATGGTTCTGTTCCAAGGTCTTTACCGCGCGGCGACCCGCGTGCATGCTGGCATTCTCGGTTCCCCCAAGGCGCATCGCCCCGGGAGGCCAGCCCTGGTGTCCTCGCCCAGCTCCCCACCTAGTCCGGCTGCCGCCCTCTCGCCCGCAGACCCCGACTGGGCCTCTTACAAGCTGGGCGTCTTCATCTGCCTGAACTGCTCCGGCGTCCACCGGAACTTCCCAGACATCAGCAAAGTGAAATCCGTGAGGCTGGACTTCTGGGACGACAGTGTTGTGGAGGTAGCAAGGGGCGCAGGGGGCGGCGGCGGGCAGGGCGCCCCCATTTTACAGGAAAGGACTCAGGTCCAGAGAGAGGGATCACTCGGGAAAGAAAACACAGCCTATCAGACCTGTGGCTGAGACAGAGGCCCCGAGTTCAAATCCTGACGTCCTCACTTGTTTATTTAGGAGGGGGAGGCCCTGAGCTTGGTTTTTTAACCCTAGTTGTGGACCCTCAGTTTCCACATCTGTGTTATGGGGACACCCCCTCCCCACCCCCCTTCTCAGGCTGCTGTAAGAATTAAACGGGGCTCAATGCAGGTACAAAGTACCAGTCAGTTAGGAGCTACTGTTCTCATTAGCTGAAGCCCCGGACTGGAACGGAAGCATCCCAGGTCCAGCATCCTGAGTCTATTCTCTCCCTCCAGCCCCCCTAGCCAGGAAGGGGTCTACTTGGCTCCGCTGACCTATGGTGATGGAGGACACCTTCAGCCTGGAGGAAAATGCCAGTTTGGCCAGGACACCGTCTGAGAGCAGGCGGTCCTAAACTGTGCTGGTTGGCGAGGATTTCAGGACTGTTGGGGAAGCAGGCCCACGGTCTCTGAGCGCCCACTGTGTGCCAGGCACTGTGCTAGGCCGCTGGGCTAGATGCTTTCCTTATTCATTCAACACTTGGTTACTGGATGCCCACCATGTGCTGGAGCAGCTAAAGCGGGCAAGGTAAAATCTGTCCACATGGAGCTTACATGCTAGCGGAGAAGGTCAGGAAACCCGCAACCCAGCACCGAAACCCAAAGGTTATGTGTTTGTGCCTCATACTGGTGCCTCCCCTGCTATGTTTTCTCCAGTGTTGCAGGTGAGCTCTCTGAAGCTCAGGGGTTAAGTATGGCCCGAGGGCCCCCCCGTGACTGAGTGGCACAGGTGGGATGTGAACACAAGATCCAAAGCTCACGGAAATCCTGTGATACAGCTCAGTGGCCCCTGGGGGGTGGTGGGGGAGGGGGGAAAGGATAGGGCTAGCTCTATGAAAAGCCTGTTTCTTCCCACACTGCCCTCACCCCAGATAAGCCCCTGCTGTCGCTGCGTGCTGACTCTTGTTCCATGTGTCTCTGGGTCTCTCGGGTGTCATAGGGCCCCAGTGATAATCCTGATCTAGAACTCTAGGGGATCAGCATTGACTTCCGCCTTCAGCTACCTGTACTGCCTACAGACTTGCGGGCACTGTTGCTGGGGGTCCTGGCCAGCTGTGGGGGTGGGGGTGGGGTAGGAGGAAGAACATGAGCTTTGGAGTTAGACAAGCCTGGGTTCAAATCCCAGCTCTCCATGTACTAGCTGTATTACCTTGGGTAAATCGCCTAACCTCTCTGAGCCTCGAAAATGGAGATGGTGATATTAAAATGGCTAAGGGGATCAAGTGAACCAGTGTGTGGGAACTGTGGTGCATTCTGCCTCTATGAGGCATAGTTTTTTCAGCACCACATTGCTCTGGCCTTTCTAGCAAACGCTGGTGTTTTATTTTTTGGTTAATTCTGGTGGGCAGTGTGAAATTCCCCTACAACTGTCTCCTGACTCAGCGGAGGAGCCAGTGAGAACAGTGGCCTTCTAGGTAGACCATGGTTTCATTTCATATTTTGCAAGTTCTAATATTACCATCAAATTGCTGTTGTTTTGCAGTTTATGACCCACAATGGGAACCTCCGTGTGAAGGCCAAGTATGAAGCCAGAGTCCCCGCTTTCTATTACATCCCTCAGGCCAGCGACTGCCTGTGAGTGAGTGCATGATTCCTGGCCCCAACCCCACCTCCGGGTCTTTGCCTGCGGTGGTCTTGTCCATGGGCCCGGTCAGCAGGTGGACCCAGGAAAGGGTTTGGTACTGTTATGGAGAACACATGAGACCTAGTTTAAGCCTTCTCTACCTTTATTGCTTGGGTGGTCAATTCCTTCCTCTGGGACTCAGCTTCCATCGCTCTAAAAGGGGGCATTTTCTCTATTATCTGCCCCATTTGCCTCTGATGTTCTCACAGGTGGTGGCTAACTTGATAGAGAAGAGAAACGCTGGTATTTTATTTTATTGTTCTGTTAATCCTCACCTGAGGATATTTTTTCCCATTGATTTTTAGAGAGAGTGGCAGGGAGGGGGAGAGACAGAAACATTGATGAGAGAGAGACACATCGATTGGTTGCCTCCCCCTTGTGCCCTGACCAGGGCAGGGGATGAAGCCTGCAACTGAGGCACGTGCCCTTGACCGGAATCGAACCCAGAACCCCTGAGCCAAACCAGATAGGTCGAAACACTGGTATTTTAATAGAACAAATGTATTTCAGCTACTTCCTATGGAGTGCTATGCTTAGGACTGTCCCAAAGCAGCTGCTGGGCCCCAGATCCCTAAATATTAACCATAAAAACAATAGTAGCTACTAGTATTTATTGAGCTTTATCTATATACCAGGCCCTGTGCTAAATAATTATGTGCATTAATTTGTTGAATTCTCTCAACAACCCCATGCGAGAAACACTGCCATCGCCCCCATGATGTAGATGAAAAACTTGAGGCTTGTAGAGGCAAAGCTGGGACGAGCCCATCTGATACCAGGTCTGGGTGACTGAACCATGACATTGAGAAAATCCAATATCATGAGGGTAGGGGAGGTCAGGGGAGGCTCTGTGAAGCAGTAGGAGGGTTCACTTGACCTGGAGGCAAGGGCCCGTGTGACACTGGCCACCTAGTGACCTCAGACCTCTGCAGATTGACTGTCTGAGCCTGACTCTCTCCCAGGGACCCAGCCCCGCCTTCAGGGCTGCTAGATAGCGCCTGCGTCAATGGGTGTGTCTGACCCTCCGAGCAGACACAACCTCATGGGGACATGGCTTGCAGGAAGCCGCTGCATTTCAGCTACATTGTCCTCTAGCCTCACAGCAGGATGCTTTAGGATAGGGCACAAACGACACAACCATCCCTGGGGGGCCTGCGGTTTCCCTGCGGCTGGGGAGGCACAGCTGTGGACTCGGGAGACCTCCGTTCTGTTTCCAAGTCTACCATGACCTGGCTGTGAGAGGGTGGACAAGTTACCAAACCTCTCCAACTCGTGGCATCCTCGCCTCTGAAATCTGGGTAATGATGCCTACAGCAGAGCATCGTGGTGGATTAAATGAGATAATTTATGTAAAAACCTCATAGGCCACCTGAAATGCTAGTTTGTTTGTTTTTTAAATATAGTTTTATTGACTTAAAAGAGGAAGGACGAGAGAGAGATAGAACATTGATGATGAGAAAGAATCATTGATTGGCTGCCTCCTGCACACCCCACACTGGGGATTGAACCAGCAACCCTGGCATATGCCCTGACCGGGAATCAAACCATGACCTCCTGGTTCAGAGGTCGACACTCAACCATTGAGCCACCCCACGCCGGCTGGGCTGAAATGCTAGTTTTTTTTTTTTAAATATATTTTATTGATTTTTCACAGAGAGGAAGGGAGAGAGATAGAGAGTTAGAAACATCGATGAGAGAGAAACATCGATCAGCTGCCTCCTGCACACCTCCTACTGGGGATGTGCCCGCAACCCAGGTACATGCCCTTGACCGGAATCGAACCTGGGACCTTTCAGTCCGCAGGCCGACGCTCTATCCACTGAGCCAAACCGGTTCTGGCTGAAATGCTAGTTTTAATCCATTTCTCAGTGTTAGCTTCAGAATGCTGCCTAGTGCCTGGCCCCGCAGAGGGATGTGTCAGGTCTAAGGGCCTGATCCTCTTGCCTCATCTCTGCCACTCAGCCCTTGGCTCCAAGGGGAAGGGAACGAGCACTTGGTGAGCACCTACCATGTGCTAGGCCTTCTGCCCGCACTACACAGACACTGCTTGTCATGACTCCAACAACAGGCCTGTGCTTTAACTCCCTTTAGCTGAATACTAATGGCCTCTTCCCTCCTATCCTAAAAGTCCTCTGAACTCCCCACTCCAACACCAGGATTGGGGCCTCAGTCCCCATTGCCTCTCCCAGCTCTGATCCTGTGGCTCAGGGTTCCTCAATGTTCTGGTGAGGACTGTGCATTAGGTAGGACTCTTTGTTGTTGTTGTCGTCGTCATATGATCTTTAATTGAAATATTTCCCTGTGTAGTTCTTAACTGGCTAGGCATTCCACGGCACCTCTGTTGATGTCATCTATGATGTCATGAGGGTGGTGGCCAATAGCATTGCAGCCCACAGACAGGGCAGTCCCCAGGATCTCTTTAATGGTTCAAGAGAGCTCTCTAGCTAAAGGTCGGTGCCGCATCTTCGGGCAATGTTGACGGTCTCATCAAAAGTGGTATTTCCACTGTGCTTCCTGTCTTCTTGCTTCCTTCTGTCTCATGGTGGTTCTTTGAGGGCTTCGATGGTCAGGGCAGAGGCCCTGAGTCTGGGCCTGTCTGTTCTGAACGGACAGTTTCACTGTGATCCACAGACCTTTCCGATCACTGCCCGAGGCTGCTTTGGCAATGTCACCATCAGTCTTTTCTGGAGATGGACGCAGGGGGCTGATCTTGGGGGCCAGGGCGGAGGTGGCACTGACTTTCCCACCACTGCACCTCAGATAGATGACTTTGACCTCCTTGGGGTCAAACTTGGGCAGCCTGACGGAGGCGGCTGGTGTCTGTCAGGTGACCCCAGTTCCGGAACAACTGAAGAAAGTTGCACCCAAGCCTCCTCCAAGGCAAACGCCGAAAAGCTAGATAGGACTCTTGATGGTAAGTGACAGAAACCCAGTTTAAACCAGCTTAGAAAGAAGATGCTGTGGGTTCTGGGGTCAGGCTGCAGGGAGGACAGAGGTGGAGCCGCCCCAGGAAGGACAAGCCAGGACAAACACCAGCAGCCTCTCAGAGCCTCTCTGGCTCTCAGTGCTGCTTCTCTCTCTCAGCCGGGCTTCTTCATGCAGCTGGAGCCAGACCACGGCTAGGTCCCAGCTCCAGCTCCCAGTGTGATCCCAGAGAGCGCTTCTAACTCACCTCCCTTCTCAGTCTTGCTCCTTTTGGTCCACACAGCCCTGGGCAGAGCTCTGATTGACCAGTTGGGCCAGATGCCCAGCTCTAGCCCATTCCCTGTGGTTGTGGGGATAAGGTCACATAAACCTCGGGCCCGGATGGTGTGGCTCAGTGGTTAAATGTCAACCTATGAACCGGGGTCATGGTTTGATTCCTGGTCAGAGCACATGCCTGGGTTGTGGGTTCAATCTCCAGTGTGGGGCGTGCAGGAGGCAGCTGATCAATGATTCTCTCTCATCATTGATGTTTCTATCTGAGAACCAACTGATGGAATGAAGTCTCCTTTTGGCTGCATGGTTTTTCTGCACGGGTCATGGAAGACAGTACCTGATGGGACTAACATTAAACCACCCACTCTGTGCCGAGCACGGCTCTACTCCCTTTATATACATTTAAAGCTACCCGAAGGGGTCGGTAGGTATAATATTATTGGCATATTCCCCAAGTTCAGAGGCAGTCCTTGGGCTACGTCGGACTCGACATACGTCGTTTCGTGGTTACGTCGCCATCTCCCATTTATTTATAAAGAAAAAAAGTTCCATCATTTCAATGTATGTACATATGTGTTTTATGTTTCTTATTATTTATTTACCACAAGTAAAGGTCAGGAATTGTTATCTTCCTTTTAATTTTTTTTTTTTTTTTTTTACTGTTTCACTTCATTACTGCTGTGTATGTGCTCCCTGTGAGTGACGTAGGTGCTTTTTTTTTTTTTTGATTCTGCTCATTTTTTTTTTTTAATTAAATCTTTATTGTTCAGATTATTACATTTGTTCCTCTTTTTTTTCCCCCCATAACTCCCCTCCTCCCAGTTCCCGCCCCACCCTCCGTCCTCACTCCCCACCCACTGTCCTCATCTATAGGTGCACAATTTTTGTCCAGTCTCTTCCCGAATCTCCCACACCCCTTTCCCCCCCAGGAATAGTCAGTCCATTCCCTTTCTATGTCCCTGATTCTATTATAATCACCAGTTCATTCTGTTCATCAGATTATTTATTCACTTGATTCTTAGATTCACTTGTTGATAGATGCATATTTGTTGTTCATAATTTGTATCTTTACCTTTTTCTTCCTCTTCCTCTTCTTAAAGGATAACTTTCAGCATTTCATATAATCCTGGTTTGGTGGTGATGAACTCCTTTAGCTTTTTCTTGTCTGTGAAGCTCTTTATCTGACCTTCAATTCTGAATGATAGCTTTGCTGGATAAAGTAATCTTGGTTGTAGGTTCTTGGTATTCATCACTTTGAATATTTCTTGCCACTGCCTTCTGGCCTGCAAAGTTTCTGTTGAGAAATCAGCTGACAGTCGTATGGGTATTCCCTTGTAGGTAACTGGGTTTCTTTCTCTTGCTGTTTTTAAGATTCTCTCTTTATCTTTTGCTCTTGGCATTTTAATTATGATGTGTCTTGGTGTGGTCCTCTTTGGATTCCTTTTGTTTGGGGTTCTCCGCGCTTCTTGGACCTGTAAGTCCATTTCTTTCACCAGGTGGGGGAAGTTTTCTGTCATTATTTCTTCAAATAGGTTTTCAATATCTTGCTCTCTCTCATCTTCTGGCACCCCTATAATTCTGATGTTGGTACGCTTGAAGCTGTCCCAGAGGCTCCTTACACTATCCTCGCATTTTTGGATTCTTTTTTCATTTTGCTTTTCCGGTTGGGTGTTTTTTGCTTCCTCGCATTTCAAATTATTGACTTGATTCTTGCGCTCCTCTGGTCTGCTGTCGGGAGTCTGTATAATATTCGTTATTTCAGTTCGTGTATGCTTAATTTCTAGTTGGTTCCCCAATATAAGATCGAGGGTCTCATTAGTTTTCTTGTAGATCTCATTAAGTTTATCGGCGGCTTCTAAACAGTTCTTGAGAGACCTTAAAAGTGTGGTTCTGAACTCTATATCTTCCATTGACAATTTTGTCCTGTTTCTTTGTCTCCGCATTTTGTTATGCTTCCTTGGTGCACCCCCTAGTGGTCTTTGTTCGCAGTCTTATAGTTAAATCTTGATTGTTGTAGCTAATTCCAGGGAGGGTTTGACCTCCAGGCCAAGTGGCTATGAGAATCAGCTGTGTCAGCAGTGAGAGAACTTCTGTCCTCTAGGGAGGTGCTAATCTAGCCTTTGCCTGAGGCTATCCGGCAAATGCCTGTGTGCAGGGCTTGGGCGGGGCGGGTCGCACAGGATCAACAGGGTGGGCCGGAGAGAGCAGTTATGGCGGCTCTCAGTCCTGTCCCCAGGGGCTCTGCCTCTCTGAGTCCCAGCACCCGCTGCAAAGCTCAGAGAGAAAGCTGCACTCGCTCTGACCGAAGCCAGACAGTCCCGCTTCTCCCGTTTGAGTCTGGGTCCCCAAAGACTCGCCCGGATCTGGAGCTCAGAGTCTGCGACTCCCTCCCGATTGAAAACGCCAACTGCGCCCTCCGCCGCCAGCCCGCTCCGAGCACTCCGCACCTCAGAATTTGACTTCAGCACTGCGCCTCCTCTGAGTGTCCGTATGCGTTTCTCTTTCCTCCTAGTTGTAGGACTTCCACTCAGCCAGCGTTCCTGTGGTTCTGGGTGCTGTCCCTTCCGTTTTTTGGTTTCACTTTTGAAGTAGTTGTTCAAAGCAGCAAACTCCGGCGTTAACCTATGCCGCCATCTTGGTTCTCCCGTAGGTGCTTATGTAGGTGGGTTCCCACTTATGGCGAAAATTGCGTTACGTCGCTGTAGGAACGGATCTCTGACGTAACCCGAGGACCTACTGTATCTTGTTCTTGATCACACAGTGGATAAATGGTCGAGTGGGACCAGATCCCAGATGGTTAGACTCCAAGACCACTGCTCTGTCCGGTGTGCCATGCCCCGAGTTCATGGGCAGGCCCAGGAAGAGGCTGCTGGCCTCCTGGCCTAAGCTGGGAGCATGCAGTGGAGGCGGCAGTGTAGACGATCCAGAGGAGCTGGTGTCGGTCTTGCTCACCTGAAGGGCCAGGCTGGCATCAGAATAGCCCAGAGGTTTTCTAACAGCCCACTGGGGGATATAGTTCCCCCAGGAGACACTGGCAATGTCTGAAGACATTTTTGGGTATCACCGGGGAGGAAGAGCTACTGGCATACAGGAGGTAGACGCCAGAGATGCTGGCAAACATCCTACAGTGCACAGGACAGTCCCCACATCAGAGCTGTCCAGCTCCAAAGGGTAACAGTAGCACGGCTGAGCAGCCCTGGTAGCCTGAGCAGGCAGCGAGGCCGCTGTGTGACGCTCCCGCCTGCAGCTGCGGGGCCTCAGACAGTTGCTGTGGGCAGAGCACGTATCAGACACAGCTGACCGGAGGTTCTCTCTTTTTAGGGTCTTAAAGGAACAGTGGATTCGAGCTAAGTATGAGAGACAGGAGTTTATGGCCGATGGGAAAACCATCTCACTCTCAGGTACAGTTAATTTTCATCACCTTTCAATGTCTCTGTTGCAGCGAGTTCTAGAAAACAAAGTGCCTGATTCTTAGAAGTGGGGTCCAGCCGAGAGCTATCTGCTGCCCTCACTCTGGCCACAGAGGCCCAGGCATGGGTTCCTCTGCCTCTGAAATGGCAACACAGCAGTTGGTGGGGTTTGCGGTCTGAATGGACAGGAAGCATGTCTGCACGTCCTTGCGGGGCCTCAGGGGTGTAGAGTCCTTCCTGTGAGTTGCAGGGAGGCTCACCCACCAGGAACACAGCCCTGCGCCTGGCTCCTGGAGCCCCCGGTGTGGCACAGGCTCGGTAAGGTGCGTGGGCCGGAATTCGCCCTCCTTCATAACCTTGTGCAAGGCACAACCTCATCGGTGGCCCTGGACCTGTGGCTGACACCGACCCGGAGGGCAAAGTGCACAAAACCACTCTTTGAGGATCAGAGGCAGCCAGTGCTCAACGCTCCCAGCTCCCAGGAGCACCTGGCATTCTTCAGCCGCAGGCGCCTAGAGGGCATGCGTTACTCCTGCGCTCTGGAGAGCGCCCCCGGGCTGATGTCCATGGGAAATCATCGGTACAGTGTCTCAGTACTTAGCCTACGTAAGGGTGCGCTGTGCCTTCTTAAGAAATAGCCAAGGAAGAACATTGGAAATTTGGCCCCAGATAGGACCCCCGTGTCCTGCATCTGAAATAGCCACGTTCGTTAGATGTGAGACAGTTTAGCAGCCGGCGGGAGGTTCATTGTATCCCGAGACCCTGCGAGGATTGTGAGCTGCTTGTTTGTCTTAAGGCGGTGGGTGCTCACTCTTTGTCGTCCTGGTGGCTCAGGTAACCGGGAAGGGTTCCTGTGGAAGCGGGGCAGGGACAACGCGCAGTTCCTAAGGAGGAGATTTGTCCTGTTGGCAAGAGAAGGCCTTCTGAAGTACTACACTAAGGAAGAGGTAAGAGGCCAGGCCCGGGAGGGGTCCCCTCCGACCACTGGGCTCTCACCCACCGAGGTCTGCTCTTTAATCAATAGTGACTTGTCCTGTGGGTGATCTCAGGCCCCACATCCCATTTTCCCTTGGTGATACAATCAGTCCAGCCCTCTAAAACACACCTTCTGCTCACTTAGAACAGTGGTTCCCAACCTTCTGGCCCTTTAAATACAGTTCCTCATGCTGTGACCCAGCCATAAAATTATTTTCGTTGCTACTTCATAACTGTAATGTTGCTCCTGTTAGGAATCGTAATGTAAATATCTGATATAAAGGATGGTCTTAGGCGACCCCTGTGAAAGGGTCGTTGGACCGCCAAAGGGGTCGCGACCCACAGGTTGAGAACCGCTGACTTAGAATAAGCTTCGACTGGTCCATGATTAAGCCTTTGATGATCACTGGATTTGACTTCATTTCTTCATACACGCAAGGGATATTTATTGAGCACCTGCTATATGCTAGACATTATTGTAGGCACTGGGGACACAGCAGTGAACTAACAAAGCTCCTCTTCTCTCGGAGCTTTCATGCTAGTGGAAGGAGATAGGTGGCGATCAAACAGCATCAACATATGATATAGCAGGTGGCAGGAAGTGCTAAGAAGGGAAATAGATGAGAATGTGAGGGAGTGACCACAGAAGGCTCTGAGCGTTGGCCTTACCTTGCTCGGTTTCCTACACATAGGAATTATTGTGTATTTCCCCTGTTGCTTTCCTAGATGGACCTGTGCGATGCGTGGCCGCAGGCTAGGGCCAGTGAAAAATGGTGAGGGATGAAGAGTATTTATCCTCCAAGTGCGAGTAGCGATTTCTTTTTCTCTTTTTAGATATCTTTTTATTGATTCCAGAGAGGAAGGGAGAGGGAGAGAGAGAAAGAAACATCAATAATGAGAGAGAATCATTGATTGGGTGCCTCCTGCACACCCCCTACTGGGGACTGAGCTTGCAACTGGACATGCGCCCTTGATTGGAATTGAACGTGGGACCCTTCAGTCTGCAGGCCTATGCTCTGTCCACTGAGCCAAACCAGCTAGGGCAAGAGTAGGGATTTCTTATTAGTCTTCAGTTTAAAGACCTGAAAAATGTTGCAGGCACAAGAGGCAGGAAGAGAAAGTGGAGCAGAGTTAGGAGTGGCCACTGAACCCCAGCAGCCGCTGGGGGCTGGTCTCCTAGAGAGCCTCATTTTTGGTTGGGAAAAGTGGGTCCTTCTCTCAGTCCTAAGCCTGTTTAGTCTAAAACAGTCTAAAAATAACACAAGTTGCCTGTGGTCTTTTTAATTTCTTTCCCCAAAAAAGGAAAAATTTTAACTTATAAAGGTAACTCATTTTTATGTAAAAATTTGGGGTAATACAAGAAAGTAAATAAAGTATAAAGAAAGTGAAACTCAAAAGATATCTCAGCATAACAAAATGTTGATACTGAGAACATATTTTAAAAAAAACACAAAAACCTACAAATCAAGAAGAAAAAGACAGTCCATTAGAAAAATGGCAAAGCAAATGGACTGGCCTTTTATAGAAAAGGAAACCAAAAGGCCTGATAAGGGTAAGAAGAGACGCTTGCTGTCTCTGGCAGGGAAGTGCAGGTCAAAACCACAATGAGATGCTACACACCCACCATAATGGTGAAAATTAAACAGGCTGACAACACCAAGTATTGGCAAGGATGTGGAGAAACTGAAACTCTCATCCATAAATAATACAACCTCTTTGGAAAGCAATTTGGCAATTTTATTTTTTTTAAAAAATATATTTTTTATTGATTTCAGAGAGGAAGGAAGAGGGAGAGAGATGGAAACATCAATGATGAGAGAGAATCATTGACCGGCTGCCTCCTGCATGCCCCCCACTGGAGATTGAGTCCACAACCTGGGCATGTGCCCGAGGCCAGAATTGAACCTGGGACCCTCCAGTCCGCAGGTCGACGCTCTAGCCACTGAGCCAAACTGGCTAGGGGGCAGTGGCAATTTTACATAAAGTTAAATGTATACCTGACCACATAACCCAGCCATTCCACTTCTAGGTGGAACAAAAACATAAGTCCAAAAAAAAAATGTTCATAGAAGCTTTATTTATAATAGCCCAAACCTGGAAAGAACCCAAATGTCCATCCACAGCTGAATGAATAAACAAATTGTAATACATCCATAGAAGGGAATATTACTCAGCAATAAAGGGGGACAAACTACTAAAAAATGCAATAAGGTGGATTAATCTAAAAATATTATTCTGAGCAAAAGAAGCCTCATACAAGAGTATGTACTACATAATTCCATGTATAGGAAATTTTACAACAAGCAATAGAAAGTAGGTAAGTGATTGCCTGGTGTTGAGGTGGGGGGGATGAGGATAGACTGTAAAGGGGCAGAGGAAACTTTTGGGGTGACAGTGATGTTGAATCTCTTGATTGTGGTAGTGGTTACAAGGGAATATATGCTTGTCAAAATCAACCTATACTCTTAAAATGAGTACCATTTTTTGTTTACCAATTATACCTCAATATAGCTGATTAAATGAAAACAGTGAGGCCCAATTTCAAGTCCATCATATTGGCAAAAATGTTAAAAATTGGCAATGTCAAGTGTTAGTGAGAATAGCGGGGAAGGGGAACCCTTCTTTGTTTTAGTAGGTTCCTACTATGCATCCTGTTTTGGGACTTGGTATTTCTCATGGATTTCATATTAGTAATATTGATCTAAATTAGTTATTTCATTTTATTTTTAAATATATTTTTATTGATTTCAGAGAGAAAGGGAGAGGGAGAGAGAGATAGAAACATCTATGATGAGAGAGAATCATGGATTGGCTGCCTCCTGCACGCCCCCTACTGGGAATTGAGCCAGCAACCCGGGCATGTGCCCTTGAATGGAAATGAACCTGGGACCCTTCAGTCTGTAGGCCGATGCTCTACTATCCACTGAGCCAAACTGGTGAGGGCTAAATTAGTCTTTTAAAATGTTTGCGGTATTTCATTGTGTGGATGTACCATGATTTAATTATTTAATGGATATGTGAAACACTCCTTCTTTTTCTGCTAGTATACCAGTAAGTAACATGGCAATAAACATCTTTGGCATGCATGTTTGCACAGAAATGCAATTACTTCCTTGGGATGGATTCTTAGATGCAAAATTGTGAGTCAAAGCAGAACACTCAACATGGTAATAGGTATGACCAACTTTCCCTCTAGAGAAGACTATTAATAGGCTTTCTTTAGTTCTATGTCTGCCCTGTTCAATACACTAGCCACCAGCCCTAGCTGGTTTGGCTCAGTGGATAGATCGTTGGCCTGTGGACTGAAGGGTCCTGGGTTCGATTCCTGGTCAAGGGCACATACCTTGGTTGCAGGCTCCATCCTGGGGCCATGTATAGGAGGCAACCAAACGATGTATCTCTCTCACATCGATGTTTCTCTCTCTCTCTGTCGCTCCCCCTCCCTTCCACCCTCTCTAAATATCAATGGGGAAATGTTCTTGGGTGAGAATTAACAACAACAAAATACCCTGGCCACTGGCCTCGGGTGGCTACTTGAGCATTTGAAATGGGGCTGAGTAAAGAACTGAAGTTTTCTTTTATTTTTTGTCCTTTTAAAAAATATTTTTATTGATTTCCGAGAGGAAGGGTAGAGGGTGAGAGATAGAAACATCAATGATGAGAATCATTGATCAGCTGCCTCCTGCACGCCCCCTACTGGGGATCAAGCCCACAACCGGGGCACGTGCCCTTGGCCGGAATTGAATCCGGGACCCTTCAGTCCACAGACCAACGCTCTATCCACTGAGCAAACCAGCCAAGGCTATTTTTATTTAAATGCAATAGGCACATGGGTCAATGGCTCCCACAGCTCCCCGGTGTTTGTTATAATTTTTCTCTCTTACCGATTTTGAAGGAAAGCACTCTTTTCTCTTCCCTGCTCAGCATGAATCAGTGATTGCACTGTTTCAGAGACCAGCCAGGACCCCACATCTGCTTTTATCTGCTTTATTTTATTGGGTGGCTTCCACAGATGACTTGCTTCAGAGAAACTGCCATGGCTAAAATTTTGAAAAGTCCTGCATTAAGGCCTTTCCAAGCCCCATTCCAATTCGAGAGGCCAGGCCGAGTAAGCAGGAATGGTGGGATGGCTGAATACAGGACAGCAGGAGCATCCGTGTGTCCTAATGACAGAGCAAGAACAGGGAAAACCCATGGAAAGTTACAGGTTGGTTACCTGTCTGCTTGAGGCCTTGGTGAAGGAGATAAGACGACTCCCTGCGGACTGTCTGTCGGCATCTTGAGTATCCATTCCCTCTCTTTCAGGGTAAAAGCCCCAAAGCTGTCATCCACATCAAGGACCTGAATGCCACCTTCCAGACGGAGAAGATAGGCAACCCCCACGGGCTGCAGATCACCTACCGGAGAGAGGGCCACATCAGGAACCTGTTTGTGTATCACGAAAGCGGCAAGGTGAGCTGCCTGGCCTCGCCGTGCCAGCCTCCAGCTCGGCACCCCAGGGCTCTGCAGGCCCAGCGACTAACCCTCTTGAGATCTGCAGCTACTGTTTGCCTAAACCTAGCGTCACTTTCTGGTCAGAGATAGCGGTGTGAGGAAGGCAGAGTGAGATCAGAGAGAGGAACCTGACAGGTCAAGTGGGTGTGTGTGGACGGTTCACGTCCACCAAGGGGAGTCCATCAGCAGAAGGACTGTGCCCGGGGATGGCAAGTCCAGGTGGCACCAGAGACCCTGACTATGGGAGGAGAAACGGAGAGAAGATCAGGCAGCAGTGCACTCTGGGGCCTTGCTTCTCGACGTGTAGGCCCACCCTGGACCTACTGAATTGAAACTGCATTTTATTTAAAAATTTTTAATATTTTTATTGATCTCAGAGAGGAAGGGAGAGGGAGAGAGAAACATCTATGATGAGAGAGAATCATTGATCAGCTGCCTCCTGCATGCCCCACATTGGGAATCAATCCCACAACCCAAGCAATGTGCCCTGACCAGGAATCAAACCACGGCCTCCTGGTTCATAGGTCTATGCTCAACCACTGAGACATGCTGGCCTGGCAGAAATTGCATTTTAATAGGATCCGCAGGTGATCCTTATGCACATTAAAGTTTGAGAAGCACAACTTAAAGGTCCAGGAAATCAGACCCTGGCTCTCATTCAGTCCATGGTGGGCTCTCTGCTGTTGCTCAGACTGGCTGGACACTGGTGGCCACCTCTCTCTCCCCCCCGTGCCAATCACTGCTACGAGGACTTTCGCTGAGGTGCCCAAGGTCTCTGACATTTATGGCACCTGACTCCTTCCCACTTGCCCTATTGTACAGCACCTGACAACCTAGGTCTGGCCATTCTGCTCTTTCCCTTGATACCCCAGTTTCTCCACGAGATGGGCATAAGCGAGGGGCCGCAAAGTCACGCCAGCAGGAGCCAGACAGGTGATCTGAAAGTGAAGTGGACAGCTGTGAGGCTGTGGCAAACAGGAAACCTGTACAGAGGATTGAAACAAACAAACCGAATGCAGGTTGGATTTGGCCCCAAGGTCACCAGCTTGTGATTGGAGAGACCTTCCAAAGTGAAGGCCTAGGCCAGGTCTTTCCTGGGACAGGCCCATTCCCTTAGTGCCCGAGACACACAAAGGCTTGTAACTCCCAGGATAAGAGAGCTCAGAACTCGGAACAAACCTAGGAGAGACAAAGGGTAATTATGTTTCATTCTTTCAAAATCATATTCAAATGGATTACTCAATCACCCAGTTACATCAAAGTGCGGCACTGCAGCTACCTGAACAAGTCTTTCTGCCCCCCAATTCCAGATTCCTGGGAGAAAGCATTTCATAAGCCCCGTCCAGCATTGGTCCAGCCCTGGTCCAGCTGCTGTGGCCAAGAAGGGGCGGGATCATCGCAGCAACTGTGGCTGGGCCGTGGGTGGGTGAGAATGGGTGGGGCAGTTCTCATGGAGGCAGCGCTTGGGCTGAGCAAACATCTATGTCAACATCTAAACTAACCTTCAGGATGAGTAGAATGTTCTAGGCCAGCGGTTCTCAACCTGTGGGTCACGACCCCTTTGGGGGTCGAACGACCCTTTCACAGGGGTCACCTAAGACCATCGGAAAACACATATATAATTACATATTGTTTTTGGGATTAATCACTATGCTTTAATTATGTTCAATTTGTAACAATGAAAATACATCCTGCATGTCAGATATTTACATTACGATTCATAACAGTAGCAAAATTACAGTTATGAAGAAGCAACAAAAATAATTTTATGGTTGGGGGGTCATCACAACATGAATAACTGTATTAAAGGGTCGAGGCATTAGGAAGGGTGAGAACCACTGTCCTAGGCCATACGTATGCATGGGTGAGGGGAGTGAGGTGGGTGAGGCATAGAGTTCCAGGAGGAGCAAACAGAATGTGTTGAGATTGCAAATGGCTTTGTATGGAAGGAACTCAGAGGGCAAAGTGCGTCAGACCAAAGAGCGTAGCTTTTCTTCTTGAGGGTTGTGGAGAGGACTCGATCTTGGACTCAAGAGACTTGCAAAGCGCACATCACTCTGGCTGCGGGCGGGGAGAACCAATCGGGGAGCAGCACAGCAGGGGCAGAGCCAGCTGGTGAGCTGTCCATCTGGGGAGAGGTGATGGTGCCCGCACGGCTGAGGAGTGCGTTCTCCCGGAGTGACAGCAGAAGGTCCAAGCCGGCTTCGGCCTACGCTGCCCTCCAAGCAATGAGCACCCCCCGTGGAGGAGCACCCCCAGGTGCCCATACCCCCACCTGAAAACTGGTCTTTGACATCTGAGTGAGAACTTTTTTTTTAAATATATTTTTTATTAATTTCAGAGAGGAAGGAAGAGGGAGAGAGAGATAGAAACATCAAAGATAAGAACCATTGATTAGCTGCCTCCTGTACGCTCCCCACTGGGGATCGAGCCCATAACCTGGGCATGTGCCCTTGACTGGAATTGAACCTGGGACCCTTTAGTCCACAGGTCAGCGCTCTATCCACTGAGCCAAACCGGCTAGGGCAGTGAGGACTCTTGCTCCTCAAAGTGTGTCCTCCTGACCAGCATCACATTGCTGATTGCTAGGAATGCAGACTCTCAGGCTCTACCCCAACCCACTGAGCCCACAGCTGCCCTGTAACAAGATCCTCAGGTGACTCGTACACCCGTGAGAAAATGTCAAGGACTGTCCTTGGCCATTGCGTAACTCCCATGCAGCTCACTGGGGCCTTTCCCACGGCTCCAGACCTCCCTGCCAGTGGCTCCCACTTGCTCAGGTGAGGCCTGGGCACTCCTCCCCCCCACCCCCCCGCCCCCGGGCTCTGGTGTTGTTCTCCCAGCTGCCTGTGATCAGCCCATAGGCCCCGCAGTGGAACTGGGGCAATGAGTGTGTGCGGAATGCCCGTGCACAGACCTGAAAAGCTTGCTAGCTTCCTGCCACCACTCTCAGCCCAGCCCCCCCACCCCACCCCCATCTCACCGGCTGTCCGTTTGTCCTTTGCCTTTTTCTGTGCAGGAGATAGTGGACTGGTTCAATGCCCTCCGCGCAGCCCGTCTGCAATACCTAAAGGCGGCCTTTCCTGAGCTCCCAGAGTCTGAGGTGAGCTAACAGTGGACCCCAACTTCCGAGTCTCCTCTCTGCCACCTCCTCTCCTTGTCTGCTGACCTTGAAGACACTCAGAGGCCAGACTAGGTTGGTTTGTAGGCAAGACCTTGAGACTTGGGGTTGGGTACCTCCGAGGACAACCCAAAGGCTTCCTCCTGGGGAAGCTGGGGGTAAGGTCCTCACCCGTAGCAAGGCGGCCTCCGAAAGGCAGGCCAGGCTCTCCCCTTCAGGTGTCAAAGGGCTCAGGATTCGGGCATTTCTTCCTGACCCATTCCCCTCTACAAGGTGCACACAATCCCTACCACACTGCTTGCAAGGGGCTTTAGAGCCCCTTTTATCTTGTAATTCCTTTTACCTCATAGTCCTGTAGCAGGCAGTGAGGTGGGGGTGGTTATTCCCATTTTGCTGATGAGAAACTGAGTTCCAGGAAGGTCAAGTGGATAATCAGATGTGCTCTTCCCACGCTCACGTCCCCCTTGCCCTTCATATTCTGGAAGGCAATTCCCCATGACAATTCTGGCAGGAAAATCTGCCTTCCATGGCCAAGGAGAGGGTGAGCCCTTGGACTTCATGTTGATTGTCTCCAGCCGTCTGGGGCATCCTGTGCCTCGCTCAGGCTTGGCCGGGGAAGCGGCCTGTGAGGGGCAGAGGCTGCTGCCTGGAGCCAGGAGGCCTGGGCTCTCATGGATGCTCTGTGGCTGACCTGCTGTGTGACCCCTGCAGGTCACAACACCTCTCTGCACACCTGTTTCCAGATCTGTAAGATGGCACTTCATCTAGATCCATGGTCGGCAAACTGCAGCTCTCGAGCCACATGCGGCTCTTTGACCCCTTGAGTGTGGCTCTTCCTAAGCCTTAGGAGTACCCTAATTAAGTTAATAACAATGTACCTACCTATATAGTTTAAGTTTAAGCAATTTGGCTCTCAAAAGAAATTTCAGTCGTTGTACTGTTGATATTTGGCTCTGTTGACTAATGAGTTTGCCGACCATTGAATTCTAGGTCATCTTCAGGGCCCCTCCTAGCTTCGAGGTGCTATGATCAGGTGTTTGGTTTAGGCCAGCCGTGGGCAAACTATGGCCCGCGGGCTGGATCCGGCCGTTTGAAATGAATAAAACTAAAAAAAAAAAGACCGTACCCTTTTATGTAATGATGTTTACTTTGAATTTATATTAGTTCACACAAACACTCCATCCATGCTTTTGTTCCGGCCCTCCGGTCCAGTTTAAGAACCCATTGTGGCCCTCGAGTCAAAAAGTTTGCCCACCCCTGGTTTAGGCCCTACTCTAAGAGGATTTTGTAAGTGATGGGGCTGTCTTATTCCAAACTGGTAGGTCCTCCTTGAAAGCCTAAACACTCCTTCATTCCAAAGTTTTCAGGGAGCCAAGTGCCTGGGATGGAGGTCCACTTCAGGCCCAGTGATGCACCGAGATGGTGACCCTATGAAAGCGGCCCCAGCCGCCTGGGTCAGGGTGCTCCGGGTCTGCAGACTCAGCACCCAGAACTGGAGAGTGCACGTTCCTGGGGGCAGGGTGCTGGGGTGCTGGCTGCTGACGGGAGAGCAGGGAAGGCAAAGTGCAGATGCTCGGCCGGCCGCCTGGATCTGAGCTGGCGCTCCAACTTTGCTGACCTCTGCAGAGGAAATTGGTCGCTGGCCAACATCCTCAATGTCCTTGCGCCTCCCTCATCTGCCATCATTACCCCTATGTGCCCATCATTACCCCTATGTGCCCCTGCCTTTCCTCCTCTATGTCTGTGTGAGGTCCTGGGCACTCGCTTAGGCATCCAGATGCCAGGAGCCCGGGTGTCCTCGTGGGGTTTTGGTCCTGAGCTGAGGATGCGTGGACTGAGGCCAGGGAAGCTGTGTTACTAGGGCAAGTCCCCTTACCTCTCTGAGCCTCAGCCTGCTCACCTGTCACCATGGGGACAACACCTACCTCCCAGGGCTACTGTAGAATCAGGTGAGCCAAGGCATCGGAGGTACAGTGAACATACTCCGTCCACATGTCTTTCCTCCTGCGAGGTGTTTCCCTCGGCCTAGACTGGCCCTGCCTCTGCTCAGGTTCAGACTGTTGAGCCGAAGGGACTCTGTTGTTTTTTTTTTTTTTTTTTTGCAAATGAAGGGATTAAAGTCTATAGAATATGTTTTAGGGGAAGGGAAGTTGTATAGTTTATATTTTTGGGTTTGGCTCACAATTTTCCCCATTTCAGACTTCCTATTCCTATTCCCCAGACCTCACTTCCTCTTTGCCTCTGCCCTGGAGCTCTGGAAGCCCCCCCCCCCCCCCTTGCCCCAGAGGGCTGGGCTGTGGTTGGAAGCCCTAGGCTTGCCAGGTTGACCCCCTGGAGCACAGGAGGTCAGCATCAACCCCTGGAGGCGTCTCTGGGGCAGCAGGGCAAGCTGCAAGGGACCCTGAAGATCACGTCCTCGTCCTCCTGTCTCCTGATTGCAGGGAGGGAAACAGGCTGAGAGGAGGCAGGGTTTACCAGGGGACAGGGCTAGTTGAGGTCAGAACTGGAGCTAGAACCCAGGTCTCCTGACTCCTGGTCCAGAGCTTTCTCTACGTTCCCACTCTGCTGTCCCACCACTGGAATCGAACCTGGGACCCTTTGTGGAGGGGCCCTGTGTCAGAATCCCCACCCATGACCAGGTCTTGGCCAGGGGCCCGGTGAGAGGCGTGTTTATACTCTAGCATCACAGGAGGACCACGTGTGTCTGTCTAGTGTCCATCAGCCCTAGGTGTGAATCCCAGATCTCCATCCTCCCGGCAGGGTGACTTTGGGAGTAAGTACCCTTGACCATTGTACCATTGTAGTGATAATTCCTACCACCTCACGGGGTGGCTGGGAATTGCTCCCAGAGCCTGATACACACTAGACCTATAGGGGACCCTGACAGGAGGGTCTCCTCAGAGCCTGTCTGTGTCCACCTCCTGGGGGGGTTCGGAGCATTCCTTAAGTTCTCCAGCCAAGACTCAGCGGTGTTGGGAAGCCCCGCACACATCTGGCTCTGTTGAAATATTAATGTTGCATCCACACCACGTTCCAAATATAACCCCGTGAACCACGCGCACACACATCCTTCCCCATTCCAGACTTCCCCTTTGTGGCACAGCCAAGTTCAGTGGGGAGCCTGACCCCCTACCGGCCGGGCTGTGAGTCAGGGGGTCAGTGCGTGTCTCTTTTTCCCCAGCTCGTGCCCCTCATCACCAGGAACTACCTCAAACAAGGCTTCATGGAAAAGACGGGTCCAAAGGTACATTCTCCGGGTCCCTGGGGGCTTTCCTGGCCCCTGGCCCAGCGGACAGGCGGGCAGAACGTGGGAAGTGGGACAAGGAGGGAAGTAGACCAATGTGTGTGAGTTCCCGGGGCCAAGGACCAAGGGGTCAGCTGGCCAGTGTTGCTGCAGGTGCCTCTCCCTATCACCAGGCGTCCTCCCTCCTTATCAGCACCACCCTCCACTGCTCTCCTCGTAACTCCCCTAAACGACCCTGCTCCTGGGAAAGCATCGCTGCAAGGGACTCCTGGGGGATCAGCTTCTGCCTTTTCCACAACCGGGCGCTCTGTGCCGGGGCCCTGCTGGGGCGTCCACGTGAGTCAGGGGCTGAGATTAGCCTGAGAAATCACATCTGTGCACCATGCGTGGCACGTGGGCACTCCCCTCCCAGCACAAGCACCGCCTCTGCTCCCATTTGCCAACCAGTCCTAACCCCTCAGCGGCTGCTTCTTCCCACTTGCCCGCGAAGGAACGGGAGCCTCTGCCTCCCGAGGAGGGTCCAGGAAGTGGAGGCTCCTGCTGCCCGAGGGCACCCCAGACCCGGACAGGACAGCGTATTGGTGGGGCGAGGCTCAAAGTCAGCAGTCTGACTGGAGCGGGTGCGGTGGGTGGCGTGAGAAGAGAAAGGGGGGATGGATGGAGGAGGAGAAGAGAAAAGGAAGGGAAAGCAGGCGCTCCCTAAAGACACTCCCAAAGCAGCAGCATCCCAGGCTCTCTTTTTTTTTAAGGTGTGATATGTTGCCAGGATGGTTGTTAAAACTACCGGGAAAGCCCTGGCTGGTTTGGCTCAGTGGCTAGAGTGTCCGCCTGTGGACTGACAGGTCCTGGTTCGATTCCGGTCAGGAGCACATGCCCGGGTTGTAGGCTCGATCCCCAGCGGGGGGTGTACAGGAGGCAGCCGATCAATGATTCTCTCTCATCATTGATATTTCTATCTCTCTCTCCCTCTCCCTTCCTCTCTGAAATCAATAAAAATATATTAAAAACAAACAAACAAACAAAAAAACTACCGGGAAAGGTGTTAAGCAGTCAGTGTGAAAGGAAGCCTCAGTCAGCTTGAGAGCTAGTCAAAGGGTTGCACAGTTTGTTTCCTTCTTTTTTAAAGATAACTTTTTAAATTGGCTATATTGATTTCAGAGAGGAAGGGAGAGGGAGAGAGAGGTAGAAACATCAAGGATGAGAGAGAATCATTGATTGGCTGCCTCCTGCACGCCCCACACTGGGAGTCGAGCCCTGACCAAGCCCCCGACCGGGAATCGAACTGCGACCTCCTGGTTCCTAGGTGGACACTCAACCCTGAGCCACACCGGTGGCTTCTTTCAGCAGCCAGTGCACAGCCCGTGGTTCTCGCCCCCGTCCCCTGACCTTGGTCAGGCTTTGGCCAGGGCCAGGGCTCTCAGCATTGCTGAGCAGTAGTCATTTCTGATGTCCCCAGCTTCCTCTTTTGAGACTCCTTGTCCACTGCCCGAGAAAGAGGAAAACGCCTCTTCCAACTCCCAGCCGCACCTGCAGGCAGCGGGGTGACACTGGCAGGGCTGAGGAGGTGGGCACAGCCTTCCGAGCTCCAGGGCCTCAGGGAGGGGCACCGGGTGACTACGAGTGGGGACCGGCCTGCTCCCGTGGCCTAGTCCAGCCTGGCCCTCTGACCTCTGCACATCCCTGGCTCGGCCCCCCTGGCACAAGGTTCCCTCTTTTGCAGCAGAGAGAGCCTTTCAAGAAAAGGTGGTTTGCCCTGGACCCCCAGGAACGGAGGCTGCTCTATTATAAGAACCCACTGGTAAGAGCCCCTGCCGGCCCCGCCCCAGGTCACCCGAGAGGGAGGCGGGGTCAGTGCTGGTGGGGAGGCTGCAGGCTGGGGCCACCTGGCCAGGTCATAGCTCCGCGTTGGCTTGTGTCTTAGTCATCTCTGCATGAAGCTGCTCCCCCCTCCCCCGCAGGAAGTCCCTTATGTGGATCCAAAATGCTGCCAATGTAGGCAAATGGGGTGTTTTCCGTCCTCTCGTCTCCAGGGCCCATGTGCGACCAGAAGGCTGGGAAGTGCAGTGATTAGAAGTGAGGGCTCTAGAACTCAGCTGTCTGGGCTCCGGTTTTGGCCCTGCTACGTTTAGTGGTGTCCCTGGACAGAGTACTTAGCTCTCTGTGCCTCAGTTTCCTCCTCCGGAAAATAGGCTTAATAGCAGTGCCTTCCTGAGAGGTTGCCATGAGGATTGCAAGAGGCACCATCTGTAAAGCACTGGCATTCCTGGTGCTTAGTTAGCTCTCCATAAATACTGAGTGTCATTTTCTAAAAAAATTAATCTTCTTAAAGACTTTTAAAAATTGATTTTAGAGAAAGAGGAAGGGGTAGGGGAGAGAGAGAGAGAGAGAGAGAGAGAGAGAGAGAGAGAGAGAGAGAGAAAGAAGAAGAAGGAGGAGGAGGAGGAGGAGGAAGAGGAGGAAGAGGAGGAGGAGGAGGAGGAGGAGGAGGAGGAGGAGAAGGAGGAGAAGGAGGAGAAGGAGGAGAAGGAGGAGAAGGAGGAGAAGGAGGAGAAGAAGAAGAAAAGAGAAACATCCATTTGTCCCACTTATTTATGCATCCTAGTATGTGCCCTGACTGGGGATCAAACCCGGAACCTTGGGGTATCAGGACAGTGCTCTCACCAGCTGAGCGATACTAAATATCATCTGAACAGATGATGCGTGTGATTTCTCTTACAGTTTCAGCCGTTCAGATTCTGGGTCCCACCTAGCCAGAGTTCTCAGTAGAGACCTGCCTACCACCTCTTTCTAAAATAGATTCTGGGGGCTGTCACGGCTGCAGGGGCCCCTGTGCCCCAGGTGTGACCTCTGATGACCCTGTGGCCTCTATTTCCAGGACGCCTTTGACCTGGGCCAGGTGTTTCTCGGGAGCCGGGAGCAGGGGTACGAGGCGTCCGAAGGCCTGCCCAAGGACGTCCAAGGGAACCGCTGGAAAGCGGGCCTCACCATCGTCACCCCTGAGCGCAGGTTCCTCTTCACCTGCCCCAGCGAGAAGGAGCAGGGCGAGTGGCTGGAGAGTTTCCGGGATGTGCTCTCCCGTCCCTTGACATCCTTCAACCTCCTCAGTAAGATGCGGGGCCTGGGGATTGTGCTTTTGGCCAAAGGCAGAGGGCAGAGAGCGGCTTCCTTCACGTGGGTTGGCTCTGAGCCCTGAGACCGGGGTCATGGCTCCTGACTGCGCCTTTTCTATTCTCTTTCTGCCAAAGAAAAGAACAGACAGGGGACATGATTCCCAGCAGCCCTCTCTGTCCACACTAAGGTCCTCCTCCAGGCGCCCTTCTCCAGTAGCATCTGGAGTTTGTCCTGGCAGAACCCGGTTAGATCCCCTTCTCGCCTGTGCTGAGTCCAGGGGCCCAGCAGCCTCCCTCTCTCTTCCTCCAGCTCCCTTCCCTAAGTCCCTTTCCTCGTGAGAAAAGCCCGGCCTGTTATTATCAGCAAAGGTCACACCCTGGGGTAGCTCCCAGGGTTCTCTTTTTATTTTTTTTGTTTTTATTTATTGAGAAGAGAGAGAGAGAGAGAGAGAGAGAGAGAGAGAGAGAGAGAGAGAGAGAGAGAAGCATCCATTTGTTGTTCCACGTATTCATGCATTCATAGGTTGATTCTTATTTGTGCCCTGACTGGGGATCGAACCCGCAACCTTGGCATATTGGGCCGACGCACTAACCAACTGAGCCACCTGGCCAGGCCCAGCTCCCAGGATTTGGGATTCCTCCCCACTCGCAGAGGGAAGGCTGTTTTTAGTGTCCTTTCCTCTGGGTCCTCCCTCCTGTCTGCCCTTCTCCTGCTCCCCCTGCACCCCAGAGGTGTCACATGCAGGCTTCTCTGTCGGCCAACAGCCCTGTGAATAAAGGGGAGATGTTCTGAGCTAGAGCAGGAACCTTCTGGCCCAGGGCCTGGCTTCTGGGGCCCAAGGAGAAGTTCTGTGTTTGGAAAAGTACGGACTGAGAAAGTGACCCCATATGGCCCCTTGGGAGAAACCCTGGCGCCCTTTGAGTCTGACCAGTGTAAACACAAACTCGCTTCACTTTCCAAACTCTCTGAGCCGAAGTGCCTCTGAAACAGACGCAGAAATGGCTGGGGAAGCACCTCGGCGGGTGCTTTCTTGTCGCTGTGGCCTGTGCGTCTGAGTCTCCCCGTTTCTGTGTTTCTCACTCTCTGCTTTTCTCCTTCTTCTTGGGGTGCCTGTCCCCTCTGTCTCTCACCTTTCTTTCTTTTTTTTTTTTTTTTTTTAAATATTTTATTGATTTTTTACAGAGAGGAAGGGAGAGAGATAGAGAGTCAGAAACATCGATGAGAGAGAAACATCGACCAGCCGCCTCCTGCACACCCCCCACCGGGGATGTGCCCGCAACCCAGGTACATGCCCTTGACCGGAATCAAACCCGGGACCCTTCAGTCCGCAGGCCGACGCTCCATCCACCGAGCCAAACCGGTTTCGGCTCTTTTTTTTTTTTTTTTTTTTTTTTTTAATATATTTTTTATTGATTCCAGAGAGGAAGAGAGGGAGAGAGAGAGAGAAACATCACTGATAAGAATCATTGATTGCCTCCTGCACGCCCCACACTGGGGATTGAGCCTGCAACCCAGGAATGTGCCCTTGACTGGAATCGAACCCGGGACCCTTCAGTCCACAGGCCGGTGCTCTGTCCACTGAGCCAAACTGGCTAGGGTTCCAGCCCTATTTTTAATTCTGGTCCCCCCTGCCCTGCACAGTTCCTTCCAGACTGCATGGGCATGGCCACCCCCTCATCCCTCTTCTTTCCCCTTGCAGCTGCATCAACAGAGAGTGGCCACAGCAGCAGGTGACCCGCTGGCCAAGGAACTGGCTGGCCACGGGCCATGGGAGCTCTTGGTGAGAAGGAGACGTTCTCAGCTTGGCCTTGGTTACCCAGCAGGAGTGCCCCGTAGTTGGCAGCCATCACTGGCAGTGAACTCTGCCAAGACTAAAGCTTTGGCCTTTACCCACCGGCTCCCTGGGCCTCACCACGGCCCAGTCTTAAGGCCCAGGACATCTCCAGTGAAGGCACTGCAATGGGAAGGCGCCCACAGCATCACTCAAGTGGCACGTTGGCCCCAAAACAGTTTAATCCGACTCGACCATGAGGAAATAGTCTATTCTGTAAAACAGCTGGCCTGGACTTCTCAGAGTCAACATCGTGACAGAGGGAGTGGTGTGCGAACTGTTCCAGTTACAGGCGACTAGAGAGCAACGCCAGGCAATGTGTGATTCTTGATTGGATCCTGGATTAAAAAAAAAAACAGCACAAGGGACATAAATTTGAATATGGATGTGTATTAGCCAACAGTATTATAAGACTGTGATAATTATGTTGTATTTGTGTAGGAGAATGCTCTTGTTCTTAGGGGCTATGCATTGAAGTGGCCAGGAGTAAAATATAACAATTTTCAGTCTACAACTGACTCAGCAAAAAATAACTATGTATACATGTATATGTAGAGTATTTACATATATACATATATGTGCTATATATATGGAAGAAGACAGGGAGCACACACACACACACACACACACACACACATATATATATATATATATATATATATACATATATAATATCTGGGGAGAGAGACAGAGCTGCTATGTAAAATGTTAGCAACTGATGAATCTAGATCAGCAGTTTTCAACCTTTTTCATCTTTTGGCACACATACACTAATTACTAAAATTCTGTGACACACCAAAACATAGATTATTCTTTTTGTCCCAGCTGGCGTGGCTCAGTTGGTTAGACGTCATCATGGGCACCAAGAAGTTGCCAGGTCAATTCCCAGTCAGGGCACGTGCCTGGGCTGTGGGCTTGATCCCCAGTAGGGGGTGTGCAGAAGGTAGTGGATCGATGTTTCACTCTCACATCGATGTTTCTCTCCCTCTCCCTTCCTCTCTCTCTCTCTCAAAAAATATCAATTAAAAACCCTTACATATTATACTTTTTACTGATCTGACCAAAACAAGGTATAATTTTGATTCATTCACATCGGAAGACTATTACTGTGTTGGCTGTTGTCATTTTTTTTTTATTTGACTATCTAAGGGAAAAGAGGTCAGTGCCCCTGACCAAATAGTCAGGTATTGCATGTTTTAAATTTTTTTTTGCAGCACCTGTGTTGAAAGTTGCTGATGTAGATGAATTAGAGATAGGTTTGTATTGCCCGTTCATGCAAACTTTCTATAGATTTGAGTGTTAGCCCAGCCAGTGTGCCTCAGTGGTTGAGCATTGAGCCATGAATCAAGAAGTCACCAGATTCCCAAATTTCTCTCTCATCAATGTTTTTTTTTTAAAATATATTTTATTGATTTTTTACAGAGAGGAAGGGAGAGGGATAGAGAGTTAGAAACATCGATGAGAGAGAAACATCGATCAGCCACCTCCTGCACACCCGCAACCAAGGCACATGCCCTTGACTGGAATTGAACCTGGGACCCTTGAATCCACAGGCCGACGCTCTATCCACTGAGCCAAATAGGCCGGGGCTCTCATCAATGTTTTTTTATCTGTCTATCCCCCTCCCTTCTTCTCTCTCTAAAATCAATAAAACCATGTTCAAATTAAAAGCTTAGGGGAACATTTTTTAAAAATATGTTTTTATCGACTTTAGAGAGAGAGAAAAGGAGAGAGAGAAAAACATCAATTGGCTGCTTCCTACACATCCCCTACTGGGGATTTAACAGGAAACCTAGGCATGTACCCTGACTGGGAATCTAACCAACCCGGTAACCTTTTGGTATATGGAACGACACACAATGAAGTGGATGTTTTAAAACATAAAAAACAAAACAAAAACCCACATCCATTGTTCACTGCTAAAAATAGTGTTTTCTCTTCAGGAATCAACAATGTTCCATCTTTGTGTACATTTTAGAAAACATAAAAGCTTAGATGATACAAAAAAATGATGTCCGCATTGCTCATTACAGCTCTGGAAGGAAAGAAGGCAGCAAGGGAGGCAACTCTACCAGGAGCCCAGGGCAGAGAGCTATCAACCCACGTGTCAGGTCTCACTTCTCCACCTCCGTGCCCGTTTTTCCCATTCAAATGAGGAAATGGTACTAACTATTGAAACGCAATGGAAGCAACAAGTATTTCTGAGCCACCTCTGAGGTGCCGGGCTCTGTGCCAAGCCCTGGGCATAGGCAGGAGCCAGAGGACGTGGGCCCTGCTGTCACCAATCACAGGCTGCTGGAGGCCACCTTTCCAGAGGGCAGGCCGAGACAGAGGGAGGTTAGGCCACTCTGGGAGCACTTGGCAAGAGGGTTGGTTTCCCCTAACTGAGGGGGCGTGGGGAGCCTCCTCCTGCCCCCAAAAGTGATGTTGAGGTTGAAACCTTAAAGCTCTTGAGAGGTGAGTCAAAAGGATGAGGGTGAGGAAAACCCTCTAGGCCAGTGGTTCTCAACCTTCCTAATGCCGCGACCCTTTAATACAGCTCCTCGTGTTGTGGTGACCCCCAACCATAACATTATTTTCGTTGCTACTTCATAACTGTAATGTTGCTACTGCGATGAATCGTAATGTATGCAGGATGTGTTTTCATTGTTACAAATGGAACATAATTAAAGCATAATGATTAATCCCCAAAACAATATGTAATTATATATGTGTTTTCCGATGGTCTGAGGCAACCCCTGTGAAAGGGTCGTTCGACCCCCAGAGGGGTCGTGACCCACAGGTTGAGAACCGCTGCTCTAGGCTGAGGCAAGACAATGTTCCAAGACCCGAAGAGGGGAAAGAGAACTGGAAGAAAGCTGGAATGGCTGAAGTGAGGCCAAAGTCGACCACCAAGGTCTCTGCTTTACGATTTGTCCCTTCAAAGGATGTGCAGAAAGACACTGGGTGTTCCCTCTTCATTTCGGTGGCGACCTAGAGGGTTGGGAGGCTCTCAAAGAGATTCTCTGCTTTTTGTGGTATTTTCCTTTGGGGACCCGCACCCCCACCCCCCTCCCCGTCAGAGGACAAGCAGCAGCATCCAGGTGTCATTTCTGAGTCTTCCTGACCGCCCAATAGAGAGGGGCTGCTTCCTCCTCTGGCTCCATAAACACCTTGAAAACGCCTGTTTCAATACCTGCTGGGTTGTATATTAAGGGTCAGGTTACCTGTCTGCCTTTCCCCCTCCTGTAAGCTCTGTTGGTTGTATTCTGCTAAGTTCTGAGGACGGAAAAATAAAGGCACAGTTCTGCCCTCAAGGAACCTACGGTCTAGAGGGGGAAGAAAGAGGAATAGACAGTAACAAGCTACTTGAGAGAAATGTGGGTTCTTAGAAGCCCCCCAGAAGGGCAGAGAACAGACACAAGGGATGGAGATAAAGTCCCAATGAAATGGAGTGCCTGGTTTTAGTTGGTTTCGAAGGCCTGGCTGGATCTCGGTCATTGGACTCCCCAACGACTCCTCTGTACTCTTACATTAAATCCTCTTCTCCCTTTTGACTTGTTAGAACAAGGAAGTTTCTTTTACTTGAGTCAGTCCTGCTGAATGAAGAGATATATTTATGCTGAGTCCTAAAGAATGAATAGAAGATACTTGAGTTAGGGTGGGGGAGGAGGAAAAGAAGTGTGTACAAAGGCCCACAGATAAGAGAGAACATGGCCTGTTCTGGAAACTTCAACTATGGCTGGAGCACAGGTCGTTGGGAAGGGAAGGAGCGAGAACAGGTTAGACTGGAGCAGGGTCTGCTTCCCAGTGGTGGAGTAGCTAATTCAGAACAACCATTTCACAGGTGACAATGAGAAACTCTGCACAGACTATGACAAAACAATGATCCGAAGGCCCTGGAAAATAACCCGAAGCAGGACGAAACGGAGAGAAGTGGCCACTAGAAAGCAAGGGTGCGTTTTTCATTGTTTCTATGTTCACTTAAGGGCAGGCCCCTGTGAGTGCCTCAGAGGGTCACTAAAACTCTGATGGAAACCTGCTGTCTCACGGATTGAAAAATAGAGGACAGAGTTTATGGTTGCTCAGAGGTCAACTATTCATCTGTCAGGGCAGGCTAGGTTCTGTTGCAGCAACAAGCACCCACTAAACCTCAGTTAACATGTCCCGAGTTTGTTTCTCTCCTTTACTCCACGTCCTAGTGTGGGTTGGCAGGGTGTCTGCTCATCTTAGCCACGTAGGGACTCAGGCCACCACACGCCGGCTTCATTTCCATAGTCAGGGCAGCTGGCAGAAAGAGATTACAATGATACTCACTAGCTTTTTGAGCTGATGGGAAGTTAAGTAGTATTTCTGTGTGTTTCAAGTGGGCCAGGGAAGTGCCAATCCTACCAGGTGCCTAGAAAGGGAAAGAGTTGGAAACTTCGATGAGTAGCACTAAAAGATATGTTTTATTGACTACTACCTGCAATTTCCAGTATTGGAAATGTAAGGACAGAAAAATGGGCCTTTCTTTATTTTCTTTTTTTTTTTTGCTGTAGCCTTCTACAACTTACGAGAAGCACCTAGTTCTTAAATCCCAAGATTGTTAGCTCCTCTGATTCAAACAGCCCCTCTGTTCAGACTGCAAAACAAGATAAGTTACTCACAAGGCTACATTTTTGCATACTCCTCCTTCCTGCTATTTTTACAACTCAGGGAAAATTTGCATCAAGAAGTCTCTAGTTAGTAGAAAGTTCCCCCCTTATGCCACCTGCTTCAAACAAGCCTCTTTTGAACTCTTCATAACTTTTACATGTTTTACAGGCTCAGAAAAATACTGATAAGACACCTCTTTAGAACAGCTGCCTAGACTATCTCCTAAAAAAAGCAAACAAACTTTTCAAAGTTTGTTTAATTTATCTGCTTAATTTCAGCCCCCAAATCCTCTTTCCTTTCTTATCACCTAGCAACTGTAGCCAAGGCTTTAAAAGGGGGAGCCACTTTCTGTTTCTTGCCTTGTATTGAATAGCAATGCACTGGCCCTTTCTCTTCAGGGAAAGTAAAATAAACTTCCTTTCTGCATCTCTCTCGATGCTCAGTATGAATTCTTTCACCCCCCCCCAAAAAACCCCCCAAAACAAACAACTAACAGGAAATAGCCACAAATTTGTATTATCTGGTACCTACTTTGAGATCATGTAAGACGGGGGTAAAATATAAGACAGTATTAGTTCATTTCAACAGATCAGAGGGAGGTGGGTTCTGGTCTCTGCCACTCAGTTATTGCTACGCAAGCCTGGAGGTTCCTTTGCCTCTGGGTCTTTGGAGAGGACTTGATGCTCTTCCAGCTCCAACGTTTTCTGTTTGCAATGCGCTTAGGACTGGAATAAGAGAGGAGGAAGAAAGCCAGCCCCACTGGAACCAGGTGTGCAAGCTGCAAGCAAACAGACTTTCTAGTGCTTTCACCAGGATGCCTGTTGGGTAATGTGCTTCCAGCCAGCAGAGGGCAGTAAGGAGACAGCGGCACAAACCTGCCTTGTACTAGGGATT